TGAGGGGGGGCTGTTTTTTTAGAGGTGTTAAGGTGAGGGGTCTTCAATGTGTCTGTATATAGGCTACCAGCCAGCTTATGTTTTTGTTATTTGACATTATTCAGCGGCTTACTGCACCATGGTGTAAGGCCGTCGCCTCTGTTTCTTATCATGAACATAAACAGTGAAGTGCACATGGACACATTCCTCACACATCACAGCACCAAGGCTGTTTACGAAAAACCCGCACAGTTGTATGCTACATTTTACATGTTAGTGAGAGCTGTGACATCCTCGTTGATTCCAGCTGTTTTCTTCAAAACCACATATAAACCACAAAGATTGACTCAACACCCAAAAGTAACACCTCCAGCTAGTTGAATCACACAATAGGTTAGAACTTTTTCTTGCATGTCTTTTTCTAGCTTATCTTAAAATGTGTCAAGATTTCACAAGCTTTTTTTTTTAAAGAGTAGAATAGTTAAGGTTCAAAACACCAGTACCTCACTAGCCCCTTTTACATAGCTAGTTCAAGGTAAAGAATTTACCCACCCACAGTGTTCATTTTTATTTCATCAGTGGTATTGGAAATCCTGAATCTTCCTAACTTTTGGTCAATGCACCAAGAGGCAGAGACAGGTTGAAGCCAGGGACAGCCTGGTTATGGTGTGATATGACAACCTGACTGTGTTGAAGTCCAGGGTGATGTCTTATTTTCTGGCAAGGGAAGATAGTGGTTGATGACAGCAGACACAGGAACCGGCAGACACTTTGTTATCAGTCAGTCTCTGCTGCACGAACCAAACAGGAAAGCTGTCAACACCCTGGGGACAGAGGAAGATTAACCAGCAACAGCAGCTTACAGAAGATTACCACTGTGGACTCTTTTTTTGTGGTTTCATTTCCTTATGAGGAAATACAGGAAAACAGCATGTATGTACATCTTTCACAAAGGGCCACAGAGAGTCCCAAAGGCAGGTATGACAGCCCTGCACTCCTCCTCCTCCTTCATCCTCAGCACAGCCCTGCCCAGTCAGGAGCCAAAGCCTAAAACCACAGCCTCATTAAACATTACATAACAGCTCAACAGATGCTCACTGTGACAGTTCTTTAAGCGAGCTCTTCTCCTCCCCTAATGGACACTGATGGATGTCCCTGGAACGGCACGATCGCATGATCCCCCTCATGATCGAGCACATGTGGGGAATTCACCTAAAGCCTGGTGCTGCACCAAGGTCTCCACGTTTTCTGCTAAGCTGCTCTTATGCTCATATAAAAACCTGGGGATTACAATGATTGTTGTGTCAACCAAAAGTAATTATCAGATGTCCCAAAGTCACTTGATACTGTGCAGCTTCGCCTGCCACGTTGAAAGAAAACAGTATTTGATTCATCAAGCAAAGAGCTAAAGGAACCAGCAGTCTGCAGCAAGGAAAGGGATGAGGGGGGCTTGTGGAGTTCAAGTTTGAACACCTGCACCTGTATGCTAACCATACCTGACCAGTCACGTCCAGTATGATGATGTTGGAAGGAAATGCAACCCCGTCATTCCTCCTTTTTCTGTCTGTTGCCAACAACTCTTAACGGCACATCACAAACTCTGGGATGTTGTTGCAAGAGTTTTACAAACCTTTTATTAGTCCTATCGCTCAGTCTCACAGCCCCAGCTACATCGTTCCTCTACTCTTTCGCCATTTGTTTGTTTATGTGCATGGCTTTTGCACGTGCAGAGTGCTCTGTGCTAAAAGAAATTGCAGAAGGTGGAAAGAAGCACGCAAGACTTTCTGTCAGGAGGTCTTTAAGGATCCCAGACGTGGTCTTGATTGTCATTGACACAGGATCGAATTGGTTATTGGGGGGCCAATCCTGACCCACTATTTTTATTGGATCAGGTCGTGCAACAGTGCGCTTGTGAAATTACTTTTACACGGTGTCAGCCCAGCAGTGCTTTTATCAGTGTGATAGTCTATAAGCTCAAAGTGAGCATGCATGAGCACATGTGATTCTCTGCAGAGCACAGGTGGATAATGTTCATTCTTGGAAGGATATAGCCGTGCAGGAAAAGTTGGATTTGACCACAAGGTCACCAGACGGACCGTTTTCTCTAAGGAGACCAGATCCCACTTGAAAAAAGAAACACGCAACCGTCTGGACCCCCCTTGTTTCTGCGGCCCTGGAGCATATCTGGTGGTAAAGAGGGGTGGTGATGAAGTATGTGTCAGACTATCGGACCATAGCTGGCTGCAGACAGAGAGGGGCATTGTATGATGGCACCCGGCACCCTCTGCCACCCCCCTCACACTGTACCTCAACGTCTGGCCTCTCCGTAACACAAGATAACACTAAGTCAATATTAAATAAACCTATAAATGAGGCTGTTTGAAGCTTTTCTCCACTCTGTTTTTCCTCATACTTGGGCTTGTCTTTTCAACAAACATCTGCATCCTGCCGTCTTTGTTAGTCCATGCATCTGCAACTCACTGGGAGTCTGTCTGTGTTGCTTAACTTACCTTCTCCTTTGTTAAAATAAACAGCCTTTGGACCACTGACCTCACTGTGGGACACTAGGATTCGACTATAACCGATCTCTTTTCCTCTCCTGTTTTGGGACACCTGAGCGAAGTGAAAGCGATCCACAGCTCAGACACACTTCATCAGAGAGCCATCGCTGCATTTTAACTCTTAGACTTTGATCTTTGACCATAGACCTTTGGATCTCAACATTCAGAATTTACAGCCATTAACAACTCCTTGATCTGGACAGACAGCGTGCCTGGAGAATTTATACGCAGCAGCACCTCTGCCAGATGATGCAAGATGGTAACCACAAGCCAGTGACAAAAGCATCTGGCCGCTCCTGACAGGATTACATCACTTTGCTTGGCAATTCTACGGACCAGCTTGTGTTGCTCAGAGAATCAAAAGGCTGCTGCTTAAAACCTCATCGCAAAGTTTGAGCCATGTATTTCCTGGTATTAAGTCAGTTAACTCAACCAATACTGAAACCATCACATGAGCTCGGCTTTTGCCATCTGTTTCCAAAACAGCTGGTAATTGCAAAAAATCACTGTCACATGAGTTTGGAGATCCTGGATTAATAATAAAAACATATTTTCTGCCAGAATAGCTCCAAAAAATATTACAAATGACAGATATTACTTACAGTCTCAAACAAATGACGAAAACCTAAAAATTCAATGTTATGAGGTGAAAAGTTGTGGCTCCTGATCAGTAGTTATTGTTGAGTCCAACTTGATTCCAACCACAAAGCCAGCTTTTGTCACCAATTTGTCCAGGCGCCTTGCATCCTTGTTTGATACTGCCTCCCCAACTGACTGCAGCGTAGATTAGATAGATCAGCATAGATTTATCCCAGCCCTCTTCATTTTGCTCATTTCCCCTTCTCTCTCATGCAAAAAAACTTCTCTTTTTTGCTTTTTTTATTACCTTGTTTGCCATGAATATTATATCAAAAAATCAAGCTTATGAAATCACCATGAAAACACAGAGCTACTGATCCATATTCATCTTAGCGGTGTTGCTGAAATCCATAAACCTTGTGGCCTGACCACCATGACTCAGCCAAACAATCACCGCTCACATTTCTCAGTGAAATACAGACTGTCAGTTCTTAAGTAGATGGGGTGAAAGTGTCTCTGGATTTTCCACAGTGTTTCCATTTCGCTCTGCTGTGCCCTCAGACTGTTTCGGGGTGGGTAGCGAAACAAGCCGTGGGATTCAGTGAGGAGGAATGCGTTTGCCTTCCCAGCAGTCTCTCTGATGCCTTTTCCATTAGCATAAAACAATATTTGAGCCACAAATATCAAATGAAGCATACAAATGATCTATGCTACATCAGCTTAAATGGCCTTTTTATGATGGTATTCAGTTATACCCAACCTTGGCTTCAGGAAGTCAATTTAAATAATGAAGTATCATGGTTATGTAATATTTGGGCAGAGAGAGCCAAATGCAGTGGTGTGCAACTTTTGACTGATATTTTTAGATTCAGACTTAACTTAAACAGCTGCTAAGTTACAAGAAGTAAAAAATGTGGTTGCTGCTTCTGATGCAAATTGTTAAAACTTCAATTTTTAATTCAGCCAAAAGAGGAAATCAACTCTTCAAATAGTAGTATAGCTGTAGATGGAAGGGGATGACTGTCTTTTTGTTAAATGGATTAATACAAGGCCTTGATTAGTGGTCTCAAGTAAAATGTAACTTAAAAAATATGATGGACTGTTGTAAAACTTGGTGTAAAATATCATGTTCCATAGAGGATAAACCCTCTAGTGTGGGAGATCTCCAGAACGTATGAACCTAAAGAATTTAAACATCTTCCAACTTCCTCTTCAGCCCATATGAGACTAACATTTAGGGTTTCAACTAAATATATTGCTCCAAGAGAGTGAACCTGGAAAGTGGAGTTTTTCTCAGAACTGATCTTAAATGCTTCTACCAAATGATTTTTACATGCCCAGACAAAAAACTGATAGTCTTAAGTAAATCTAGGAATTTTACTGGAGTCACAGCGCGCTCCCGTCATCTCAATCATTATGGTAATCTGCACTCTTCTTTTCCCATCTTGGGTCTGGAATTATATCAAACGTGTTTGATATTATCACAGGTCAAAGTGACGTAACACAACCAACAACCAATAGATGGGCTCTAACAAAAGCGGAAAATGAAATCTGACAGTCAAAACAAGAAGGACAAAAATGTATGAAGAATTCCTGGTGATAAGAAGAAAAAGAACTTAATTAATCCATGAAGGGATATTCAATTGTCTGTTGTCTCACATAATATGTCTCTATCTACTATTTACACAAGAGTTATAAAGTCTGACGGCTGTGGGTACAAAAGATCTCCTGAATCTGTCTGTCCTGCAGCGAAGAGAGAGAAGCCGTCTACCACCATTGGCCCTTTGGTCCATCAAGGTGTTGTGAAGTGGGTGATCCATGTTCTTCAGAATAGACTTCACCTTCCTCAGTGTAGATCTCTCCACCACATCCTCCACTGAGTTCAGCTTGATCCTACCACAGAACCAGCCTTTTTCACCAGTTTATTCAGACGTCTTGCATCTTTGTGTTTGTGTGCAGCATCTTACCACAGATGTCTTTTGATCAGAGTCTTCTCAGGCAAAAGAGGCGGCTCTGCCCCTTTCTGTAGATGAAGTCTATACTCTTAGACCAATCCAACTTATTATCCAGATGTACACCTAGGTATTTATATGATGTCACCACTTCGATGTCCACTCCACAGGTGTTCACTGGCTGAGGGGGAGTGGATCTACGGAAGTCCATAACCATCTCCTTTGTCTTTGAGGTGTTGAGGAGGAGGCAGTTTTTGTGACTGAAGGCTCTTATCAGATCTCTGTAATCAGCTTCTTTTTCATTTCTGATACATTGCCACAATAGTCATCTGAGTATTTCTGGATGTGGCAGGACTCAGTACTGTATTTGAAGTCTGATGTATACAGTGTGAACAGGAATAGCGCCAGCACTGTCCCTTATGGAGCCCCTGTACTGCTCATTAATGTCCCAGAAACACAGTTCCTCTATAGATGAACCCCAACCACTGAAATAATATACTAACTTCTTCCAGATATAATGTGAAATTTATTCTGAAAATCTACTTGATAGCTGCTGTAAAATTTAATCCTAAAGACAGGTAGATCAAGACAAGAATCTTTCTACACAGACTAGGTCAACATTTGTGGCATTGAGTGAAAACTCTTGAAACTTTTAGATTACATTAACATTTCTGTTTAAATGACCAAGACATCAGAGACCCTGAAACTGATTTGTTTGTTATCAAAAGACCATCAGTGATTTCAAAAGAACTGTTCAAAGAAATATTAAAATGCTCTCTTTGAATTTTTATTATGGACATTGTTGACCCTCTAGCAAAAACATTTGATCTTAAACCAGGATGATCAACAGCAAAATAGCCTTACACCAGAACTTGCTTTTTTAACTGTATGAATGAAAGCAGTCATTGAAGAGTTGTGGGAGTTTCGCTTAACATAATGTTTACACAAGAAAAACTCTGAAAAAACACAGTGTGTGTTATCCAGGAGTTGAAAGTGACTCTTTGATGAGTCTGTTGTGCATGTTTGCAGACACAAGTTGAATCTCTGATGGAAAGGTAAACAGCAAAATCGTGAAAATATGGAAAAGCTTGGAGTTGATTGAGGCACAGACAGAGAGGATTAGGCCTGCAGACAGAAAGAGATGAGAGGAGAAGTCTTTTAAAAGGCCTCTTCAGAGGCGCAGGGGCCCGTGAGCCTTCATGGGCTCCATATGAGGATCAGTCAATGTCTGGCAGAGGGGAAAACTACTTCTAAACAAAGTTTGCCATATTGAGCTAAGAATATTGTGCTTTTAAAAGGTAAAACTACCAACATCCCCTTTCTTACAAACATGGGTCACTTTTATAAAAGATGCCTTGTGGTTTTAAAGAACCCATGCAATCTGGAAAGATCTTAATTTTGAAGTTTCTGCAGAGGTCAAGGAGTCCTGCGAGAAAGACCTTTGACAAAATAAACTCAACTGAATTTAAAGTAAATTAAACTTAGCCAAATAAAACTCGCACATCATAAGTCTGATTTGTAGCCTGCATTTGATTTATAAATTTGACACATTATCTGGATTCATGTAGACATCCTGAGACTAGAAGTTTGGTGGCTTGACTACAACCCTGCCTGAGACAAACCTTTAGGTGTTGATGTTAACAAAGCCTGCTGTCACTTTTTCACCTTCCTCTGACTCTTTGAGTTGGTGAACAAATCAAAGATTATGGCGGTCATCCAGAGTTCAGGTACAGGATTGTTATTCCTCCTCACTTTAAATCATAGGCTCCAGAGTTTAAGGTCCCAGGTGTCTCCCACGGCCACCCTCACACTTCCAGCATCACATGGCCCCCTGGACTGTCACTGTCATCACTTACATCATGTTTAATCATCAAAAAGGTCGACCTTTCATCAACTCTCGGTCAGGGGTTGATAACACATACAGTATATGCCACATTCCTGTGGGCCTTACCTGGGTAATATGATCCCTGGTCTCCAAAGACACCGGCTCCATGAATGTCACTGTTAAGTCGTGTGTTTTCAACCCAAAGGCACATGGGGGCAGGAGTAACATGAGACCTGTCCACTGATTAGAGTCACGATAACTCCCTGTGAAACCATTTCTAAGTATGTCGAGGGCTTATCAGCTGAATAAAGATGTTCTGAAGAGTTGGATCTGAGTTTGTCTGATGAAGTATCCAGGAGGAACAACCACTGGTTCTCTAGAGGATGTTTTCTTTGCTCATGCAAACGTGCAGGATAAGGAACTGCAAGTGCAAACACTTAACTGCAGGTGATCATTATTGTCTGGCTACAAAAGACATCAAAAGATCATGATGGAGATGTAGAACAACTGCAGCAAAACTGTCTTCAGGTCTTCAAGTTTATTATTTGAAGGGTCTCGATGGAAAACAGAGGGAAAAAACTCCTGACAAGCACCAAGAATATCCAAAACATTCCATTAAACCACAATTAGTTCATATAATTATATAAATATGGATTCTCTGGTAGAATCAATACGACCGTTATTAGTAAAAACCACAAAGCATTCCAAAAAGGCTCTAAAACGCTGTAACTTATGACATTTTCAGTTCAATATTAGAGCAGTTTTAACCACAGGGCAGCAACTGTAGCCTTTCAACAAGCCTTCGATTGGACGTCCATTCTTCTCATGCTTGGGATAGCTCTGTAATTCGCAGCATTAATGGACAGAACCGGACAAGGGGGGTACAGAGGGGGGACCAGAGGGCAGGAATTAACTGGTGTTAAAGTCTCATGACCTGAGATACTCTCTCACTTAAAACAGAGCTAACAGCTTAGTGACTAATCAGGACCAGCAGGAATGTAGGACAGCTACAGTGTGAAAAGAAGAGGAGAGAGAGGTCCTTCAGTATGATGACAAGTCATGTTTACCTCATGTAGGGGATTGTGTGTTTGACTTAATTTTGAAGTTTCTGCAGAGGTCAAGGAGTCCTGCGAGAAAGACCTTTGACAAAATAAACTCAACTGAATTTAAAGTAAATTAAACTTAGCCAAATAAAACTCGCACATCATAAGTCTGCAAAAATTTAATGGCCAGGGTGACCCCTAGAAGAGGGGTGCCACTTGAAGGGCCATCAAAATAGTACCTGCAGTTATTGAATGGTAGTTTAGCTTGAAATGTCCTTTCCTACTTTGAGACAGCAATAAATTTGTGGCATGGACAGAGATGGAAGTGAATACTCACATCTTGACTCTCAAATCTTTAACTCGTTGGAATTTGTCCTGTAAAAGGTTTATCGCCTTTTGGTCACTAGGTGGCAGCACTACAAGCACAAAGAACAGATTATTACCTCACCCTGGTAGGCCCTTAAGATAAGATAAGAAAAACCTTGGAGGAAAATTCAATAAGCAGCTGAGGGGATGTTTTTATCGTAACTCCATCATAAATCTGAAAGTTGGGCCCTAAAAAATTTAAATTACAAATATCCATGTGAGTTAAGTGGTGGGGCCCCATATGATGTTCTTTTCATGGGTGTGTCCAAAGTGGTGGTCAGAGGTGCCATTACCCACTCCTTCCTGAAACAAGACTAGCCACCCCTCGTGCCTTTCTGAAATCCTAAATTCTGATTGGCTATTTACCTTTACAAAAATTAAATAAAACACTGTACTGCTATCAAACAGTCAGTGGCTGCTATTCGATAGCTTTTAAGGTATAGTGTTTTCCTTCATGTTACTCCATGCATTAGTTGGTATAATGAGTCAACTTCAGCACTTGGCGTTGCAGTCTCCTTTGTTTCCAAAGGGCACCTGAACAGTAGACAGAGTATGCAGGGGAAAATCTAAACTTTTTTGACTGGGGTGGCCCAGCTTAGGTGATGGCTTAGGCCTAGACACACATAAATGGATAAAAGTAGCTGTTTTGAGCCAAATATTATGTATTTACCATAGACTGTATATACAATGGACAACTTGGTTCAGCCTTCTGTCAGTTTATGAATTTGAAGCCGAATTGCTCTCGGTTTCTCCGGAACTTTCTCCACTTCCTGGATCCACCACTTGCGCAGTAGCGCTGTACGCATTCGGCAGGAGAGTCACTGTGATGATGCTCGGCTCATACAACATATCTCCCGGGTGAGCTACGCAATCTTTGTACAGCCATAGGCTGTATCAGGTGTCAATCATAGAAAACATGAACCCCCTACTAACTTTTAAAAATTGAGCTGTACAGAAAAAAGAGGACTTGAGCACAAACCAGTCTTACAGTACAGCATGTCAACATCGCAATCAGGGAGGAGAAAAATGTATATTCTGTGTTAATTAATTTCTCCCACGGCTCCATAGGGATTGCTGAAGGAGGCAGAAACAGGAGGGTTAGCAAAGTTTTAAAAGCACCAGATGTATCTCATATCTTTCTCAAAATGACTGTTATATGTAGTGCAGAGGTGCTTTTTGTAGATGACCAGTTGAAGGGATTGAGACAAACTGCATCCACAGTTTTTTGCTGGTGGTCTGTTTCGCTCCTCGGATTTCTGGCACTTAAAGATCAATTTCTACCAGAGTTCAAAGAGTCGCATGTTTGTTATTCTATACTGGGTCACCAACATGGTGAAAAAATGTCCCAGTAACTGAAACATGACTGAGTCTTTAGCAACAGGAGTCAAGTTTACAAGCTGGTTATCGACTTTGTTAAGCAACAGAAATCTAAAAATTGAAGCAAGGATAATTGTCTCCTTTTTTGCCTTTTCTTTACTTCCAATGAAGTCCCCTAAAGGTTTTTACAGTCAGGAGGAAATTATGTATATGCATACTATGTGTTTATCTTGCCAGTATCCTAAAATCTCGTCTGTATGGCTGTCCCGTGTTGTGTAACTGTCAGCTTCAAAGAAAAACCTACTGCGAATACACACAGACGCTGAAGTTTTGCCCTTCAGAGCTGAACAGACATCAAAGCAGAAAACATATGAGTCCACATGTGAATGTGATGATGCTGCAGTAAAACAGTGAAAATTCCGACATACCATAGTTTGTTTTTAAAGGTTTCTGGCCTGTTATCACTCAACATAACTGATTTGAAATGGTCCAGAATATGTAAAGCAAGTACAAGGAGCTACCTGGACCAGGAGAAGCAGATTTTTGATCCTCTGCAGCTATGACATGATAGATATATTTTTTTAGTCATCAACGTTAAGGTAGAGAAACACTAGAGGCTGATTTGAAATTAGCTTTAATTTTGAATTAAACAAAAGTTCATGTTTGCTTGAGATATTCCTTGTAAATAAAAAACTAGTAATCTGATCTACCCATGAATTTTCAGCATTGAAAGATGGAGTTTGAATGTTGGCTTTCAGCTATCTTTTTTTAAAAAATAGTAATTAGTCAACAGTTGTCAAGAAGCCAACTTACTCCTGAGGTGTTTTATAGTTGAGGTGAAGGGTTTGATTGGTCACACACAGACTGTATATAGAATAGACGCTGTCTGCCTCCTGGCTAGGTAAAGCCACTGCGAGAACAGCACCCTCTGATGACGGGCTACAGTATAGGTCATAAATCCCGCCTCCTCCAGCAATCCCTATGGAGCTGTGGACAAATTTTAGAAATTTATTACACAGAACATAATTTTTTTTCTCTCCCCTGGTTGTGATGTTGACATGTAGTTATTGTAAGACTGGTCTGTGTTCAAGTCCTCTTTTTTCTGTACAGCTCCATTATTAAAAGTTATCAGGGATCCATGCATTCTATGGTTGACACTTGATACAGCATAGGGGGGTACGAAGATTGCGTAGCTCACCTGGAGGATACCCTGTTTGAGCAGAGCGTCATCACAGTGACTCTCCCACCGAATGCGTACAATGCTACTGTGCAAGTGGTGGATCAAGATGGATGACAGGATGCTGGCCCACACAGATCAAGAGGTTCCTACCTTAGAAAAGTATCAATGAGACTGTATTAGTTATGTAAGAAATTTTAAAGCTGCTGATAACTAGTTGATAGGGCTGGAGTCAATCAACATTAATGGAAGCTGAGGAATCAATCAACTGAAGCCAAGGTTCCAATTGAAAGGATTTATTTACAAGCTGTCAAGCTGTGTTTTCTGTATTTAACAAAAAAGGAAAATATAAACATAATTTATTAATTGTTATCTTTAAACAACAAAGTAATGCTCAATAATTCTAACTTAGTAATCAGAATCCGATAGATTCAAACAATGCCTTTAACACAAGATTCATTAAATGAAACAATCTGAATTGTCTTCAAAACAGTCTATAAATTAAATACATTGTACAACACTCACTTTGACGCACTTGACAGCCAGGATGAAACAACAGTAGACAGTAGAGCAAACTGAACAATGGGCTCAGGAGTCCTTTATAGACTCCTGATCAGGCCACAGTGGTTACACCTGTGGTTGATTGCTGCAGCCTGGGCAGGTGTGCCTGCTGCTCCTCAGTTGAGTCAGAGCAGACATGAAGGATTTTAGCAGCTCCTATGAAGATTTTTAACCAAAACTCTTGTTGGTGTTTTTTCATGATATCCATAATCAGACAACAACATTAGTGACAGGATTGAACATTTTTTATATCCTAATTTTCAATGCCTGAAACTGGTGCAAGGGGGTTGGTGTCAGCAGAAGAAACATTTCCTTTTTTTCTCATAAAATATTCATAGTCAACTGTCAAAAGTCAGTACTTAGTTTTGTAGAGGACAAGATAAGCAAAGATCGTTTTGGCCTCAGTGGGTGCCAAATTGACATTAACAAAAAGATCCTTGTAGGAGCTTTAACAACAAATTTACATTATTCCATTTGTTTCATGGCCAATTTCTATACTTACGAGTAATTGATTTATGAATGATCCTGCTCCTTCTGTTGAAAATAGACTTCCAGCTTTAGCTGTGTCCATAACAACAGACAACCACTACAGCAAATTGCCCTAATTTAACAAAACTTTTCCTCTAAAATGTGATCTCTCTTATATTGTCTGTAATCCATCCTAACAATGCAAGAGCAGGGTTTGGATCTTTTGACTTTCGCAGGTAAACAAACTCATTGTGTTAATATGCCTTCGGTGTTGCACCAACATTTGCGAAGCATTGGTACATGTGAGGTGAGCAGTGTTGGTACGGTCGCTTCAATGATGCAAGTAAGACGCTAGTGTTGTCATCTGGTAGAAACACATGACCGTTTTGTCTGTGTCCTCATAAGGTCATTGGACCAGCAGGACACATTCAGCAGAAACTTGGCCCTCTACTTGAAAAAATCAGAGTTAAAATGAAAAGCAAACTGCCTTCACTTCCTCTGCCTGACTTTCTCCCAGCTGACCTTCCCACCCTGTGGGACAGAAGCTCGGCATGCTGCGGAGAACGTGACCAGCCAGTGTTTTTTTCTCTCTCTCTCTTCTTCTACTTCTTCTTCACATGGCCATGTGTTGATGTGCAGAGTGTTATTCCAGCAGCACTCAGAGCCGCGGGCGGGTTTCTCACATCTGCTCAGCACGTTGTTGTGTGTTCGCTTCCAGCAGGAGGCTTGGCCATCTTCAGACCAGTAGCTGGTGCAGCTCAGAGACAAACCAGTTTAATGTGCTGGCGACCAACTTGTGAAGACAGGATGCTGGCCCACACATGTTGAAATTCATTTATTTTCATCAACACTTTTATCATTGCTCAACCGCCAATCCGGCAAAAGTAAAGCTCCAGATATTTCCGCGTGGCTCATTGAAAAAGCTGTTTAGATATGCACGGGAAATTGTAAAGTGCTCAAATAGTTTTCATCTCCCCTTGGCTGTTTATTTCCTTTATCTCTCCTTGTTGGTTCAAATTGTAGTCAAATATTTTTCGGTTAAGCAGCCTGTGATTCATGCTGACTCCAGATGCCTTCAATTACTTCTCATTGAGAATGAAAGGGTGAGTGAGAGAACAGTGGAAAACTTATTAAAGTCCAGGTGGTTTGGAGGTAGGAGAGCACGGGTAAATGAGAGGGAGGAGGAAGCAGGATGCTGGAATGTTTGTTGGTCATCATCCATCAAATGAATAAGAATCTAAGGACTCACAGATAAGACGCAGAAGGTTTGATTAAGAGCAGGGAGTTTATTCATCAATATTTGATCTTAAATTACACAAATTGTGAAAATTTATTGGCAGTCAGCAATTGTTTCTTTACAGATTGTGTCAGTGAGTGGAAACAATTTGAGTTTTTCTTCGACGATGGTGTTGAATAGAGAATAAGCAACAGATTAAAGGTTACGTAAAAAAGTACTTGTTAATTTTTGCTACAAAGTGGATAATTAGCTGTTTTTCTTTGTTTCATCACCTTTAAAACTGATTATAGTCAACCAAAACAGGGTCTTAGAAGCTATTAATTTGTTCTGTGATGAAAAAAAACATATAATTCAATTTTTACTATCATTTTCTCGTCTTTAGACTTAGTTATTATCCTTTTATTAATAAGTAACATCAACAGTTCTCAGGTGGTGCTTAAAGCTCCTGTGGGGAGATTTTATATTTATGGAAGAGACGGAAATTCATTGTGATGTTTTTTTAATGAAATACAAAAACATACAAGACCTTCAGCTACGAGATTGGAAAGTTTTAAGCCAAAAGTTTTAATGCCTGAGAGTATGCATCAGCTGAGCACCTGAAGAAAAAGGCCCTGGTTTTACATTTTCAACATTAAATATTCACAGGAAATGATGCATTGGATTGTTAGGAGTCAGCAGGATAAGATTTTCTATTCAAAGACTCTGAGTGTGCAAAGGACAAGATAGGCAAAGACTCCTTTATCCACAAGGGGGTGCCAAAACTTGCATTTACCATAGACTGTATACACTATGGACGACTTGGCTCCGCCTTCTGTCATTACTCGGATTTGAAGCGAAAAGCTCTTGGTATTTCCAGGTTTTTTTCTTCACTTCCTGTAACATAAATTGCACAGCAGCATTGTACACACTCCACCACTTGCGCAGCAGCATTGTATGTATTTGGCAGGAGATTCACCAAGAGTTGCTGACTCAACAGCTGGCTCAAACAGTGTATACCCCTGGTGAGCTACGCAATCTTCATACGCCAATAGGCTGTATCAATTATCAATCTTAGCAAACATGAACCCCCTAATAACTTTTAAAAATGGAGCTGCACAGAAAATAGAGGACTTGGGCACAAACTAGTCTTATAATAACTACATGTCACTATCCCAACCAGGGGAAGCAAAATTTATATTCTGTGTAATAAATTTCTAAAGTTTGTTCAAAGCTCCATAAGAATTGCTGGAGGAGGTGGGATTTATGACCTTTTACTCAAGCCCGTCACCAGAGGGTACTGTTCTCACAGTGGCTTCACCCAGCGAGGAGACAGATGGCGTCCATTCTATATGCAGTCCATGATATTTACCAAAAGTTCCTTACAGGAGCAAAAGAAATCCAAATCAAATAAAGTTAACTTGTTAAGTCTGAGTCCTCGGGCCTGTTCTACGAAGCAGGATTACTGCTTAGCGAGGTAACTTTGAGGATAAGTTCGGGGTTTCCTGTTCTACGACGCGGGTTCACCTCTTAGCGAGGCGAGTCTCCATAGCAACATACGCTGAACGGCTAAACTGCTCCGGGGCAGGTTAAGTTCCAGATTGAACTCACCGAGTATAAAAACCCCGCCCACTGACCAATGAGCTCTCTCGAAAAACGGCTTGTCCGTTCTTGGAGGATCCTGTAGACCTCGGTGCTCGCATTGTCCGAGGAGGAGCACTCCGGCTCGCGAGAGTTTTCAGGGAGAGTTTTCTCCGGATGACCACCTTTATGAAAGGCTCATATGGCCGACATATTACACAAAACATGTAAACACGATAGGAATGAACAAATGAATGATTCATCTTGGGAATGAATGGGCATGGGCTGTGTGATCACAGACAACATCTCGGTACTATTTAGTAGCAGCGCACGCCCCTTATAATAACCCCGTAAATACTGTTGTTCAGGACTGCTTACTTGTGCTTCCTACCCACTGTAACAACCGTTGTTCTTGCCCACATGCAACATTTTTGTTCTCATTCATGAAACGCTTAAATCAGGGACATTTTCGGGGACAGCTTTAGCGGGGACAGATCATCCAATTCGGGCACTGTCACCTTAGTTAAAAGCGCATGTTGAACAGTGCTATTTCAGGGTGATAATGACATCAAAGATTACTTTTCTGCCAGCATTCCCTCCGTGCTTTTGTAGCGGCGACGGTGTTGCTTTAGAGGTTTGTGATAGCTTTGAATTCTTCATACTTTCTCATGATCGTCTCCTGTTCCTCGTTTGTAAAGTCCGCGGTCCTTCACTCTCCAGCCTGCTCTGACGCTCCAGACTGATCCATCTTCGCGATTGGTCAGATGCGGCGGGCTCCACCTTATATGTGTGCACGCGCTCATAGCAGAGCTGGATCCACTTATGAGGTTGATAACCAGCGTCGTAAAACCGTGTAGCGAGACTGCTGGCTACCGCGCTAAGTTGAGCGAGGTAGCTCCAAGCCTACCTCGCTAAGTTGAACCTGCTTCGTAGAACAGGCCCCAGATCTCCGTCTTCCTGGTTGAACCGAAGTTAACACTGGAGTCTGAGTACTGCAGCACTGGCTTAAGCTGCAGCTGACCGATCAGCAACATTAGCTGTAATCTAAAATAGTGGTGTGTCGGTCTTGAACGAACGGATCAAAAGAACTAGTTCTTTTTGATGAACGAAATGAACTAGTTCTCCCCCCCTAAATGACCCGTTCAATCCGTTCAGTTCTTTTGATTGGCTGAAGAGGGACTGCTTGCCTGTCTTATCCTATCGTCGCGCCTCGTTCTGTGTGTGGGTGGGGCTTAGAGAAGCAGCAGCAGTACTACTGAGCTGACTGAAAGACCGGAATGACCGAGTTGACTGAAAGAACGGGTCAAATGAACGAAAGACCTAGTTGACTGAAAGAACGGGTCAAATGAACGAAAGACCTAGTTGACTGAAAGAACGGGTCAAATGAACGAAAGACCGAGTTGAACGAAAGACCGAGTGAACGAAAGATCCAGACGGATGTACGAGTTGAACGAAAGACCGAGTGAACGAAAGACCGAGTTGAACGAAAGATCCAGACGGATGAACGAGTTGAACGAAAGACCGAGTGAACGAAAGACCGGGTTGAACGAAAGACCCAGACCGATGAACGAGTTGAACGAAAGACAGAGTGAACGAAAGACCCAGACGGATGAACGAGTTGAACGAGAGACCGAGTGAACGAAAGATCCAGACGGTGAACGAGTTACTGAACGACCCGAAATGATCCGGTTCACTGAAATGACCAGTTTTGCCCACCACTAATCTAAAATATAATGACCTGCCTGTTAAAAATAATGACTTCCTTTGGGAATTACAGCTGTAGCTGATGTTATTAAGAATTTTTCTTTTTAATTAGATTCATGCAGCTCCGGTTGAGTAGAGATGTTGCACTTGAAAATAGTATAATACCTCATCTTAAATGTATAAAACATTTGGGGATATTCCCAAGGCCCCAATATAACTTCGCAGTGGAGTAAGCTGATAATGAAAGCTGCACCAACATGTGATATAGACCTTTGTTTTTCTTATGTGGTAAAGTGGATATCCATCAAGTTGAAGGGTTGACAGAGTCTTTTACGAGTGGCAGGTCAGTGTATCAGGCTCCCCTGGCTCTAAACTTCTGTGCTTTAGATACCTGTGCCGACTAAAGCTAAACTCAGCCACAGAGGGAGACTAGCACATGAACCTGCAGACTCTTCCTTCAGAGACCAGGTGAAGCTGACACACACACACACACACACACACACACACACACACACACACACACACACACACACACACACACACAGAGAGAGAGAGAGAGAGCGAGAGAGAGAGAGAGAGAGAGACCACAGGAGGGGGTGTAGGGTTTCTTAGAGGTGAGACCTCTGATGGTAACAGGCTCTGGTTAAGAAGTTTTAAACCAGTCAGACATGAATCTTCTTTATGGCTTTAACATACCTCCCTTTACAATATTTTATCCAGCTGTGCATGTACAAATACGCAGTTTAAACAGCACTCTGTAAAGTTTTGTGGTATTAAAAAAATATTAATTATGAAATACGCTAACAGAAGTTGTTTTCTTGAAGGTTTCTATACCTCAGGATAATAGAGCTGGTCTTTCCATCATAAAGAATGGATTTATTTTCTGTTACAAAAAAAAAATCATGCCTTGTTTTTCGGAAAAAGAAAGTTACAAAAGAAGCATTCTCCAGAAAAAAGCGGGAAATGACTCGTTGCAGCACAGTTCAACTACATACATATTTTTACCACCTCATCTGCAACTTATTTCTTTACTCAAACATTAATTAAAGACATTCTGCTGAGAAGAACATACTGAAGTATGTGGGCCCACACACTATTAAATTGCATCTATTATATCATCTGTAATGTGACACCAGCCTTACAGTTATTTCTAGCATTATTTTTGTCTCAGACAAGGTAATTAGCTACCTAAATTGACGTTTGTGTTTATTTTTTTTATTTCCTAGAGTTTCTTCAAACCAAATCCTGAACTTCAGAGTTTCTGATTCAGTTTGACAGAAAAATGTTCCCACACTTTTGTGACTTTACTCTTTACTCTATAAATGTGCATACATCAGGGTGCAATGATGGTCTAAAACCGCATTTATGGAAGAAAGTCCTGACTGGCTAATCAACAGTAACCCCCACTGTCAATGTCGAGTCCAACACCCTCTTCCTGTCCTGATTTTCAAATTAAGAACTGTTTAGTGTCTGCAGTGGAGCGTGGTACTCATTGAGAGGACTCCTGTGTTGTTTATTCATCAGCACATAGAGTCAGCAGTATATAACTGTGGAATATTGACTTCATCTCTTGACTGCCACAACGCAGCCCCTGTATGGGGTAACTCTTGCATGTCTCAGAGTCTCCTTTGGCTCGAAGGTCAGGGTGCTTGGATTCTGCTGGGAGTTACCATGACAGGCAGCTGACAGGGAGCCATGAAGTATGGAGTCAAGATGGAAATTACATTTAGTGTGTCATTTGCTACAGAGCCTGAGGCAGCTGGTTCATCCCTGGTGAGATCCGGCTGCTCCCTGAACTCACCTCTAAGTGTTTGTAGAGACTGTAGTGTCTCACACAATAAGTCGCTAACACTGAGGTTTAGGACCAGGATCCCAAATGATGAGCTGTCATGACATTCATGCATTTAGCTGAAAAACTGTTGTGAACTTTTTACTTTTTATTTTTTTGGTTAAGTAGCACTGGTTTAGCAGATATATATGATTTCAGTTGCAGTTCAGTATTCGTGGAGTATCAAGATGAAGCAGCCAGGTAGGTTTTTTAGTTTTTATAAAAATATATTTGACTGTCAAAGGTCAGCAGAAAAGATTTTTTGTCAGTGCTTCTTAGGCATGTAGAGGACAAGATGAACAAAGACTGCTTTGTCCACAGGAGGCTCCAAAGTTGACACAAACTGGAAGTTCCTCACGGGAGTTTTAAAAATTTGTCCAAGGGGAACAGAAAAACTTCAAATGATAGCTGTTTATCTCTGATTAATTATATAATATCATTATCATATCCTTTTGTGCTTTTAAGTTTAAGACGACTCAGAGACATTGATGATTTTGCTGTTATGTAACTTTGGTGGAGACCTGCACAACTGAGGATTTGTATGTCCTGCCACAGATAGTTAAAACTCTTTAATAAATAAAATACTTTCAATGCTGAAGACAGATGAAATGGCTCCTTTATTTTTAAAAGAGACAGCTATATCCTGCTTAACATACCACAGCCCCACTCAACCTAAAGCAACGTCAAAATTAAGTGTTTAAGCTGCCGGGTCAACCTGCAATCCAAACAGACCTGCCCTTTCCAGACATTCCCGTCTGCAGGGAGCAGCATATAGATGCATCTTTTTCCTGCCTATTTCATGCTCTGTGCGCTGAATGACCAGGGAACAGAACATTTCCAAAGACCTCAAGCCAAGACATACATTCTACATATTCAATCTATAAATCTGTGGCTGAAAAAGTGTAAATATCGGGAGAACTTCAGTGCAGACATGTGTTCCATAAGTGCTAAGAAATGTGTTTAGCAGCCTTCAGCATGAGAGCACTTCATCTTCATTTGGTTGGTGCACATGTCATGAGGGCGCACCGCTGTATTTGTACTGGCCGGGCTTGAGTTTCTACTTCCTGAATTTAAATGATTATTGTGACTGATGTAGCTCTTTCATAATGTTTTACTCCCTAAAGTTTTCATGCAAGCGCTCAAAACAAGATGTTCTGGAAGGAAAAATGAGCGGATATCACGGCAGAAGAGGCGCCTAAAAATAGAGAAGGTGTTGAAGTAAAATTAGCTGGAGTGACAGCGCAGGGTGAGAGGTCAAAAGTAAAAGGCAGGCTGTGGCTCAGGGTCAGCATACCTGTGATGGTCTGACGCAGGTTAGGCTTCAGTTATCGCTTATAAGGAGATGAGTCCTGTTATCCTCTGCTGTGTTGTTATTGAATTACTGAAGCCTTCACCCTTTGGATAAGGTTGTTAACACTAATTGAAGACATTAATATTTGACAGAAAATTTCATGCATGTTGAATCAGTGGCTTTACACTCTTCTAAATTTGCGGATCGCAAATGTTGCAATCGGAAAACAGTTTATGCTTGATTGTTCACTATTTTATATGTTTTTCAGTAAATTACAGAAGAACTACTGGCTAAACTTTGTTTAAAAAGAGCCCACTTAAATTTAGACCAGATCCTGATAAAACAGTTTTACCCAATGGGTTTTAATTTATCTCAATTTTAACCAAGAAGCCCACTGAGATTCAAATTCTGTCCGCTCTAAATGGAAACAAACCCAAGACAAAATAAACTCTAATAAATCAGTGGTTATAAAAAACAAAAATTCCTTACACTGGCTTTAAAAAATGGTTAGGTATTGGTCTGTGTAAAATTTAAGCTACACCACTTAAGCCAGACTTCCTCTTGTAATAGCATCATTCCTTCAACACTACAACAGTTTAATTAAAAAATATTTATTCTTTGTAAAAAAAAAAAAAAGTCTCATTAGGCATATTTTAAACCAAAATTCACCAAATAAGTCCAGAAAAAAATGTTTTATTTCAAGATCTGACAACAAAAATAAGACCTGAAGTGCTTTAAATGAGTTAAAATAAAACTGCCCATGAAATGAAGAAAAAAATGACTACTACTTGAAATGAGATATTGTTGATTTGAAGAAACTCAAAACGTAAATTTTTTTTATTTCACTGGCAGATTTTATTTATCAATGAAAGCAATATAGGTCTCATTTTTGGTGTCTGATGCCTTAAGATTACCTTTTTTTTCTAAACTTGTCAAGAGAATTTGGCTTTGAAAATCTTTTTTACCAGAAACGAAACAAAAACACTAGTAGAGATTTGAGTCAGTGGAGTTAACCACATCGTCCACCTGCTCATTGTTTTAAACCTGGTTCCCGGCCCTTATCTATTCTTATTATTACACAGTGTTTGAAAATTAAATTCCTTGCATAGTTTGCTGAAACGTCAAAGAAAACCGAAGTTAAATTGATAACAGGGCAGGCGGGGCCTTTAAAAACACTGGATTTTCAGCCTGACATTTTCTAACTCACCCACAGTGTACATAATCATGTTCAGTTTGCTGATAGGCTGCCATATTAAAACTTAACTGTTCCCACATTTTTCATGCCCAGCTGTGAAGATCCAAAGCTTGAAAACTGGCCATCATACATCCCTCACTTCTCACAATTTAACCATCAAAGAACAAAGCAGAACTCTGACCTTTGCCCAAAATAGTCAGTGAGCAAGCTTCTTAAACTTCAGTAGAGGTTTTTTTAAGCCTCATAAAGGATCTAAAGAGTGCATGAGACAGTCAACCACACCACCTTCTCCCTGCCATGTGTTGTGACGCAGTGGGCCTCTTTCTCTCTGTGCGCTGTGTGACTTTCATTGTGTAAACTCTGTGGCTTCTGGGGGATAGAGACTTTGGCAGTCCGGTGACTGTGTAAAAATCTTTCTGGGACTATCTGAGCTGGACTCAGCGGCTGGACTCACACAGTAGCTGGCATTAAACTCCTCTGTCTGGACACAGAGCCAGACGTTCATCTGCCACAGGCACACACTGCCATCTAGTGTCAGACTGGGCTCTTTAGAGAAATAGCTGAGTTAATCCCCTCGGCATCTGTTTGCTGTATAGGGCCACCTACATGGAGATATGTATGCCCTGAATCAGTGCAAAAAAGGGGATCTACCACTCATCCAGGCGAGATTCCCCAGCAGAGCAGAGAAGCTCAGATAGCACTTCAGCCTGAAACTGCAAACAAACTTGGCAGAAAACAGATCCAGACTGGCTGGATTGTGAGTCACATGAACATAGAGCGTTTATTTTGGGGTCTCATTTTAGGTGTCCTGAGGCTGAGGGGTTAAACCTAATTAGACTAATGAACAGCCTCTGTATGATCATTTTGATCTAAACAATATACAAAGTATTTACAACAAACACAGACAAGAACTAACTCATAGTCACCAAAAAGCCTTTGGTGATCATGATTGGAAAACTGAGATGAATTGAACGGTCCCAGACCTAATCACCCATCTTCAAAAATTGCCTTCCTGCTGGACGCCAAAAGGGACATCTTTGCTGTCACACATTTAAATCAGAGAGCTTGACTCTAGCTGAAGATCAATAATACAACCCTGTCAATCAATAATGTTTCATATTAGTTTTTTGTCCTTTTTTAATTCAACAGGGCAGCTTGAGGGTCACAAGAAACATGGAAAGGAGGAAAAAAATGAAATGCACCAAATTCTGTTCAGCAGATCTTTCAAACTGAGCAAAGCATTTGTTCAAGCAGGGAATTGAAATTGGGAATAGATTGAAATGCTTTAGCCTGCCTGCTCAACCAACTTCCTCGAACCCTTCTCCTTTTCATCCTGTGTCTGATTTTACCAGTGCCATAGAGGTGGTCTCTGATGCCTGCTCTGTTCTGTGCCCTGGGTGTCTTTGCTGTTGCTCTCCCCGCCAAAGACTTTGGCATTCCAGGTATGCTTGCAGAAAGGCTGGGAGCTCCCAGAACAGAGTCATACTGCCAAATTTCACTCATAGCACATAAATAATTTAGTCTTTTTGGTGAAGGTAGCACTGACTGTTTGTCTCGTGCATGCAGACTATTAAATTCATTTGTACAAATCATTTTGCATCTTGGTCATATTGGGTCGTGGGTTTCAGCCTGTACAGTGGGGGGCTTAAACCCATGCTTTCTCCACTTGCCGTAAGTAAACAAAACTGCAAAGCGAGCTTAAGAGCACTGTGGCTGAAAATGTGCAAGATAACATCTAAGTCTCAACAATTTCAGTGGAAAAATTCCCTGCAGTTCATCATTTGACAAACTATGGGAACATTCCTACAGTCATCCATACAGCTGATGCCTGTTAGATGCCATTCCTGCAGCAAAATTACATCAGTATGTTTCCTGCTGGTCCTCCTGTGAAAGAGAAGAAGTTCAAAATACCACGGATGAAAGGATATATAGAGGATGATGCAAATACAGAGTTCTTCAAAGGCTCAGTTTATTGGTTTGAAGACTTTTTCCCCGAGAGAACTCAACCCCAGGACTGATGAGTCCAGAACACTTGCTTGGTTTGAGAAATCCCGGGCATCCGTCCCTGAATCATTTGACGGGAATGCTTACATCTCTGCCACTTCTCCCTTCCTGAGATCTCTGCCATCCCTTTGATTTTATTTGCTTTGCGGTCTGTGGGCGAGGACCCAGACTCATTCATCGTGACAGAGAGCGGCTGGGAGAACAGAGTGGCTGTGTGTGAAGCACCTCTCAAAACAGTCTTACATAATGTCAACACAATTAGCCACATTAAGCTCTGGTGGCTGCAAGTAAATTCAAGGGCAACAGTCCAGAGCCTTTTCCCTGCCTTATCTGGGGGCTTTTATGGAGGGCTGGGGGCACTGGGGACAGGAAAGGACAGATTAGGGAGTAAAGTTGATTTGTCTAAGCAAGTTCAGTACCGTGTCCACTTGCTCTGTGATAAACCAAAGAAGCAGATTACTTTGCTTGTTTGCTGGTGGCCCCAAAGGACGGAGCTCTGTGCTTGGTCTTGTTAATGGCTTCCACTGTTTCACACTTTGTGAAGTTGACTTAAGGTCATAGATCTGGTAGACTTTACTTATTTACCAGTTAAGTAACCACCAGCCTGATTATAGGACAGCAGTCTACTGGATGGATGATGGTGGGCAGTACTTAACACACAGAGGCATTTTAGGTTCATCATCTGCAAACTTGTAATTCTGTGACTATACTTCTTGGTTCTTCATATTTAGCCTTACCTGAAAAAAAGGCATCACAAGTCCTCCCCAGCTGATTGTTAATCAACTTTCAAGTAACTTTGCTGACTCACTCGAGACCAGAAAAAAGTGTGTTATAGATACAGTTCACTTGTACTATATTTTAACAAAGCATAACCCCAATATACTGTATATATATGTGTGTGTGTGTGTGTGTGTGTGTGTGTGTGTGTGTGTGTGTGTGTGTGTGTGTGTGTGTGTGTGTGTGTATATATATACATATTGGGGTTATGCTTTGTTAAAATATATAGCACATATATATTTGATTGAAATTGTCGTGTGTGTGTGTGTGTGTATATATATATATATATATACACTACAGGCCAAAAGTTTCGAAGCAAGATCAGATTTGTACAAAAAAAGATCATAGTTTCATATACATATATATAATTTGCAACACAATAAACATGACTATTGTGTAAAGAGTAACTTATCAGAAGACATTTTGACTATAATTATTAGGTATTTGAGTTATTGTTGCTTAGACTTTGCTTTCTTTAAAGTAACCTCCTCTGGCTTTAACAACAGCTTGGCATATACCAGGCATTCGTTCCACAAGTTTTCTAAGGTGTGTTCCAGGGATTGCATTCCAAGCTTTCTTAAGTTCATTAACTGCTGATTCATGGGACGCGTTTTTCTGACCGATCGATCCAATTTATCCCGCACAAGCTCAATTGGAGAAAGGTCTGGAGACTGAGGGGGCCAAAGCATCTTTTGAAGAACACCTTCCTCTTCTTTTTTGTCTAGGTAACCCTGACAGAGCTTGGCAGAGTGATTAGGGTCATTTTCTTGCTGCAAAACAAACTTATGAGCCACAAGTCTGAGTCCAGATGGAACAGCATGGTGCTGGAGGATGGAGGGGTACTGTTCCTTCTTCATGATACCCTTTACGTCAAACAAATCTTCTACTCTATCACCTGCAAAACATCCCCCATACCATGGAATTACCACCTCCATGCTGAATTGTGGGTGTAACACATGGAGCTTTTAGACGTTCACCAGTTTGTCTGCGGACATAGACTTTACGTTTTGAACCAAACAGTTCAAACTTGTTTCTAGTCATCATAAGTCCAATTTTTGTGAGCTTTTGCCCACTCATATCTCTTTTTCTTGTTCTGTGGACGAAGCAGTGTTTTTTTGCAGATACACAGCCCTTCAATAAAGTTCTTCTTATTCTTATTCTTATTCTTATTCATTCAGACCAGCCTTTCTCAAATGTCATTTCACGGTTGTCAGAGATATGGGTTTCGACCTTGTCATGTTGATTTCCTCCCTTATTTTTGGTGCTATCTTTTGCCGATCTCTCTTACTGGTGACAATGCTATGTTTATCCTCTGCTTTTGTAGTAACTCTCTTTCGTCTAGGCCTTTTTGTATCATCATAACTTCCAGGTTCCTCTAGTCTCTTCAGAGTGTAGTGGACTCCTTCGTTAAACACCTTTAGGCTTTTTTTTTCAATTTCTCTTTCTGTGTATCCTTCTTTCCTCAATGTACAAATCTGTACTTTTGTTTCTTTACCCAGTTGTTTCTTTCTAGCCATTTTTGCGGTAGTTTGAACGCAGTTGAGATTTATTAGGATTTTCATATGCAGACTCTCAGAAGCCAAAAAAGTTGAAGTGAATAATCCAACTGTGATTTGTTTTTTTGCTTTTGCACTGAAGTTGTGACTCTTGCAAATGCTTTCATCCCTAAAACTAAGCCCTTAGTTTTATATATTTATGTATATATATATGTATATATGTATATATATATATATATATATATATATATATATATATATATATACATGGGTCAATACAGTCTATCAGTTACAGCACAAGTTTTAATATTGATTGTCACTGAATTAACAGGAATGTGCCCTAAAGTCGGTGAGTGGGTAAATGTGGATGTCCAGACTGGGCCTCTGAAGCGAAAGTCAACATGCTTAAAATAAAATAAAATTTGTAAGTGCTGGTTTGTTGCAATTTTTATTAGAATCCTCTCATTTCATTTACTATTGTTGATGAATACCAAATGTAGTGTACAATTTTGTTTCTTTCAGGAATGAAGTTGAGCCCAGAAGTTGGGCAATTACAAATTCAAAAGAAATTTTAAAATTTAAAGATCAGTGAACTTCAATTACATTTTATATACAGCAGAGACAATAAGAGGGCATTCTGTTTACATTATAACTATCATTGAAGCAATTAAAGGGTACTTTGTGTACTTTATATGAACTATTAAAGCAATAACAGGAAACTTTGTTTACTTTATATCTACTATTAAAGCAGTTAAGGGCACTTTTACATTTTTTAAACACGTTACTGGCATGGTTAAAGACATGATGCCTGTGCATTTACTTACTTGACACTGATTGAAATTGTTGTATTGGTGGCTATTACAGAAGATTTGAGAATGAGCAAGCAAAAAGGAACAACACTAATTTTGATTACTTAGTTTCGCACTCCATTACTCCTCATGTACAGAGCTGATTTGGCCAATCCATTGAACAGATTTTGTTTTCACTCCAGCTCGTTTGGAATCGTTATTAAATTAAAGCTCCACTGATTTCCAGATTTTACACTTCTGCAATAATTGTGGTTATTAAAAATGTTGTTTGCTACGCAGTTGGCGAAACCTTTTCAGTCTCATGCCAGCTTCTCTGAAAGTTGGACTGGCTCTTCAGCATGATTGAATTTAAGCCATGAAATTGGTTTAATTTCATCAATTAGCCTTAGAAAATGGTCCTCTGGCCAAACAACACGGTTCCATTTGCTCAAAAACCAAAAGCCTTCTGCCATTACAAGTCATGCTGCTCCTTGGCAGTGAGCACTTCCTCCTACAAGAGACTTAGCCTTTCACGAAGATGAAGAAAATTTGACCAGCTCCAGATTAATTTTTAATACCCAAAGACTCTGACAAGCACTGTGTTTGTAGAAAACCTTGTCATATAAATCCTTCCTCACTAATGTAAAGCTTCTAATACGCTTACAGACTTTGTGGGTGGGTGCTTTCTCCTGAGAAAATCCGATTTGATGGTTAATGTTTGTCTCTAACTTGATTTTTTAGAAGAAATAAGTTAAAAGAAGGCCGAGAATTGAAATGAATGTTGTGTGGTTTGGAAAACAGTGTTTATTTACTAGATTAGGAGCTCTGTGGAGATCAGTAATGAAAGCATTTCCCCTTAATGTGATGTTTCTTTTATGTTTTAATCCGAGTGACCTACACAGGGACTTTGATTTTGCAGTTAAATTTTCATCCTTAAATGGGATGTAAAGTCTGACTAATGTTTTTGATGAGTCTGTTGTATTCAGTCCCTTTACATAATGTTCTTATCCCCTCCAGTAAAGAGGAGGATAAACTTGAATTCCAGGGCTTAGTTATAATGATTGAATCAGTCTCGTTTTTTAGCCCAAACATCTGCATGCTAATTTGTTTCGAAGCGAAATAATGCACTCTGTAATGACTACCACGTGCAGAAGAGCGTGCCCTGCTGCTTCATGTTATACAGCTGACACTTAGAAGTACACAAGAGCCTATACCACACAAACACCTGTACATGTAATTTAATAGAGTTTTCTATGACCATGGCTGTGTCATGAGGGATGAATGTCAACAAGGTGAAACCAAAGCTAGGACAGTAAATGTTTATGGGACTTTTCAAGTAGGCTACAAAAATATGACCCACCATTTTTCATATAATTTTACTGAGTTTTGCTTGTGATTTGGATTTGATTTGGGTCAGGATCAGTCATTGCTGTAGCCCTAACATGTCATCAAAATGCCAGAAAGGACTGGGACTTTTAAAAATAATGTTTATTTTTGGTAAATTGTAGGTGAAAATCTGTAAAGGTTTATAAAACAGAAAAGGTCCCATACACAGTCCACTAACATTTTGGTAAGTGTGCTTATTTATTCATTCATATAGTAATGGGGCTGGATTTCAAAAATAAAAATTAAATCATTTTCTTACAAGTTGTAGTAACCATTTTATTTCAATAGTACAGACACAGTTAACTCATTTTCTTCAGAGTATAGTCATTAATTTGTCAAAGATCAGCCACCTAATGCTGTTTTGGAGGAGGATACTTAACATCTCAGTTTTCTGCACAGTCTTTAGTCATGATATTCATAACAGTGTGGTGCTGATGTGCCAAAACATTGAGTTCAATGTAACAAGGCGGTTCACGTCCCTTATTTCAGTACATGCATGTAAACCAGAACTATGAGTACAACTACAGCAATCTGACTTTAAGCTCATCACATTACAACTTGACAAACTTACTTTATTTCTTGTTGTAAAATGACTTTCTCACAACTTCATTCTTGTAAACATTGTTTTCTTTAAAGTTGCCCCAAAACTGTATTTATTAATCCATCGATTTTGGAAGATCTGCTTAACAGAAAAAAAACAAAAAAAACAAAAGTGATAATCATGGTGTTTTTCTCAGTGTGCTCCAGGTCTGCTCTATTAATTCACATAGTAATACCACACCTGTGATACACATCAAAGACTATCTAAAATATCTCTGACAACACACTAGCTTTCTTACAGTAAAGCCAAATCTGTTAGCGCTCCCCCTGCTGACTGGCTGCAGTATGGGTCTAAAAGCCCTCCTTTTTCATTCAGCTTTTGCAACATCGGTCAAACTCAAGTCATGTTAAATAAAATTGTCACATGAAGTAAGTTCGTCTCATGTTGATGTAAGTGCAAGTCTTCATTTATCACAGAAGTTGTTTTTTAATTAATTTGACATTAAATTTACAGTGTTCAGTATTTCGCAGAATTTAGCGGATATTTTTTTATATTCTTAGGTAAGATCCTCAAACTAAGGTGGGGACCACAGTCAGAACTGTTCTGACTTTGCTGTAGCATATGAGATTTATTGTTGAGGCAATGTTTGCAGTAAAATTAGCGTTTACCTCAAACAGTCAAAGAACAGCCTCACAGAGCAGCTAGCTAGCATAGCCATAAGCTGTGAATCTTACCACTCCTTATTGCTGCTTTAAATCATCCAAATGTTACACAACATGTCAGTAAAATCTGTTTTTTTTTTTAATTTTTTTTTATTATTCACTGTATTTGTTAGTTGCCTAAATATGATTTTAATTCTTTTGACTGCCACTGTGCAACAAATTCACTAAACATTTACCAGAATCTAATTATGCGTCTGGACTGGAAAGTTTTGTTTGGATTTTGCTACACACACACACACACACAGTAGGATCAATTACCTTTCTTGTACTTTCATTGCTGTGTTTGGTTTGGTATGTGCCGCTGCCCTCTGATTCATAGACAAGATAAATAAAAACCAGGCTTTTTCATTTTTGTGGCTGACTGGGGAAAGTTGCAGCCATGATCCTGAACAAAGGTAATAACAGGTAACTGCCAAAATAAAGCAACATTAATTTCTTCAATGTGGTGTTGGAGCACAATGAGTGCCTTCACTGTGCTTTGGCGTGGATTCTATGAGTTACACAAAGGCATTACCCTGATATATTCCTCTGAAAATCTATACCCTCTGTGTTTATTTGTAATTGTTGGGCATGTTGTTTCTATTTCAGCACCAAGAGGCTGATCTGAGTTGAGAAGTGATGACAGCTGCAGCCACATTGAATGAAAATCATTGTTTTCATTTTCATCCAGGCTTTCAATGACCACTCATAATCTGACGAACCCCCCCCCCCCATCCCATCAAGGCAGAAAAGCTTCACCACAAAGTGATAAAGGCAGTCAGTCAGAGATGTGTTATATATTTTGGCATTTGCGTTTTCCGCTGAGACTTTCACTCTTGATGAACCAAGGAATTTTCCTCTTTAATAAAAAAAGACTGAAGCCAGAAGATTTCAGCCTGTCTGGTGAAATTAAAGAAATTATTTAAGAAAAACTGCAGGATGAGGATGTGCAACAATAAGTAACATTAACTCTTGAAGAACTTGCAGCTTGGCTTAGTAAAGGCCTGAAACCAAAGGAGTGACTTGACTGACATCAGTTAAATGTTGTTATTACCTGGCTTTTCATCTTATCAGCTGGCTGTGTGAAATACTTGAATCTTATTGGTTAAAGTCTCTTGATAACAGTTTCCTGACTACACATTTGTCTCATATATCAAAGCTGTTTTATCAAAGTGTTGTTGATACCTTTTCCTGTTGACAGTTTCTTTATGTTAGCATACGTTAGTGTTGCTTGATACATTGGGGAACATTTTTATAATTACTCTATGATTATTTTAAGGATAAAATATTTTGGATTGATGGTTAAAGGCTGACCAGAGAAAATGAAGAAGTGGGGAAACTGTAGAAATTAGCAACCAATATTGGGGAGGTGAGTGAAAGAGATTTTGACCAAATTGAAGAAAACAGATGTGAGGCAACCACAAACTACAGCAAGGTATGGGCCTATTTGTATTTTTCTTCTATTTCTTTAAGAGTAGTATTTGAAAAAAAATTGAACATGAATGAATTTTTTTAATGTGAAATCAACTCTGGGCAAATACTGGCTAGCTACTCAGCTAACATTGTTTAGTTTGATGACCATGCTATCATCCTCTCAATGTTTACTCTAACTCTAGTTTACTCTTATCTTAAGTTACACTTATGAGGTAAATTTTTCAAGATTTCCAGTTTTTAAAGTTGGGGGTCTGGTTATTGGATGACACTTATGGTTATTGCAACATGATTCGCATCGCCCACTTCACATCATTTGTGCCAACAGAGTAGTATGAGTGTCTAATCGCATCTTTGCATTGACTTCACATGTAATTCATTTGTGTGAATGATTTTACTCGCACTTGGTGTGAACGCCCCTTTAGGCCAGTTTCAGTCCAACTGAGCCATATGCATGGAAGAGAAAATGCATAACCACATTATGTGGGTATGTTGGCCCAACTTAGAGTGGTTTGCTCTTGTGCATGTTAAAGTCAAATGAACATGTTTATATGTGTTTCAAAAGTCCTGTTTTCTAGACAGTATTTAATCGTATTAAAGCAGGAAAGGTATATCATCCAGTTTACCTTAACTCTAATGAGGAAGATAAATGATCAACGGTTTAATTCCGAAACACCCAACTGTTACTTCAAGAAACAGTCAGTCTGACAAACTGAGATACCTGAAATGGTAAACAAGGGACAAACATTGTTGGAATCTGTTAAATGTTTCTTTCCTTTAAAAGACTTCCAAATTCATCATATCAATCTGCATGTGCATTAGTATGTGCTCTGTATTCTTGTTCTTTATCATCTGAATTGTAGTGTATTTGCAGGAGCAGAAATCTGTTCCTAATCCATGTTTTTGAATGAGCGTGGTTGTGCAGTTGCATCTCAGCCAAGTACTCCAAATAGACCTTTTCTAAATATTACTCCAAACAAAATGCTGCCTACAGCAGACTGGAATCATTATTTCATTTTTTTTTTTTTAGAAACAGAGCTCATATTTGAGGTCTCTTAACTTCCATTATTTATCCACAAGTAAAATATTTCTAAAGGCCCAACTTTTAAGAGTTTGGTGACTAACCTTTATCCAAACTCGGAGCTCCAGTCTTGTGATTTCCTTTTTTTTTTTGACATAATGAAGTCAAATTTGGAGAGACTTAATGTTTGCCTTTAGATCCTTTTAATGAAATTAAAGTGCCTTTGTGATGGCCGCACACACGCTTTCAGTAAAACTTGATATATATGTTTTTGTTTATCATTTTCTTGTCAGTGATAGTCTTGTCTGCTGTTGTATGTCATAAAAAAGCATCGAATTGAATTCTTGCAAATTGCCTGAGCACCAAAAAAAGGCCTTACAGGAGCTTAAAAGTGATGCACTGATGAACAAGATATACACCATTGTTAAGAGAAGAAACTCAGCCTTGTGTGTACCACAGTGGCTTTACAGTTTAACCTTTGCCAACAGATTTAATAGACAAGCACTTCTTTATTTTTTCATGTCGTTCTGGTTCTGGGAGCACAAAACCGAAAGCATCAGGCTCACTTTCTCAGAAGAGACAATGGAAATCTTTTCATCCCTGTTTTTCTTGTTCATGCCTGTTTCATATTCACTTTGCTATTGAGAGGTCATGAAAGTCAAGATCAAGAGGAAGACTGCATAAAATAGTTTTATGATTATGCTGTGATATACTCTACCTGTTCATCAGTATATAGAAAATGGGTGTACTACAAGGATTTGGGGCTGCTGCGATTCCTGCTGATCTTCTGGCAGAAAATGCAAAAAAAGGATAAAGATAAGAGGGTGGCTGGTCATATAACCTTGGTTAATTCTGAAGCATTTTTTGCAGCACCATTTCAACCAAACTCATGGGTTAATTTGTTTGAGTTCATATTACATGTAGACATAACACTCCAGCCCTGAACTGTGTGTTGCATATGGTCTGAATCAAAGTTTCTGTTAAGTTGTTAACGACTATTTGTCTTCAGCTTTTGCTCTGAAGTTTGGAAGATTTGAATGTGAGAGCTGAGTCATTTTGGAGAAGGGAAAAATACAAGTCCAACTGAATTAAAACTAAAAATAGCCTACCAAGTTTGGTTAACTTTCTCTAAAGCCAAGTAGTTGATTGGAAACACATTTACCTGCAAATACTTCTCAGTTTCTGTAGCGTCCCCTGAAGCTGTCAGGTAATGTTTTGCAGTTCAGTGTATTCACCTCTCTTCCTCTGTTCCTCATACTCACCTTAAATGTAGTAAGGAAAGCTGTCACACCTTGATGAAGCCTTATTGTTCACACTGTGAGTTTCTGTTGAAGGGGTGTCCGTGCTGGCTCTTGAGCTTTAGGGTCTTACAATGAAACAGGAAGTCCTTATGAATTCTTCATACAACATCCTTTCTGTCTGGAATGTCATCATACATCTAATCGAGGTCCACCTTTCATAGTCATAGTGCCACCTTTTGGAAATACATAGGGACAACTGTTGTATGATGTGGCTGCTCCAAAGATAATAAAAAAAAAAAATAGTGACATTGCCTGCATCAACATGTCAACATATATTCTTTGGATAAACGTCAATAATTGTTTTTTAATCAGTTGTCACTCTTAACTGCTTGTCTAAAGCACTGTCATGAATCAAAGTTATAGCCCCACATACTGGTTAGAGGAAAGACTACAATGTTCACCACCATGCCACCAACTAGAGACAAGCTTTACTTTGTTGAAGTCACATAATATTTAACTTGAATGCCCTGTCATGAACCCTAATCCACAGAGGAGAGCATGGTCATAGTCAGAACACACCTCTTAAACCGAGAACACTACCGCCAGGTGATTTTCACCTGACCAAACATGTTTACGTGATTTTCATTATGTTGCGTTTGTCTGAGTATCATGGGTCCCTGGGTAGCTTCAGCATTGCCTTTGATATCTTTGAAGGCATATTTGTTAACCTGATTGAAAACCTGCTTTTTTCCTACATGCATGTGTTTGGGTGATTTTCATCTGGCAATAGTGATAACAGGGTAAGTAGGTTTGGGTGGATTTGAAAGCTACATGTAGGTGAATAAGGTCATAAAGAGTGGTCCTGGAACTAACATGCTATCTGTATTTAGCGCAGTGGTTATGAATAACTATCACAAAGTCATGATATTCAAGGGAATTTATATGGTGATCATCAATATTTTAGTCAGCTGGTCATTTTTACACACTCAAAATATGCCATATTTTGGTTCTCTCTCCTGCAGCTGTTATTGTGCCAAGGATGGAGATGGATGGACACTTTTTGACACCGGATGGCGCTATGGCGCACCAGGCACCAGGATTTCATTATATTCCGTGTTGTCCAGCAGACGTCGCTAAATCTCCAGCTCTCTGAGCCCAAATCAATCCCACAATCCTCTCACACCGGCGGTGTATTCATTTGAATGGTCCAACTGTGAAACGCTAACAGAGAGTCGCTGCTGTTGAGTTTAACCAGTTTTTCACGTTTGGGATTGACACAACTGTGGCGACCTTAGGAGACTCCCCAAAATGAATCGGTTTGTATTGAACACAAGAGTTACAGAAATTAAAAAAGCAACTCATGAGACGAAGTCCTGTCTGTGGAGCCATATGTTCCCTTAGTTGCAGAGCTAACGAGCTAGCCTGTTAGCTTACAGTAGCGGCCCGGATAGTGAGTTTGAACGTCTCCGTGTATCCGTGATAGTTGAGCTAACAGGAAAGCTGGCGGTAGATTAACGCTTTGTGGAGGCATTAGCTGACTTTTAACTCTTGGATGCAGGTTATGTCACTTATAGCAAACACGGTAAATGTTGTGGCTGTTTTTCAATCCTTGTTGATTAAGATCTATGACTTCTGGGGCTCTCACCTAACTCGGCTAATGCTCGTACGATGGAGCAAAAGCCAACGCCTGTCAGCTCCAATGTAGCGTTTTTGTTTTGTTTTTCTAATTTGAATATTTCTTTTTTTTCTGTCTTTAAATACCACATAGCTGCACCCTAGAGCGCACGCTTCAGCTTATGTAACATGCCAACCTGTAGCTTTGCTGAAAGGCCACGGTACTTCTTGAAACTACCTAAACTTGGATATTAATCCTGCTGCATGCACAATTGTTTGTCCAACAGGGTTCCTTATTGTGGCAGCTGGAAAGTCTGAACTGGGAAGCATGTCCGACTATGGGAAGTCTTTGAGTTTACCCAGTATCAGTCCAATGGCTTTCTGCAGTCCTGCCTGCATCTGTGTGCTGCAAAGAACATGAAGCAGGTATGACAGCAAATACCAGGGCTTATTGTGTAAATAAAAGGGCATTTGTGTGTTAAACTGTGGTGACTGTCAACTGCAGTTCAGTGGTATTGTAGCTGTAGACATTGTAGTAGTGGCCTCATCCCCTATCCTTTTGTTTTAGGTGGATATTGTAAATAAGGAAGAATTAGATAAAGAAAGGTGAGTCTTTGATCCACATCTGTGGGTTTGATTTTAATTTTAATCAATCACTCACTCTCTGTGTCCCACAGATCATCCCACTAAGTCACTGGATCATTAAGGCACCTCTCCATAACCATTGTCATTTTGTCTGTGGCTTTGAATTTTGTGGTTTTTCATCTTACCCAAGAGTTTTGCATTTAGTCCACTTTTTCATTTGGCAGATTTCAAGTTCATTACGGCCCATCGCAAAGCCCAGCAAAAGGAAAGCGATTGTCATCGTCCAAGAGGAAGGGGTGTCCAGTGGTGGAGGTGGGCTTGAAGCTGCGCCGCAAAACATCAGATGTAGGCTGTGCCCGTAAACGCGGCATGGCCAACAAAGAAAATGAGCTGACGTGCTCCGATGACGTGCGGGGCATGCACTACAATGACAACTGCGGGCTCCCTGTGAACTCTGCAGAGGCCTCCAAAATGGCAGGGGCCAGCTCCAAGTACAGCGACTTTACTGAGGTCAGAGTCGATATAAAAAAAACCTGCTCTGCTGTGGTAAAATGTTACTTCTAGGGAAAAACTTTCAGACTGATTTCTGTTTGTGCTTTGCAGCTGACAAAAGACCACGAAGCTATGACTCACGTCCTTTTTGGAAGGAATCTAAGACTTAAAGTGGCTCAAACACTATGGCGAAGAAACGCCAGTGAGTTAGTGGCCTACCTAATAAGGTATAAATCCTAAACCTAATACTTGGATAGTCTGAATCCAGTGTTCAGCTTTGTGAGATGTTTTATCTCTTTGCTTCCTCAGAATTCAAGACACAGGGGTGCTGCTTGACTGCTTACCTGTCCTAACAAACAAGTAAGTGTCTTCCATCTGCTTCTGAATAAGAAATAGATTCACATGCCAACACCTCAAAACTTGTACCTGTCGAATTCAGATCAACACAAAGCAGGGTTAAACAGCAATTCTTTTCCTTCCAAGAGCATAATCCACCAAATGTTTCCTCCACAAAGTGATCAGTTACTCCCAGAGTGGTCATGAAAGTGATTGCTAGTTGTGTAAATAAATGTAGGCTTTCAGTTGTTTTGGCTCTGAAATATTAAAACAACTTGTGCTCTCATTTGACTAAATTAAATAAACTCAGTTCACTTAATCTAAATGGTATGAAATTATTGGCCTGTTTCTTCTCTATTTTTCCTCTTTTTCTCACATCAAAGATTGGCAAACTTATTTGGGTGGCTTGTTTACTTGTTTTTCACCAGCCTTCAGACTGAAGCACCATGTTTGTCACTTGGCTGCTGCGTCGACCTCATGCCCCAAGTGAAAGTGATTCTTGCCAGTAAATATGAACAGTAAGTGACTCTGGAATCATTTGTTATTTAGGCTTTGATGCTGAAATTTTCATCTTTGCAGTTGGAGTTATGATGTGATAAACTCATTTACCGTGTCGTGTCTTCTTTTGCAGACACATCATGGTGGGGTTACACTGGGTTCAGTCCATCATAAAGAAATGGTGGCCAGAACTTTCCAAGAATGAGAAAAGACTGCAGGACAGTTGTTCAGAGGACAGGTGGGATTTGATCATCCATATGTGGCAGTTGATAATATTTGCTGTATTTGATAGAGTGTAGTTCCATAGCTCTGGGGTAATACAGATTGATAATCAAATGAGGAAGAAAATGACATATGTTCAATTTACAATGTACTCCTTTTAAGAATGTTTTTATTTTTATTTTTTATAAGCAGTCTGAACAACCTTTTGTAAATATTCAAACATACTCACATTCCCATTATTCCCCAACCTCTCCTGACAACCCAACAAGCTAACTAGATTAAAAATATAATGAAATATGTGAGAGCTAAATAAAAACCTTGTTGTAAATGAGAAAAAATGGAGCTATAAAAGTCACCGTGATTGGTTTTTGACTTGTTATGAAGCCGTCTGAAAAAGACCGTGTTGGTTTTTTTTAGACCTACAGAGGTAAACAAGGCCATTAATGACAGAAATGACACCTATTATGAAGATATTTTTAATGCATGAAACTTATGAGAAGCAGGACAATTTACAGCACTCTAAGAAACAGCCTTATTCAAACTTTTCTGAAGCAATTTACAAATTTCTCTAGTATAATTGATCATTTTTCAGAAAATACTGCTCCCTGTCCAATCTGCTTTATTTATATTGCACATTTAAAAAAAACATTCAAGTTTACCAAAGTGCTGCACAGTGCTTCCACATTTGCAGGACAAAACTACTGAAGGTGTACGAGGTTCCCCTGGTTTGTTCATAGGTGGCGCAAAAACTGACAAACAGAAAGTTCCTCACAGGAGCTTTAATTGTCAAAACAGTCAAAAAAAAAAGTGCAATGAACAAAGAGTGAACAAATTAAATATCTAAAACATAAAGCAAACATGTTTAAAGAAAAAAAGGTCATGTCTACTGGAGGTAAAACTACACACACCTATATACATATTCAGGACATACACTACAGGCCAAAAGTTTGGGAGCAAGATCAGATTTGTACAAAAATAGATCATAGTTTCATATACGTAATTTGCAACACAATAAACATGACTATTGTGTAAAGAGTAACTTATCAGCAGACATTTTGACTATAAGTATTAGGTATTTGAGTTGTTGTTGCTTAGACTTTGCTTTCTTTAAAGTAACCTCCTCTGGCTTTAACAACAGCTTGGCATATACCAAGCATTCGTTCCACAAGTTTTTTAAGTTATGTTCCAGGGATTTCATTCCAAGCTTTCTTAAGTTCACTAAAAAGAGACTGCTGATTCCTGGGACGCGTTTTTCTGACCAATCGCTCCAATTCATCTCGCACAAGCTCAATTGGAGAAAGGTCTGGAGACTGAAGGGGCCAAACCATTTTGAATAACACCTTCCTCTTCTCTTTTACTTATCTAGTTCTTTACATGCCTAATTTGTGTGTTTGTACAAGAAAAGCTTATCATTCTGACTTTTCACATTTAAATGTATTATTATTGTGAAAAATCTAAAAAACAAAACAAAAAAACATGGCTGTTTCTTTTTGAAACCTACCCTCTCACATTAGCTTCAGGCATTTAAAAACTACAATTAAAAAACACCAATCTTGGCCCCTGCTGGTCTTGTTTGCATTTGTAAATGATAGATGGTCATAAACATAAAATTTTAAATCTTTTCCATAAATGTTAGAAAACTCCTCACAGGAGCTTTAAAGTGAGAGGGTGTGTGGGAGATATTAATACACTGCTTGTTCATTTCAGGAACATAGAAGTCATGAAGCAGAGGCTAAAAGACCTGTGGAAGGAAGGAGCCCGCTTATGTTTGGTTCCGGGATCTACAGGAGAACTGGCAAAGGTGAAACAGCTGCTCTTATTAGAGGGATTATCAGGGATTTGATTTCTTGATGCTGTTGCTGTAAAAGATTTGTCAGGACTTGAAAAGTTACAGATAATAGTTTTCAAATGGAATTAATCAGTACCTCACTGTGTGGATTAGTCAAATCTTCAGTCGGGCTTTGTCTGAGGCACTCAAGTGAAGGTTTCATGAGGTGAACCCTTCATGAAACCCTTCAAAGGTCAACTCTTTACAGCTGAAATTTTTACAAAAGTTTTGATCTCCTTTTAAAAAGTTTTAGATTAATTTTGTGCCACAAAAATATTTGTAACAGAACTGTTTGACTTGATAGTGCAGGTACTTCTGTTTGTTTCCACCCTGTGTTGATTTTAGTTGGACAAAGCCAACCACTCCCTTCCTAAAGAAAAAAAAGCTTCAGGTCCAGGGTACTCTTATGAGCAGCAGACACATTGCATCCTGTTACAAAGTCAACAATCATCCAAGTAAAACAGAGCTCTTAAAAGACAAATTAATGCTCTCTATATTGAGTTTTTAAAAAGTGATACAGCATTTTGTTTATAATAGTGAGGCTGAAAAGGTAGTTTGAGTTGTGACTTTCAAAATGTTAAACAAAGACTGTTTCAATGTGTACGCACTGTGAAAATAACTAATGGGTTATCTCTTGTTCATGTTGCAGACCATTGAGGCTTATCTGTCACAGCTGCCCTAACAGTTGTCAGCACAGCGCTCCGAGGATGCGACCACTACTGCCAGATCATGGCTGTGTTTTAAACTGATAATGATTCCACAGAGAAGGACTGGTTCGTTTTTCTTCTTTTCTTTTTTTTTTGCCACCCGAGCCTCTTACTGGGACTGAACAAGAAAATTCAGACAATCCCTTCGGTTGGAGCTGGAGACGCTTCAAGGAAGGCCAGGAGAACCTTTCTGCGAAAAATAATAAAGAACAGAAAACAAACACAGCAAATGACTGCTTCACATTGAAGTGGACCGTCTTGTAAAGGGGCTTTATTACTGGACCTCCATGAGACGGGGTGTTACGTCGCTCTATGAAGTGCCAAGCTCTTTGTCTCTTACTACATCACTCTTTGCCATTGAATGCAAATGCACTTGTTGTTATGAATGCTCCGATGTCTTGATGTTTTTTGCACCTGGGTCCCCTGGAATCAGGAACTTGAATCTGCAGCAGTCTTAAGTTATTAGCTCCCCTCTTGTTTCATTTTGCCTCTCATTATGACGTTTGACTGTGTAATGTTAAGTGTAAAAACAAGTGATTCTTTTAAATCTTTTAAATAAATTTGATAAAAATCAAACTGGGACTGAGTCATGATATATCAGGATTATTAATGCAACAGCAGGTCACGCCGGCCAGTGAATTTGAAGGGACAAGATCATCTGTCATGGCAGGCTCAGTGAGAAACCAGATCTCAAGACATTTAGTGAACAGCAGCTGTAAAACTGCTGATATATTACAGTACAGAAATGTGCAAACACATTATCTACACAACTAAGATCAAGGCTGAAACCCTTAAGGATGATATTAGACAGCACCTTCCCACGGTGCCAAAACTACCAAACGATATGCTGAATATGTCACTGGCCAGCCAAGTCACTTGACCTGAACTGAGTAGTGAATATTAAGAGGTTGAGAAACTGAACCAAAACTTCAAAGGAGCTAAAGGCCTCAATAAAGCCATCTAGTCTGCAGTAACACTAAAAGGGATATTCTGGTGTAAAATCAATTTAGGGTCAAACACACCGTAACACAGAGTTAGACTCCCCCTCAAGAGATGAATGTTGCCAACCGCTTGCTTCTCTAGTTATACAAACTACACAGCGGTCTGAGGAGCCATAAACAATCCTCAACCAAAGCGCCACTCTATAGCCATTTCTTCATGGAAATGCAATCAGACCGAGACGCTAAGACAGAAGAACTACCGTGTCTGCAGTGCAAAATGATTAATATGCTTATTATTACTTAAAGGAAATGATCATAAATGTTCCTCTTTGAGCTGCGGCACCCCGCAGCTGTTCATAATGGACTGGCCCGAGGTCTTGCTACAAACAAGCGGCTGCTGGAAGAGAGTTGGTGAGTTGTGTTTAGTGTCTTTGCTTAAGAAATTAGGGAAAGTTAAAAAGATGTTTGGTGGCTAGTACTGTGGCTGGGACCCTGTTTGAACTGTTGATGAAGTTTGGTGCTGTTCTTCTGAGCATTATTTGTGGCTATAGAGTGGCTTTTTGGTTGAGGTTTGTTTATGGCTCCTCAGACCGCTATGTATTGCTATCGTGTGGTCGTTACTAAAGTTGGTATAACTAGAGAAGCAAGAAACTCATTAAGGTGTGTTTGACCCCAAACTAATTTTACGCCGGAATATCCCTTTAAGTAGTGTCCCAGCAGGCTGAGTGCCCACACGCCCTTCCTTATTGATACAGGAGCCCAAACACGTATTGAGTATATGAACATACTTTTTACAAGGTTATCAATTTGGGGTTTAAAACCCTGTTTATAATTAATCATAGGAAATTTTCTGATAATTTGAGGAACTTCCTCATTTTCTGAGCTTTAAGGCTTGAAAAAACAAAAACAAGACTTGAAATATTTCACTTTAAATGTCATGAATAAAAGAAAGAATAAAAATCATACTTTTGATTGAACTATAAAAAGAAAACTTTAAAGATATCCTCATAATAATTGCACCACCTGGATGGCATTGTTGTAACTGTAAACGTCCATCCGTGCAATAAAGTTTTTTTAGTGACGTCATTTTCCGCAGAGACACCTGATGTGCCGAGACTTCCGCTGCTTCCCAATCTGCTCTTGAATACATGTTGACGAAAACACAGTTAGACGGTTTTGTAATTTCATAAATATACAGTCGAAATGTTGCAAAAGGCCGAGGTACCGTTGCTGTGGGCCTGTCTGCAGGCTGTGCTCGTCGTGGCGTTGGGTTTCACTGATATGGATCCGGGGCCTGGTGTAGGTGTATCGACGCAGCCTAACGGAGATCGGTTCAAAATCGAGGGGAGAGCGATAGTCCCGGGGATCAAAACACAAGACTGGGTATCCGCGGCCAGAGTCCTGGTGGAAGGAGAAGAATATGTGGGATTTTTGAGGTGAGAGACAGCCGCTGAGTTAGCGAGGTTAGCTAGCGTTAGCATAGCCGGCTAGTTCAGCCGATCAGTAGCAGCTGCAGTCAGCAGATGGCAGGTCCGATCTGTCCGCACTGATTTACAGCTTAGACTTTTTAAATACAACCCATTCCAACTGGGGCGAACACACGGCTGTTTCAACGTTAAATCCGTGTCATTGAACCTAATTGATAATGTGATTAAAGGCCTTGTGGTGTCAAAAGATCTGTTTCCAAAACAAACCGAGTTAGCATGGAAACGGACTCACGGTGCACTCAGGTAAACACACCGGCATCGGTGGGTGCACAAAGGAGTAGCCACCCGAAAGAATTGATGAGCAATATCATCACAGTTTACGTCTCTTTGTAAGAAATGCAATAATGGTGTAATGAAATTTTACAAAATCCTTACCAAATATCTGCAATTAATTGGTGTGTTTTCATTTCAAGAAAATACTTGGTGTTTGGTGTGACAGTTCTTAGGAGAGCTTTTTGGCCACACCTTTTAGATGATGTTGTATGCTGCTTCTGTCAAAGAAAAAGCATATATTTAACTCGAAAACAACACACAAAGTTGATAATTGATGTTAGAGGGGTGCTGACAAAGGTAATTGCCTGTATTTTTTATTTCCAAAAGTTTTCTGCTGCACTATTTCTTCTTGATAATAGTCTCTTAAATTTTAGTGAAGATATCACTTAAAACAATTTATTTCAGTAAAAGAGGCCATCATTTTTAACTTAAACTTTAAACTTAAACTGGGTCATTCAAGTTAATACAGGACAAATACACTAAAATCACCAGAGCAATTAATGAGATCAAACAGTGCAAGTCTGAGTAAACCCTTTTAAAGTGGCATACAGGATTTACTTCATAAAGTATTAGACAAAAACTCTCAAAATAGCATGGTAACCTGACTCTTCTCCTTAATGTGAACAATAATGACTCTGCCATAGTTTGCTGAGTGTATTTCTAAACTGGCTTAACATTGTCGACTGCTGGCACCTGAAGATCCTACGAGTTAATGTATCTGGAAGTTAATAATCACGTTTATCTGTAACCTGAATGAACCTCATTTAAGTGCTAATTTGAATAAAGATATTTCTTATGTTTTCTCCAATTACAGAACTGATGGAAGCTTTGCTGTGAATGACGTCCCCTCAGGATCATATGTTGTGGAAATAATCAGCCCTAACTATAGATTTGAACCAGTACGTGTGGACATCACATCCAAAGGCAAAATGAGGTAAGGTCCCAAAATGAAGAGAAGACAAAAAAACAATGCCACTGCTGTGTGTCATCTTTAGTATGCTGTTAATAGCGAATTTCCCCTCTCTAAGTAACCTCACGTTGTTTCACAGGGCCCGTCTGGTGAACTACATCAAGACTTCAGAAGTTATTCGTCAGCCGTATCCTCTGCAAATCAGAGCAACAGGCCCCCACAGCTACTTCATGAAGAGAGAAACCTGGGGCTGGACGGACTTCCTTATGAACCCAATGGTAAAATAGACACAGATGATGTTTCCCTGTTGATGCTAAGGGGGGCAGCTCCCTCTCTTGAAGCCTGTTTGAGCTAGACCCCCTCTTCTTGCTGGGTTGACCATTTTTTAAAAGGAGAAGGAAAAGAGGAGAGTCTGCCAGGGCAACAGTTCTGTTGATGCTCAAGCTCAGCCCTTTCTGGGTTAAGCAGTACGCTCTACCTCCTCCCACACCGTTTTTTTTTTTCACAAAGGAAGAGTGGAGAGTTGGTAGGGAGATGCCAGTAAAAGAATGGGTAGGCAGAGCTAAGGTCAGAGGCTGTACCTCCTCCTTACTTCTTCAATTTCATTACGAAGAAGAGATGGGTGGAAGAAACAAACAGAAGAGAGACAGACTGCTTCCCCCCTGTGCCCCCATTTCTTATGTGATCAGAGACGTGGATCTGTAGAGAAATGTCAGAGAGAGAGGCAGGAAAATCTGTAAGAGCTCACCTCATCAGGTCAGGCTGTAAAATTTGAGTGGATTTTGAAGTGTTTTGTTCAAATCAGTGATGTGTGTTCCTCCTGCAGGTTATGATGATGGTTTTGCCCCTGCTCATCATTGTTTTGCTGCCTAAGGTGGTCAACACCAACGACCCAGAGATGAGAAAGGTAAAGAATTCGCCCATAGTCCTGTTTCTTTCTGTTGGATGGTGCATGTTTGTAGTGTCAGTTATAGTCTTTCTTTGTGCCCCAGTTTAAGGTGAAAGCATTATAGTGAAAACTGTGATTGAAAATATCTTCATCATAGGCTGTCCTGGATCTCTGCAGCGTTGTTATGCCTTTCCACTCTTTTTCCAGGAAATGGAGCAGTCCATGAACATGCTGAACCCCAACCCCGAGCTTCCAGATGTTTCCGAGCTCATGACCAAACTCTTCTCCGGCTCTAAGGGCTCCAGTAAGGCAGGTAGCAGCAGCAAAGGCACCAGGCCAGCTGCGAAAAGGAGGTAGTACCGTCTCTACGTCTCCTCAGTCTGCCTGAAGAAGCTCGAGTTATGCCATGGAAGCAAGATTTTTAAGTGTCATTTTTTTCTCCTTTGGGTTTGTTGTACAGTTTCTTTAATAGATGGTTTCTTGTATGCTGGTGGAAACTAAAAAGAGAGATGTTTTTCATACTGCACTGATAAGAACTCCTTAAACCCTACAAAAGCTGTTCTCCCCTTTTTGTCCTGTATTTTCTTTGTGTGGCTTTACTCCTCATCAATCCTCTCTGTGCTAACCCCCAGTGTGCGTTTTTCCACTGCTGCTAATTCCACAACCTGAAAGAGGACATATATTCAGAGATTTTCTTGGTTCTTTTGGATATCAGTGATATGACTGTGAATAAAAATGAATCGAATTTTAAGACTGATAAAATCTTATTTAAAAAAGAGAGCCTAGATAAATAAAATTCTGTGGTATATAACAACAGTGTTTTTATTTCAGATCCTTTTTATGTTTGAGAGTGAACACATGGCCTTGTCATTGTATGGTTGAATGTGTGGCGCTGATTAACACACTGTACATTATGTGCCTGAGGTGTATAAATTAACATGGTAATCATGGGCAGTTTGAAGGATGAAAGAGGTGTATGGTTTCTTTCAAGGTCACTAGAGTGTAACTGACTTAATTTTAATAAAGCGGACAGACAAGTCCATTTAACGTCTTAAAGTCCCACTCCGATCATTTTTTTTTTTACTACTTAAAAGTCTTTTCACTGGTCTTTAAATTGTTATTTTGAGGTTTTTAGCCAAAATCACATTACCTGTGTCATTTTAAGGGCTTTTCTTCTGCAGAGCTCCAGTAGCTCATTAGCAGTTCGCCTCTGAGTCGTGGACAGGAACAGCGCTGCTCTGCACACTCTTCTGCATGCTAGCTTGCAGCCTAACATTGCTGGTGTCATAGAAGAAGCAGGAAACATAGGAGCTATTCAGCTCTTGGACACTAATGTCTTCAGGGACATGATGAAAGTTAATGTCATAATTGGCTTTCTTGCGAGCATTGCAATCCGCTACCACACATGCTTGTTCCTTGTTTATCCCCTGTATTTTTTCAGGTCTGGCCTGCACTCCGGGGCTCCGGGGGCGGAGCTTGGATTCGGGACGCAGGAAATCTCACTGAATCTGAGCCTTCTGTTTTGGTCTGTGAGAGGTTCACAGTCATTTGAATGCAGAAATACTCAGACATGCAATTTTGCACTTATTTTTTATCACGGGATGTCCTTTAGCATAAAAAAATGCCATATGAACATGTAGACAACGAGAAAAACATGATTTTCATCAGAGTGGGTCTTTAATAAGTTGTGTTTCTGATATCTCTTCAGCCATATAACAGAAAATATTACAAGTAAATATTTGATAGGACAATCACAACTCAAGATCCACCCTGACATGTTCCCCCGAGCTCTTAGCATGCCACACATGGTCCTCATTGTTGATGGCTGCTTGCTCAGCTGTTCCTTACCTTACCTTAACACATGAGCTTAGGGTGAGTTTATAAAATATTCATCGCAGTGAAATCAAACTCGAATCTGCTGATGAAAGCCATCTTATATGGTTTAATCTTCAAAAGGAAGGAACAAACATTGATACTTCAAGACAATGAGGGTGTCAGAACCCCCAACACTGTCCCTCGGTAAATATGAGTGGTTTTAAGATGATTTAAGATCCATCAAATGGAAGACGATAAAAAACAGCATTTGGCTTTGATTGCTCCTAAATGATGGAGGTCACATTCAGATGCTATATATCGGTCCAACTGCAGGTGTTGGGCAGGTTTGAGCTTTTATGCTTATGAAACTGACTGAATTCACATTGCTGCCTCTATATGCCAGAAAAGGTTGACAAAAGTATCCCTGACAAAACTTGAAATTTCTGTGTGATTTTTGTACTGGACTACATCAGAAAAGAGATGGGCTATACAGGTTTATCCACCGGGGATGCCTCGTTAAAAAGAGAAACTAACCCTAACCAAACTCAGATAAGTGTTGAACACACTGATTTTTTTTATTTTTCAGTCTCCACTGTTTCATATGTAGTATGACACTATTAGTGGCATTCATCCTAAAATCCTTGCTATTAACAACAAAAGCGAGAAAGATAAGATAGGATGTTCCTTTAACAGTCTCACAGGGGGAAATTCCAAAAATGGGTCACGGTTAAACACATCTGAGGTCTAGTTGGGTATATTTGAAATGGGGTGAAGTAAGTAACAATTAGGAGATGCTGATCAGTCCGGCCTCTTCATTGAGAGAGCAGTTGATGAATCTGCATGGAAACTTGGCTTACTACCACACTGAAGAAGAACAACAAAGTGCTACGCTTATTTAACTGTGCCAAACAAGGTCGTGGTGTGACAGTAAAGCACTGAAAATATTCTCAATAGACGCACAAACATTGATGTTTTGGTCAGACTGTTTAAAAATTGGCTAAATAATGTAATAATGGGTAGCTAAATGCATAGCTTTCATGCCAGTTTAACAGGCAGTTTCTCAGCAATGGGCCGAACTGACTGCCATAACAAGTTGCACTTAGGACTGACTTGTAGCACCTTTTACAACATTATCCCAGTAACTCTTAAAAAGCTGGATAAGTACTCAGTTAAACAAGTCTGTTCATCGCAAACCATTTCCATCTGCCTATGGGATGTGTAAGGGAACACAGAAAAAGCACTACTAGTCTTTTAATACACAGATAAAGACAATGAAGACTGAGAAAGCATACCGTTTGTGCAGTCTCCTGTATTTAACGGAAACCTGATTGAATCAAAACAACTCTGACCCCAGTGTGGATCTACCTGGCTTCACTCTCATAAGATTAGACAGAGATGCTAAAGGTAGTGGCGAGAAGAATGGAGAAGGTCTGACTTTATTTGTCAACCAGAGATGGTGTAACCCTTCACACATAACTGTCAAGAAGAAGTTGTGTTGTCCAGATACTCAATTGTTGGCAGTTGCTCTTCGGCTATATGATGTTCCTAGGGAGTTCAGTCATATCATAACAATACTTGTATACATCCCATCCAAAGCAACAACTGAAGTTCTGTGTGATGTTATCCTTGATACTGTTGCTAGGATACAGACTCAACATCCTGAGGTAATAATGTCAGGAAACTTCAACCATGTCACTCTCACCTCTCTCCTGATTGGATTCACACAGTTTGCTAACTGTCCTACCGGAGAAAACAGAAAACCTGGATCTGCTGTATGCTTATGCTAAAGAAGTCTACAGAGCCACTGCCTTACCACTACTGGGCAAGTCAGATCATAACTTGGTTTATCTGCAGTTTATCTGAGATACCAGACAAATGAATTTCCCTTTGGCGATAAACCAAATCTTGTATTGAATTGCATTATATTGCAAAGCTTACTAGTACTAGTAGAATAATTTCATTGTTGGATATGGTCAAATAGAGGTTTCTTTGACAATAAGAAAGATATGGAGCATCATATGACCCAAGAGAGTGGCTTCATGGTGTTGTGAGGCAAAATAATTCAGTAACATGAGGCTATTATGACCTCCAGAAAGCCTATTCTGTACAAGTGTTGGGGGAGCAATAATTTGAGAAATTTCTGAAGAAATACAAATAACGTTGGAGTCAGCAGATCCTGTGTTGAAAATGTTCATATAGAGTTTGTATTTGGATGTTCATATACACTCAGACTCAGTTTTACAGAACTGCACAGATCGACAATGAGCACAGATTCACTCACAAAGCACTTTTGGCCTCTGATCAGTACAGAAGGCAAAGCGTTTAGAAGGGTAACATTTGACATCACATCATTAGAAGACATAGAAGTGCAATAATTTACAATACCAGCATTCATCCACTAAAAAGAAATTGTTTCTGTGTCCAAGCTAGTTTTTGTTTTAAGAGTTCTCTGACGTGAACAGAGGCGTGAGCCTCTGAACATCTGTGAAACAAATGCAACTGAAATGTACTGATTAGCCCTTGAACACAACATCAACTTTGATTAGCAAGTGCAGTACAGAAACAAAGAGAAAACATTAAATCAACACTGATATACACAAAGCAATCTACATTTACATTGTGCAGTGTGTAAAATCCAATATTTTTATAAGTCTCATCTTTTTACTATAAATTACTTTGAAATGTGTCAGCCTATATTACGTCCTTTATATACAGTGCATGTGAAGAGTAGAATAAAGAAGAATGACTGAGGTTTGAAGGACATGTTCAGTGTTTATAAATGAAATGTTTATAATATATAATTGAAATGTTTTTATATTGATTCATCATTCCTCCGCTCTCGTCATCTCAGAGTGTTTCTCCACATCATGATGCGAATGTCAGACCCTGTGTTCTCAGCAGCTATCGATTGAAATGTTTACAATAATGTGTTTATACGGAGGAAAGCGCAGTCATAAAAATGCACTCATTCAAAATGTCATAGCCATTCTATTCCATAGCCACTGGGAATTTGAAGACATAAAAAACAAGATTTATAACATCTATGTTGAAGATTATTGAATGAACATCTTAAATTGACAAAATAAAACACCAAAGAGACTATTAAAGTAGACCAGAAAGAATACAAAGCTTACAATTAAATTCCATTTATATCTTAAAGCTCCTGTAAGTAATTCTAAGGCGGTTATAAAATACTCTAAAGTTAACACTAATGGCTTCTTGTGCTGTAGAAAAACAAACAAGACTATCAGAGACAAGACTGGTAATTTCCACATTGTTGTTTTAAATGCCTGAAGCCACATTGTAGGTGTCAGACAAAGGCATAAATGGCACACTCTAGATCCTTTTTGTCACAGTTGCCAAGATTTTCAAAGAGATGTTATGTCTATTAAAATGGTCAATGCAGATTTAACATTATGCCTACAGGGGGCGCCAGAATCAATACAGACCAAAAAGCTACTCGCAGCTCTAATAAGGTTGGATCTCATATAAGAGGTCTGTCCTAACTTTCTTCTTTGACATTAGATGGATTATTTTTTTCAATGCTGAGAGTCAAAACAGCTCATATTAATGTGTTTTAAAAGGTGGAGGGGATGGTGAAGTGTTTATCAAGTGGCTCTGTAAATTGACTTTTTAGTCCTCATTGTAAAGTAGGTTAGTGAAGAAGTTCACTAATGGGCACAAGAGGTTATCAAAACATAATTTTTTTTAGCGTTTTCTGGAGAGGGCTACCCCTTTTTATAACAGACTGAAACAAATGGACACGGTCTTAGGGACATCACCTGTTGGTTTCTGGTGAGGGTTTTTTAAGCCAAAGAATGGTGGTTGCTAAATTGAAAATGCTGACTCAATATAACTTTTGGTCAACCCAAGAAATGGAAAAAAAAAAAGGTGGAGCTGAGGTGAACCTTACTCCTAAACATTTAGTCCTCAGATTTTACATTGGAGCCATATTACAGTAATAAAAAAACCCTCTATAGACAGTCCAGAGAGGAGGAATGATTACAGCTGTGATTAACTCTTGATGTACACAATAAAATGTGTGATAATGTAAAGTGTGATAAAAGTTTGCCCTAAAAGTAGCATGGCACTCCTATAACACATTTAGCCTAATGTAGATAAGTATCAAAATAAGTACAGCAGAACCACACATAGTCTTTTTAACTCCCCACATTTTCTTTTCATGTCAAAACCTGGCTACATCACCCACAATGCAACTCAGTCAATAACTGCTATGTTTTGACAGTCTGCTGAGTCATGCTAGCAGCTGCTAATGCAGACTCAAATTATTATCCCACTCTAGAGTTGAGTAGAGGCCGTCAGTGGTCAAGTGAGCAATTCCAGATTTATCTCATGTTTAAACCTGGAGTTATTTTTACCCCAGACAATGCTAACTCTTATAACACCACATGACAGAGTTTGTCAGACTTTGTTTAGTGCTTTCTGGGGCCACAAATGGCCCCTCTTAAAGGACCTGTGAATGACTTGTACAGTGTTAAAAGTCTGAATAATTTCCTTTTAAAGATATTCCTCTGCAGCCTCACGTTTAACCCTGTCAAAGTGCTGCAGTCGCTCATCACTAACATATACTTAGACAGCAAAAACACATGCAGCACTTCATGCTGAGGATGACCACACCACAGTATACATATCAAGAAAATCTGCATGTGAGAAAAATTAGTTAACCTAAACACTCTAATGTTGCAGATCAAGTCATTTTATTGTTGACGTTTGGATTCTGTCCACACCAGTACAATTTGTCCTCGCCTCTCCGCCTCCTCCTCCACTGGCAGAGCAGCAGCATACGAAATGTCTTCTGAAAGGTCTTGTTGCAAAGAGCGTAGCACATGGGGTTGATGGTGCTGTTGACGTAGCACAGCCAGTAGCCCAGGTGCCACAGTGAGGTGGGGATGCACTCGGTGCAGAAGGTGGAGATGAGCACCATGATGTTGTACGGCGTCCATGTGAGGATGAAGGCCAGGAGGATAGCACTGAGAGTCTGGGCAGCTTTCTTCTCCTTCACCAGCACGTTCCTCTTCCTTTTGGTGATCTGGTTCTTCAAGGCCGGGTCCATGGGTTTGGGGGTCGTGGAGGATGCAGGGGAGGTGTTTTTAGGGGGCTGCTCTGTTTGAAGAGGGAGAGGCGTGGGTGTTGCAGTGACAGGTTTGCCATTTTTGCGCTTTGAGCCAGGTTTGAATTTATAAGAGATGCGCTTTTTACTTTTCTTCTTTTGCAGACTGGAAAAGTACTGTTCCTCAGTATAATCAGTCACCTGCCCATTCTTACTACCCTGTCCACTATCTTGCTCTTTGAAAGATCCTTCTGGGGTCTCTATTGACACGTGCTGCTCCTCCTCTTCAGAAGAGGTGTAGCTGTTAAAAGATGTGACCTGATCTGCTTTTACCCACCCCTCATCTGATCTTGTTGTAGTTTTAGTGGCATTACTTTGGTTGGATGAGGACCAGGAGGCCTGACTCCGCTCCTTTCTCTCTCGGTTGAAATGAAAGCATGAATGAATGATCGTCTTCTGAGGTTTAATCCCCTCTGGAACATTTTCTGTTGCCAGTCCTTGCAGCTCTGCCAGATCTTTGGTCCGTTTCTGCGTCTCCTTGTAGATCCGACAGTAAAGGATTGTCATGACTGAGACGGGGATGTAGAATGCAGCAATGGCTGTTCCAAATGTGATCACAGGCTCTGTTAGAAACTGGATCTGGCACTGGTCAGGGGGCACTTTTCTCTCTCCTACAAAGTACTGCCAACACAGGATGGGTGGTGCCCAGAGGATGAAAGACACCAGCCAGGCCAGGCCTATCATGATGGCGGCTCTCTTTGGAGTCCTTTTAGCCCTGTACGTCAGCGGCCTAGTGATAGAGAAGTACCTGTCAAAGCTGATGACGAGCAAGTTCATAACCGAAGCATTGCTGGCTACATAATCCACCGCGAGCCAGAGGTCACATGCGAGGTTTCCCAAAGACCAGTAACCCATCAGAATATATGTGGTGTAAAAGTTCATGGACAACACTCCTATGATTAGATCAGCGAAGGCCAAACTTAGCAGGTAGTAGTTATTTACAGTCTTCAGCTGGCTGTTGACTTTGAAGGACAACATCACCAGAACATTACCAACGATGGTTATCAAACTGACGATGGCAGACACTGTGGCAATAGCTATGACCTCCCACAGGCTGTGGGGGGCAGCATGGAAATGGGTTGTGTTGGTGCTGTTTGGGAGATCCACATCCATGATGCTGAGATGCTGGTTACTGTAATCAGGTCAGAGAGAAGCACCCTTTTGCTGCTCCTTTAAGATTTCCCTGAAATTAATAAAAATAATGATGATTAGAAACAATTGCACAATATTATTTAATAGATCAAACACAAAACACTCACTCAAATACAATACTATTGTCACTATGGTACTATGTAAAAATATGGAACACATTTGGAAACTTCATCAAAAGTTGAGTTGTGCTCTTAAAAGGTACAGGTCCTAAAGAGGCTGTGGGCTCTATTTTGATGCCTCGCCGAAGACGTGCCGCAAGCGCAGCGTCAATCAGAACCGCCGCGCTGACAAGGCGTTCCCAAGCACATTTTGGTATTTTGGTGAGCCGCGCAGCCCGGCGTAAGTATCCCCCCTCCCTAACTCAGCTCCTCCCAGCACCATAAGTCGTAGACGGGGAAGAGAGAGGGCGTATGGGGGGTTTAACACAGCCGAGACCTGTTTTCACCAATCACATAAGCTCCTCTCCTTGCCTTTAAATCCGCCACCGGCGAGGCGTATTACTATTTTCATGAAGTAGTCAAAGAGATCAAGAGATGTCTGAAGACAGTTATGCCACACGATGGCGACAGAGGGCAGCTGCTCAACAAGTGTCCTCCACACTCTCTCATCTGAGCACAGATGGATTTGGTGTGCGTAATGTTGGACCCACTGGTAAGACAAACACCCTTTTCCACAAAAAAGACAGTCACATAAAGTTGCATATATTCAAACCTCACGTGACAAAGGTGGGTTTAGCGCACAGATCACAACATAAACTCCAAAAATGGCATTAAAATCGGAACCATCTGTGCGTAAATGACGCATCGCGCTCCGTGGCCTGGCTCTTTCTTTCATAGATGTTGGCATATAAAATAAATTTGGCCCACCAAACTGAATATTATAATATCCGTATGTAGATAACGCATCTAAGCACTGAAACAAATCATCTGTTCAGCCGCAGCAGCTGCGGCAAGACGGACAGAGGACACGGAGACGTGTCCAGGTCGAGCTGTGCGAGAAATAAGAGGAAGAAAGAAAAGGAGGGAGACACATTACGTATCTTGTTAACTTCATCATGTGTGTTTATTTACTAGATATTTAATTTAATTTGATGCAGTTTCAGCTGTATTGATTCGGTCAGGTTGTGTGCCCAAACGCGTGCCAAACGCGTGCCAAACGCGCTCATCAGATCAGATATAGATCAGAATATATCGATATAGATCTAAATGTATGTGCTGACTCAGATTAATAGTTGATGATGATTATTTATTGCACTGAAATCTGCCTGACACTGTGGAAACCTGCCGGTGAGGCATCGGTGACGTATGTCGATACGCCGCCGGTCTACCAAAATACTACTAGACCAGCTGCGTTCCGCCTTGCGCTGAAAGCTGACCAGGTTTGAATCGGCGAGCTTTCAGCGCACGTTACACGCCGGTGGCGAGCACGAAAATGTCACTGCGCCAGCTGATTCTGTCAACACCTCCCCCTCCCACGCCACCACGCCCAGCTTGGCGGATCTCGGCTCGCCTCCGTGCGACTCAGTCCACGAAAATACCAAACTCGCCTTACGCCGGGCTCCGCCAGACGAAAATAGAACTGCGCGGGGCTCGCCGCCCTCCGCCGCCTCACCAGCGCGAACAAAAATAGAGCCCTGTGTGTTTAAATGAGAATATCTAACAATGCCTGATTCTATATTGGAATGCTCCTTTGCTCACCGCTCCAGAAATATGATCCTCCATTTGTTTAGTTATTACTATCAAAAAAAGTCTATTAACACGAATTGTTTTGTATGTAAACGACAACTTTCTTCTTCGTCTTTCTCTTCCATTGGTAAGTCTTGTGCAGCTACTTGCTAAATACAAAAACCTGTATGTAACTAGTTTGTCTCTTTACTGCTTCTGTTGAAATATGACTGAACAATATGGCAGCCTTTGTGGAAGGGGATCCACTCCTGTGTAGATATAAAAGGCTCATACTAAGCTAACAATTTTTTTTTCAATAAATAGTCAGGTTATTACACATGATTTCTACATACACTACAGGCCAAAAGTTTGGAAGCAAGATCAGATTTGTACAAAAAAAGGATAATAGTTTGATTAATATACTTTGCAACACAATAAACATGACTATTGTGTAAAGAGTAACTTATCAGAAGACATTTTGACTATAATTATTAGGTATTTGAGTTATTGTTGCTTAGACTTTTCTTTCTCTAAAGTAACCTCCTCTGGCTTTAACAACAGCTTGGCATATACCAGGTATTCGTTCCACAAGTTTTTTTAAGGTATGTTCCAGGGATTGCATTCCAAGCTTTCTTAAGTTCACTAAAAAGAGACTGCTGATTCATGGGACGCGTTTTTCTGGCCGATCAATCCAATTAATCCCGCACAAGCTCTATTGGAGAGAGGTCTGGAGACTGAGGGGGCCAAACCATCTTTTGAAGAACACCTTCCACTTCTTTTTTGTGTAGGTAACCCTGACAGAGCTTTGCAGAATGCTTAGGGTCATTGTCTTGCTGCAAAACAAACTTTGGACCTACAAGTCTGAGTCCAGATGGAACTGCATGATGCTGGAGGATGGAGTGGTACTGTTCCTTCTTCATGATACCCTTTACTTCAAACAAATCTCCTACTCCATCACCTGCAAAACATCCCCATACCATGGACATACCACCTCCTTGCTTAATTGTGGGTGTAACACATGGTGCTTTTAGACGTTCACCAGTTTGTCTGCGGACATAGACTCTGCGTTTTGAACCAAACTGTGCAAACTTGTTTCTAGTCATCATAAGTCCAATTTTTGTGAGCTTTTGCCCACTCATATCTCTTTTTCTTGTTCTGTGGATGAAGTAGTGTTTTTTTGCAGATACACAACCCTTCAGACCAGCCTTTTTCAAACATCCTTTCACCCAGAGAAATGGGTTTCGACCTTGTCATGTTTATTTCCTCCCTTATTTTTGCTGCTGTCTTTCGCCGATCTCTCTTACTGGGGACAATGCTATGTTTATCCTCTGCTTTTGTAGTAACTCTCTTCGTTCAGGTTCAGGATAAGAACAGATTCAACTTCATCGATCCTTTTTGGAAGGTTCCCTTCCAAAAAACTAAAAACTATTAATTACAACTAGTAATTGTACAAACAACATGTCTGAATTCTAATAGCTTTTTAATTTGTTTGCTAATTTTAAAAAAAGAGGTAACTGACTAAGTGAAATATGACTAATTTTGACAAATCTCTGAAATGTCTTTAAATACTGTATACCTTTATTTATTTATTTGTTTTACATTTTGCTCAGAAGTTAAGTAATAATTTTTCCTCGGTAAAATTGATTATGTGATTAGTTCAGCTTAATTTAGACATGTATTTATTTATATGCTTTCACATTCCTAACTAGAAAGACTGCATGTTAAGTATGGTACAGTCGCACTATCCATTCTATACAAAGTTTATGCTATACAAAACGAAATGATTTTTGATATAGATTCTCTGTATTTATAAGTTTTTGCAGAGCATGTTTTTCCGTTCGTACGTTGCCAACTATTTCGGCGACATGCGCGACTCGGAACCATCAAACACCATTTTCTCGAGGACCAGTTTTAATGTAACACTCGCTTCAAACCCTTAGGTGTCACAAGCCAACTGTCCGGTCCCAGTTTACCGCTATGGAAGACAGACTGAGCAGAGGCAGAGGAGGCAGCTGGAGAAGAGGGGGCCGCGGTGGAAGTGACAGCGACAGTCACGGTGGTGAACAACGGGGAAGAGGGAGAGGAGGCCACCACCGCGGCCGGGGGAAAAGAGACCACTACCGCGGTCGTGGACGTGGGGGAAGCGCCCGTGTAGCAGAGTTCCATCAACGGGTGAGAGAGCATGAGGCTGCGGTGTGTTGGCAGTCCCCCCGTCCCGCTACACCAAACCCCGTTGAAAGTAACGGAGATTTTGTAACTGCGTCACAAAGATAGCGCTTTACAATCTGCGACGATCACATCTGACCTCCTCTCTCCCAACTCCTAACTCGGCCTTAGCAGCATTAAATGTAGTTCATTCTTTAGCCTTCTCTGACCAAATAACACATAATAAACTAATGTAGAAACTTTAGCAAAATGTTTATTATCATCAGGCATTATCTTCATTAAAGGTGAGCTGACCAAAATATATGCTATGACATCAGTGACCACAAATGGCTGGTTAGGGAAGAGTTGAGTGTTTTTCATTTCACATCCTCTGACTCTGACACTTGTTTCTATCAAAAGCACTTCAACATCATCATGTTATGATCTGAGGCTTTGGTATGACAGAAGAGCGCTCAGCTTCATTTTCACTGGGATGTTCTGTCAGCCGATGCTCCTGCCATAGTAACTCCAGAATTAGCAGGAAAACAATAGGGGATCTGTGATTGCAATCATACAAATCTCCTTCAGTACATAGGAGCCCGTTGATTGCAATCATAAAAATCTCCTTGGTGCATCCAAAGCTACTGTGAGGTTGTTGATGATTGTGTTGTGTGTTTGGCTTGTGACAGGCTCGTAGAGGAAAAAGAAGCAGACATTGTCCTAATGTAACACCTCCTAATTTTTTTTCCATGACAACTCTGTTAAAGGTTTGTGCAACAGCACGATAGAACAGGGAGTACATTAGCTATGACAAATTTAATGAGACTGATCATACTGCTTGCATGGCTCAGTCTAGATTGGCAATCTGGCATACTTGGTACTTTTATCGTTGGCTAACGCACCTAGGGGCTGGTAGGTTAGAATAGGTAAGTTGCCCAGATTGATGCGCAAAAAAGTCTGGTAGTGCAAAGAAGTTGTACATGTCCCAATATGTGTAAACTGGTGACTGCAGTATCTTAAACTTGTTGTACTGTACTAGTGCATGCTCTCCTTAAATGCCATGAAGTGAAGCAGCAGGTGTGTGTGTGTCAGTAAAGCAGAGGTACAAAGTGAGCATGCCAAACATTTTCATAATTAGACCCATTTTTTTTCTGAAAGTATTTTTTTTGGACACAAGCCCCATGTAGATTGAGTCACTTATCTCAGTGGGTTTAGTAATAAGCTTTCATACAAGCAGTTTTTCTTTTTCTCTTATAGGAGCGAGATGAGGAGAATGACTATGAAGAGGAAGCAGAGAGGACAGAGGTTTTCTCCAGGAGGAAACTGGAGTCAAACTGGGACCGTTACGCTGAGTCAGAGAGGCAGGAGCCTGAGGATGATACCCCAACTCAGAGAGGAACAGACTACCACGTCCTGCTCGAGTCAGCAGGTAAGATCCGACCAGTCAAACCTTTAGTTAAGTTTGATTTGGCTCACCATGTTTGCAGCCCCTCCTCAAATATGCCAGCTTCCAGAAACATTACAATGAGCCTAAAATGGCATGTTTCTTTGGATTGATTTGAGGAGCTGACATATGAATCACTTTTTGGAATCCTTTACTCAGTTTCTGGGAATTTGGCTCGCAAAGCATGTCGAAGAATCGAAGCCAGTTTTCCTCCCAAGCTTAAGGGACACATTCTCAGTCCAGTTCCCACGTTTCTATTAGCTGCTCCAACATTTTCTTGCTCATGAATGTTGGCTTTTTTTCCACCAATAAAAATTTAATCATGAGTGGATTAGAGGATGAGCGGATTTTTGGTTGTAATCAAGTTAAACGGAAGTATTTGTTCTCTGCTCTCTGTGGACACTGCTAATAGATGGCTGTACAGTGAAACCTTGGGGGTCTTTGTTTGCTGGTTTCAGCCTCAGGTCAGTGTCTCTTGTCCCCAGAGCTTCATCACATACTGATATTCCATTGCCTTAAGGGAAAAGAGTCAGAGCTGCTCATTTGTTCCCATTTTGGGCTCTCCAGAATAATGAAGGGCTATCACATTAAGCTTTTGGCTGAAATCTGGTTTATAAAGGAAGAGGACTGAGCTGAAGATTTAATTTCAATTTGACACAGCCGTTGACTTCCAAGCAATTTATTTCTTAGTCCTCAGAAAAAGAAAATGGTCTGAGTTAATGCGTCATGATATATCTTTTTTAAATGTAGCATGAAAAAAGGAATATAATGGCCAATTCAGTATGCTTCAAACTAATATTCATATTCACTTGGGGTCGCATGTTCACACTTTTCTGTTGCATTTATATAAAACAGTGCTTATCATAATTTTCAACATCCTAATTCATGTTTTTTTCTCCTCTGGCAATACACTGTAATTTAAAAATGCGAAATCCCCTCACTCTCTACTACATTAAATAGATTTAATTAAAGACTGAGGCATGCTTTGATAAGATTGTAAAACTTTGTTAATTTGTAATCATAAGCAGCCACAGTAGCACAACATTACATAAAAGCAGGTTTTTCTGACTGACCACTAGATGACAGTGCAAGTGAGATCATAAGACTGGTAAACAGCTCCCAGTCTAATGGATTTTACAGCTGTATGAGTTTGAGATGAAAATGAGGAACCATTTTCGAGTAGTTCCATTTCAGTGTGCAGCTTCAGTCTGTCTGATTCCTAACAACATCTCACGCTGTGTTCCCTCTGAAATGTGTATCTTTTTCTTCTCTGATGGCGGAGGGTGTCATAAAAGTTTCCTCTGCTCACATTTCCTCTGAACTTGTTTTACGTCGTACAATTCCACAGACGGAAGGTCTGGTTGCTGTTTTTTTCGGTTGCCTCTGAGTACACATTAAAGCCCTCCTCTGTCCTCGATCTCTGGGACCCTCAATTTTCTGTTGAATTTATCTTTGTCTACATCAGCTGTTAAAAAATTTGAAGATTAATTCATGTTTAAATGTAAAATCCAAGGTAATCATTTAAATGCCTTCAGAATAACTATAGGAATACAAAAGAATTAGTAAGCTCAATATTACTGGCTTCTTTTGCTTTTACCTTGATGAAAAACTTGTTTTAATTATCCAAGTTTCAATCAAAATTTCTGAGAAAAGAGAAAGAGAAGCTGAGAAACCCAACGTCAATCCACCATTATGCCCTTTAAACAGGCAGAAACCTGAGCAGAACCAGACACACTGGAAAGCAACCATCTGTCAAGACTGGATGAACCAAGAAAGTGGGATCACGAGGGTGATGGAAAAAGAGAGAAAAAGAAAACAAAGCAGCAATAGGAAGTAGGATTAATGCAGATGAAAAGCCACAGTGCCAGACATTCAAGTGAAATATGTGTAATATTAGCTATAATAAGTGCAGTTATGGTAATTTAAGTATGAGAATGGGCCAGAATACGAGCATTGGCATCAGTCTCACAAAAGTGCTCATACAAGAAAGGCACGACACAGCCCGCCAGCATCAGACATATCCTTCCTCTGTAGTGCTGTGCCTGTGCTAAAACAGTCAACAGGCTAAACTCTGCTCTGAACTGCAGGAGAAGTCTGTTATTTCACTGGAGTCATTATGGCAGTGATGCTTGAACATGTTGATGTGAAAATCTGGAGTCACTGAGTCGTCCCTTTCAGCTGGTCTCCTCTGCTCTCAGCATGACTGAGTGGATTTCATAACACACTGCTGCAGAGAGGAAAGCACTTCATCGTGTTGAGTTAGAAATTGTGGAAATGTTTGGTTTCATATCATCAAGTGTCGGGTTATTTTAGTTTTATGTAAAAACAGAATGTGGTCTGAGTATGAAATGCCATTAGTGAGAGGAGGGTGGCATTGACACGTGAACTTTGGGTAAATTGATAAACTTCAGTCTGTGATTTTTCTTTTTTTTTTACTTTATTAACAAAACTGTCATGGAAGCGCTGGAAGGGCTGAATGAAACGTGACTGTCTCTCTCTCTCTCTCTCTCTCTCTCTCTCTCTCTCTCTCTCAAGGTGATAGTTTTTCTTGATCATCCACTCACATTTGTCGTTCATCTCCTTATATGACTACTGAGAGTTTACAGCCAACATAGTGTTTTCCTGGTTTTAATTTTGGTTTTATAGCCCACACCTTCACTGTTTTGGCTCAGTCTCTTAGCTCTCATCAATTTTATTTTCAGCCGCAACATGAAACTATGAAAAAACTCCCAACAACCCACTGTGTGCTGTACTTGTCCAATACTAAATTACAGCCAAAGTTAGAGACTATCTGCTCAACATGATGGAACATTGAGCACCTAAACAGGCAGATAATTCCCTGTGGAGTTGTAAATGCAGGGGGATATTGGACACACAACGAGCTGTTGTTGAATTGTGTTCGCGTGTTTGTTGATGGATTTTATTGGGTGAGTGATGATAAAAAGGAACTCCAATTTTGTTTATTCTTAAGCTAAACAAATCTCCTTTTTAGCTTATTATAAGTTAAAGAAATTCAATTTATGGCTACATTCTGTATGTCCCACATCATTTACAGTCCAATTAGTATCTTAAAGACCCACTCAGATGAACATCATGTTTTTCTTGTCGTCTACATGTTCATATGGCATTTTTCTGATTCTACAGGACATTTCATGAGAAAAATAAGTGCGAAATTGCATTTCTGATTATTTCTGCTGTGAATCTCTGGCAAACCCAAAGGTCCCCGGAGCCCTGCTATGCAGCCCAGACTTTGAAAAATAGAGAGGACCATCACAGAACAAGCGTGTGTGGTAGCGAATTCCAATGCTAAAAGGAAAGCTAATTATGATATTAACTTTCATCATGTCCCTTAAGACATTAGTGTCCAAGAGCTGAATAGCTCCTATGTTACCTGCCACTTCGACTACACCGGCAATGTTAGGCTGCAAGCTAGCATGAAGAGGAGTGTGATGAGTAGCACTGTCTCCGCCCACAACTCAGAGGCGAATAGCTAATGAGCTACTGGAGCTCTGCAGAAAAAAAGCACTTGAAAATGACACAGGTAACATGATTTCATGTTGCATGATCAAAAGTGAAGCAAAATTCACCCCTCAAGAAAGCTCAGCAAAAGAAGACAGATAGATAGATAGATTGAGTGAGTGCGTGCGTGCAAAAAGTATTCATACACTTCACTTTTTCCACAGTTTGTTTTGTTACAGCCTTATTCCAAAATGGATTAAATTCCTTTTTTCCCTCAAAGATTCAACACTAAATACCCCATAATGACAAAGCCAAAAACTTTTTTTTCACAACATTTTTCAAATTTTTTTCAAATAAGGCACTCAAATGTTGCATATACATAAGTATTCACACCCTTTGCTATAAAACTCAAAATTGAGCTCAGATGCATCCTGTTTCCACTGATCAGTCTTGAAATGTTCCTCCAACTTGATTGCAGTCCACCTGTTGCAAATTCAGCCGATTGGACATAATTTGGAAAGCCACACCTGTCTATATAAGATCCCACAGCTGACAGAGCACGTCAGAGCACAAACCAAGCCATGAGGTCGAAAGAATTGTCTGTAGACCTCCGAAACAGGGTTGTATCGGCGCACAGATCTGGGGAAGGTTACAGAAAAATATCTGCGGCATTGAAGATCCCAAAAAGCACAGTGGTCTCCATCATTAAGAAATGGAAGATGTTTGGAACCACCAGGACTCTTCCTAGAGCTGTCCGCCCAGCCAAAATGAGCAAGCAGGGGAGAAGGGCCTTGGTCAGGGAGATGACCAAGAACCTGATGGTCACTCTGACAGAGCTCCTGCGTTCCTCTGAGTAAATGGTAGAACCCCACAGAAGGACCACCATCTCTGCAGCACTCCACCAGTCAGGCATTTATGGTAGAGTTGCCAGACAGAAGCCACTCCTCAATAAAAAGCACATGACAGCCCGCTTGGACTTTGCTAGAAGGCACCTGAAGGACTCACAGACCAGGAGAAACAAAATTCTCTGGTCTGATGAAACGAAGATCAAACTCTTTGGCCTGAATGCCAAGCGTCATGTCTGGAGGAAACCAGGCACCGCTCACCACCTCGCCAATACCATCCCTAAAGTGAAGCATGGTGGTGGCAGCATCATGCTGTGGGGGTGTTTATCAGCGGCAGGAACTGGGAGACTAGTCAGGATCGAGGGTAAAATGAATGCAGCTAAGTACATCGAAATCCTTGATAAAAACCTGCTCCAGAGATCTCGAGACCTTCGACTGGGGCGACGCTTCATCTTCCAGCATGACAATGACCCTAAGCACATGGCCAAGAAGACAAAGGAGTGGCTTCAGGACAAGTCTCTGAGTGTCCTTGAGTGTCCCAGCCAGAGCCCAGACTTGAACCCGATTGAAAATCTTTAGAAAGACCTGAAAGTAGCTGTGCACCGACGTTGCCCATCCAACCTCACTGAGCTTAAGAGGATGTGCAAGGAAGAATGGGAAAAACCTCCCCATATCCAGGTGTGCCAAGCTTGTTGCATCATAAACAAGAAGACTGGAGGCTGTAATCACTGCCAAAGGTGCTTCGACCAAGTATTGAGTAAAGGGTGTGAATACTTATGTATATGCAACATTTGAGTGTTCTTATTTTGACTAAATTTGCAAAATGTTGTAAAAAAAAGTTTATCGCTTTGTCATTATGGGGTATTTTGTGTAGAATTTTTGAGGGAAAAAAGGAATAAGGCTGTAACAACAAAATGTGGAAAAAGTGAAGTGGTATGAATACATTCCGGATGCATGAAGATAGATAGATAGATGGATGGATGGATGGATAGATAGATAGATAGATAGATAGATAGATAGATAGATAGATAGATAGATAGATAGATAGATAGAATTCAGGTTTTGTCAGGTCTTTCCACTGGAGTTGAAAAAACTTTTAAAAGGCTTGTGTGTTCAATGGATGTTGGACAAATCAACTCTGATGCATTCAAGGAACTTTGGAGATTGCAGTGCAGATTGTCTAACACATTGTCAAACCGATGATTACATAATTTCTATGTAGAAGGGATTTGTCACTGCACTTGCAGATTTCTCTGAACAGTGGTGAATAAATCGTCAAATTTAGCTTTCCATATGAGGTGCACAAAAAACCTGCTGTTCTCAACCTACGAATGTAGAACAGCTGTTAACCAGAACGTCTCCCATTCTGGAAAACCAGACACTCAAATACGGAATCCCCAATTTAGCCCTCAGCCCTCCATTAAATACTTAAGGTTCTAGCTGAGACAGTGAAGGAAGTTTGAAAGCTCGTTTTTACTCGGTGTGAGTGTTTAAGCAGCTAACTGCGCGTATGGGCACGCTGTTTTCTCTCTTATGCCATTAGAGAGCTGTAGAGTGTTGCAGGGGCGTGTCTCTCTCCCCTCCTGTTGTAGCGTAAATGCCAGAGGTTCTCCTGTGAGTTGTTTGACTCTCTCTGTGTTTTTCCCACATTGTCAGATTAGTCACAGCGAAAAGCAAGAGGCTGCTGCTCTCCAGAGGATACTTAATTGTCCGTGGGAGGCAAAGCTTTCAAAAGCCGTTTTTCTGGCCCAATTACGGTAGACGTGACATCAGGAATTCACCACAGACACCTCCCTTTAACTCATGCTTTGTTATTTCTAAATATGTCTTATATCACCGCACTTTCTGTTTCTGAGGCGCTGAAATATCGGATTAATCTGTTTGTTTTGTTGGCAGGATTTGACAGGATGTACAGGTCAGATGTTGTGTATTTTTAGACAGAGATGGCCTGGAGCAGCGAGTCTTACGAGACTCAAACTCCCAGAGCAGAGAGGTCAAGAGCAGAGCTCTACCTGCAGTATGTTGGAGGCGTTAGACGTGATGGAGATGATGAGCTGGTTTTACAACATTTTAATCAAACATGCCAACCGTTTTTACTCCACAGCAATCCAGCATGTCATTATCCAACTGATAAGACTTTTCCCTGTATCACAAATACTAAGGTTGCTGTGCTCTGTTGTTATTGCTGATCCCATATGAACAACCTAAAACAAAAGGGTCTAAATATATTCCTGAGTGGGCGGGGATCGTTTTGTTTCTGAAATCATAGGGCAGAAAGCTTAGAAGTTTCTTTAAAGCGAAAGAGTTCAACTCTTGAAGCTCTGCAGCAAGACTACTTTCATTATCCACAAATTAGCTTTTTAAATTTTTACAATAAATCCAGTGAGATAAGATGGGACGAGAGATAATTTCCTCACAGGGAAATTAGTTTCAGACTCTGTCCTGCGAGCATACACATGATAGGAATCATTTTACTCCATCAGTTTAATGCAGTGTCTGATTTTTTTAGGTGTTGTCACTGATGCCTGCTCTGGTCTGTATCCTGATTGTCTTTGCTGCTGCTCTCCCTGCCTCAGACTCGCCCCTACACAAACACAAGAGCCCACAGAACGGAGCCATCCCACCAAATATAACTTATAGCATCCAGACAATTAATCCTCCAAGACCAAAAAGGATCTGACTGAACAAGACATTTAAATATGTAAATTTGTGTATTGGGATGTAGGTTCAAGAACTTAAAGACCCCCTGCCCAGTTAAACCAACACAAAAGTCTTCTACTTTGACTAGTGCACAGCAGTTATACAGGGATTTGTGATATTTCTTGCACTGTAACTAACATGTCAGTTTTGTGTGTTGGACTTATGACCCTGATGCGACTTCCACACCATGAGTGTGTTACATTACTATATTACAAACCTGTCAGTATGTCTGCCGGATTGCTTTACTGCTCATTGAATGAAACTACAACTTTTTCTTGAGTGGAATTAAAATCTTTGCAGCCTTCTGTACTCTGCAACTATAGACCTTTCAGCTAAGGTAAAACATCAGTTAAAAGTTTGAATGTGGAAATAAATGGAGGAAACTTTTTTGGGTGATTGCAGATATGGAGGAAACTTTTTTGATGATTGCAGATATGGGAATTATGTCTAGACAAACAAAATATCTCAAAGATACACTAGTCTTTATGCACAGGAGAGTAAAAGCACACCTGTAACACCTTTGATGCCCCCCTGGTTTAAGAGTTTAGGATCCCATAACATCGACTGAGCTCCTAAACTATGAGAACAAAGTGGAAAATGAAAAGATAATTCAGGCTCATTGTGACCTCCAAGTTCCTTTTGACTGGCAAGAGAAACTGTTGCTTCACAGCTTCAGCGCCAGCAGGAACAGATGGAGAGAGAGGCAGTGATTTTTTTTCTGGATGAACAGACGGACAGGAATAGCTATTAGCAAAGCTGTTATTCAACGAGAATCAGGATTTCATAGTCAGCAGCTAACAGTTTTAAATAAATAAATTAAGATTAGGGCTGTGATAGAAGCAGAAATGAGCCATAATTCATACAACTAAACTACAAGTAAGAGCCGTAAAGGGTGCTGACAGGAACTGTACATTCTTTTTTTTGTTAATATATTAGGTGATGGCTTTCTTTGCTTTTGAACATTCTGCTGTTGTTGTTTTACATTATGTGCTGAAAAATCTGTATCTACGTCTTAATCTCAAAGTTTTGTTGATTAGTGTTTTATTTGTAATTGTCAAACTAACATGTTTTCTTAATTCAACAACTCAAGTCTCTATTATACTCTAAAATCATAAGACATTTTATTCTGAAATCGGAGAATAAAAAAATAAGGGCCACGTATATTTATATATATATTATATAGTATATAATATATGTATATTTTATATATATATATATATATTTTCATGATGAAAATGGGCTGCCAGCAAAAAAACACATGGATGTTTAAATAAAGGTTTAAATTAATGTGATGATTTATGTATTTATACAACAATACAGTACAATAAAAAAAAAACTTTATCAATCTCAAGAGGGACATTTATTAGTGTGTAATTTTGTCCCTCTTGGTACACTCAGTACGTTTACATGCACAGGTTAATCAGACTAAGCTCATAATTTTTTTTTCCGCCGAATCGGACTTCTCTTATTGCCTGCGTACACATGCAGCTGAGAAAATTGAATAATTGACGTGAACGTTTCCTCCTCCCTGAAACTAGGGGGCATTGTGAATCTTTTTAGTGACGCTGTTTCCGACCCCATACAACCGTCAACAACAACAGCAGGTCGGTGCCAGACGTCAGAAGTGACTAAAACTGCTGCTGGGCATTTTCAAGCAAGAAGATGGAGCATCAGTACAGTGTTGTTTTTGTCATACATGGCATACGCACTACTTTTTCTGCAGATGAGAGTCACGCTACTCCTCTCCTCTGGTGTTCTTGTTCTGGGGTTACGGGGGCATGGCGCACGCGCACGCGCATTGTCTGATCATACTCTGACTACACCGGTTACATGATAGAGAAAATTGAATTCCAATCGCATTATCTAGGTGTCCTAATCGGAGTTCTCCGACTCCAATTGGAGTTCTGAAACTCCAATTATAGTCAGAATAAAGTAGTTACATGCACTTCAGTTGTCCGGTCTTAATCGGAGTATAGCAAAAATTCAGTTTTCTCGAGCGTCTTCTAACCGTACTGACTGGGTCTTCTTTTTTTCAGTTGCCACTATGATATGAAATAACACCACTGTGTTTTTAATGGCATTTTTGGCTTTTAAAAACACCCATAAGGCTCAGCCAAATGTTAAAACGCCCACTCCATGAATCAGTGTTAAAACATCATTTAAGTACTTGTTGAATACCTGTGTGCAAAGCATGCAGGTGCAGAAAATCAGACTGAACTCAACAGACACCTGCATCACGAAGACCAGCAGAGCACTATGTTGGAGTGTCAGAATTACCACAGACCTGTGGATGAAACCAAAATACAGGAGGTTATTGAGGGCTTGCTAAATTAAGGGAATCAATATACTCATAGTTAAACATTGTAACTGACAGGATAAGTACTTAGGAGTTGTCTCCTTCCACCAAGTTATGGTTTCAGACAGCATTAAACAGCTCAGCTAGAAATAAGTCAAAATGATCAGATTTGTCTCATTGTCTTAATTTGATTCCCAAATGGTGATAATGGCTTTACATTGATGACATGGACCCAAAAAGTATTAAGGAAATCTAAAATAATGAAATTTTGCACATGTCATTAAAGATGCGATTAATCACAATCAAATGTATAACGTTTTTTGGATTAATGATGATTACCGGTAAATATAAAAATCCTTCAGTTACTGAAGAATGTTTGACAGCTGAAGTTAACACCCAACAAAAGTATCAGCTCTTATTGGCCAAAACTCTTGATCTAGCATTACTTCTTGTATTTGAAATCCTTTTACAAAACTAAGTACTTTTCATCCCTGATTGTTGTAATGCAGCACCTGTCACTGTCGCTGTTTCAATGAGCCCTGTTCATAAAATCTACATTTGTTTAATTTTTTTTTTCCAGCTGCACTGACATGTTTTTGTTCAAAGTTTTTTGCATCTTTAAAATAAGAAATTCCCCAACTGTTTACACAGTAGTATGAAACATTAAGTGGAGAGGAGAAGGGGTAAGCCTGATTTACTTTCTGTAAAGGCTGCTGTATCTTTTCAGCAGATTAAAATTGTCAGTCTTTGATAATGTCAAACTGGGCTGTTTGAAACAACAGTGGCTGCCGCTTTCATGTCAAATCTGTGTGAAAAGCTCGGCCATACTGTGTTTGATCAGAGTAATGGAGCCTGATGGGGAAATGAGATAAATATACAGTTTGATTATAACTAAAGGTCAATTTAGTATCTGTTGTTATGTTGCACATGGATAAATGTAATACTCTGCCTCTCCAAACATCCCGGGTGCTTTCAGTATTCAGGCGTTTGATCATCCTTGATTAAATCTTTATAGAATATTCAATGATGAAGAGCTGGGGTGTTAGGAGGCAAGGACGCTGTGGACGCTTGCTCGATCTTTCCTTTGCCTCAGGTTGCTGTTCAAGGATGAAACCTTGGTGCTTTATAAACTCCGAATATTTCCCAAGACTGGCGCGTTTAAAATGTGCCTTTGAGCATGAAGGTTTCCATCACCTTGAGAATGACAGAGTTCATAAAGTAAAGAGAGCGCCGAATCGCGGCTGTATTGATTGAATTTAAACACAGGTTACCATGAAGCCTGAAGGAATGAATCGTTGGCGCCTCTTTTGTAACCTGAAGGTGATTTTATTTCTCCAGGCATCGTCTCAGAGTTGCATTGTTGGGGGCTGATTGTGCAGTTGCTATGGCTGATGCAGACTTACTCTGTGTGCGTTTGTGTGCCTGTGTGCCTGTATGACTTGGGGGAAGTGCAGGGCAGTTATTTAAATCCTAACACGGTCATCTATCTGTACACATTAAGACAGGGATCAATCCTCCTCCCCCGCAGCCGTAGTTTGGCCAGGCTGCTAATGGGCACCTATCAAGCCTCAATCATAATGAGACAAAAGAAAATCGCATTAGAGCCTCAGTGATTCTGCTAACGAGATTGACAAACACAAGGATGTTTTCTTAACTGAGATGAATAGTCCCAATCATGCCATTTCTTCCTATGTTCCGGTGTCGTTATGGATACTTGATTAGCCAGGTATACTGGGGAACAGTGGCGTCAAAGCAGAGGAATGAGGCTAATCCTTACTGTCTGGATGAGAAAAATAGGAAACAAAGAATTACAAGTGATCAGTGTGTTTCCCTGAGATATTTGATTATGATGAGGACAGAAGAGGAGGGTGGTGTGAGGCTAAATAAAGCCACAAGTGGATCGAAGACTCTTTGGGATCAATTCACAGAAAACTCATCCCACTTTGATCTCCAAATACCTTTGTTATTTAAGTGTCCAAACTGCTAACTAGTCACCAAAGGTAGAAATCAGTAAGTTTACATCTTGTTAAAAAAATCAATTTATTGCATTACTGACTGAAACTGGCTTTTTAAAAAAACATGTTAACAGATGAATGCGTTAGGAATTTCGCTGAACTGATCTTCTCATAGTCAGACTCACATACCTGGATAATACAGTGCATCCGGAAAGTATTCACTTTTTCCACATTTTGTTATGTTACAGCCTTATTCCAAAATGGATTAAATTCCTTTTTTCCCTCAAAAATTCTACACTAAATACCCTGTAATCACAAAGCCAAAAACTTTTTTTAGAAAATTTTGCAAATGTATTTAAAATAAGACAGTCAAATGTTGCATATACATAAGTATTCACACCCTTTGCTATTAAACTCAAAATTGAGCTCAGGTGCATCCTGTTTCCACTGATCAGTCTTGAAATGTTCCTCCAACTTGATTGCAGTCCACCTGTAGCTATTTCAGCTGATTGGACATGATTTGGAAAGCCACACCTGTCTATATAAGATCCCACAGCTGACAGAGCACGTCAGAGCCCAAACCAAGCCATGAAGTTGAAAGAATTGTCTGTAGACCTCCGAAACAGGGTTGTATCGGCGCACAGATCTGGGGAAGGTTACAGAAAAATATCTGCTGCATTGAAGATCCCAAAAAGCACAGTGGTCTCCATCATTAAAAATGGAAGACGTTTGGAACCACCAGGACTCTTCCTAGAGCTGGCTGCCCAGCCAAAATGAGCAAGTGGGGGAGAAGGGCCTTGGTCAGGGAGGTGACCAAGAACCCGAGGGTCACTCTGACAGAGCTCCAGCGTTCCTCTGAGGAGATGGTAGAACCCTACAGAAGGACCACCATCTCTGCAGCTCTCCACCAGTCAGGCATTTATGGTAGAGTGGCCAGACAGAAGCCACTCCTCAGTAAAAAGCACATGACAGCCTGCTTGGACTTTGCTAGAAGGCACCTGAAGGACTCACAGACCAGGAGAAACAAAATTCTCTGGTCTGATGGAACAAAGATCAAACTCTTTGGCCTGAATGCCAAGCGTCATGTCTGGAGGAAACCAGGCACCGCTCACCACCTTGCCAATACCATCCCTACAGTGAAGCATGGTGGTGGCAGCATCATTCTGTGGGGATGTTTTTCAGCGGCAGGAACTGGGAGACTTGTCAGGATCGAGGGAAAAATGAATGCAGCTAACTACATCGAAATCCTTGATGAAAACCTGCTCCAGAGCGCTCGAGACCTTTGACTGGGGCGACGCTTCATCTTCCAGCATGACAATGACCCTAAGCACATGGCCAAGAAGACAAAGGAGTGGCTTCAGGACAAGTCTCTGAATGTCCTTGAGTGGCCCAGCCAGAGCCCAGACTTGAACCCGATTGAACATCTTTAGAAAGACCTGAAAGTAGCTGTGCACCGACGCTGCCTATCCAACCTAACTGAGCTTGAGAGGATGTGCAAGGAGGAATGGGAAAAACCTCCCCATATCCAGGTGTGCCAAGCTTGTTGCATCATACACAAGAAGACTGGAGGCTGTAATCGCTGCCAAAGGTGCTTCGACCAAGTATTGAGAAAAGGGTGTGAATACTTATGTATATGCAACATTTGAGTGTTTTTATTTTTACTAAATTTGCAAAATGTAAAAAAGAAAAAAAGTTTTTCGCTTTGTCATTATGGGGTATTTTGTGTAGAACTTTTGAGGGAAAAAAGGAATAAGGCTGTAACAACAAAATGTGGAAAAAGTGAAGTGGTATGAATACTTTCCAGATGCACTGTATGGTAAGGGATTGATTCTTCGCTGATGCATTCTGCTGACTGTTTTGATATGTGACATGTCAACCAGGGGATGACGTGATGGTAACTCACAGAAAGGGGGCATGTCGCCACCTACTGTAGCAGTGGCGAATGTGTGTCTGTCAACAATCTGGTTCTTTCCCAGTAGTTGTAAAGTAGGACAAGGATGGTGGTCCACTTAAATGGCATAATAGACCTTTAAACCATAGCTCGATTTAACTGTGCATGTAAACGTGTTGACTTATTAGGGGTTGACCCACATTGTTTTTTTTCAGCGTCAGTATTTGTTATCAGACAGTTATGGGACAGAGCCAATATGCCCAAAACCAGCAGCACTCCACTAGGAGAAGAAAATCTTTGTCAAAAATAAGAATTTCGGAATATGGGCAGTGTTTCCTACAGGACGGGAATCTTAACTGTGGGGGTGTGTGATTTAGGGAGCGAGGGGTAATTAATCAGCTGTGTGATTGCAGAAGACAACATGCTAATGCTAATACTTGGTACGTAGGTGCTCCGTGGTTGGCGCCTCATGAACAAAAAACCCACATTTTTAGGGTGTGGCGACTTTTCTTTAGCCATGGCGGTGCGCAACAATCATTACATGTAGCAGAAACCCTTCATGGATATGGAGAACCAGTTCCAATTTTGAACCAGTTTCAAATTTTAGGGATTTGTGGATCAGATAAGGCTCATGAATTGTAGTTCTGCTCTGTTGGTTCCTAGCAGCAAAACAAATCTACAAGACTAAACTTGAGTGAGAATTTTGCAGTACCCATAGAGTACTTATCTGTCAGACCTTGCTGTGTCAGCAGGAAGTTGTGTCATTTGAGACGCAGTACATAAAGTTAAGAGAAGAGGATCATGGCAGACTGCAGTGGAAATCTGCAGGTTCAGCTTTGGAACTTTAATTGATAAAATTCAAATTTTACCCGATACTTATATTACTAACTCCCAAACTGCAACTTTTTGCAATTCAAGTGAAAAGTAAACAACTTATTAAAGGGATATTCTGGCGTAAATGAATTATAGTCAAACACGCCTCGAGAGATGAATGTTGCAGACTTCTTGCTTCTCTAGTTATACCAACTTTAGTAAAGACGATTGCACGATAGCAATACACAGCAATACACGGTCTACGTCTCACCTTACAGCACCTAACTTCAACAGTACATATAAGGTCCCAACCATAGTACTAGCTACTAGCTATTGTGCAATTGTTGCTGAAGTTGGTTTAACTAGAGAAGCAAGCAGTTGGCAACATTCATCTCTCAAGGGGGTGTCTAAATCAGTGTTATGGTGCGTTTGACCACAACTTAAATTTTCGCTGGAATATCCCTGTAAATTAGGAGTACAGTTCTGTCAGACAGTCATGTGACATCTAGCAAATCAGATTAAAATAATGATATTGTGGGTGGGACATGAAGTGACTGAAAAAAAACAGAGGCAGTAAAGCAAAAACTTTTTAATAAATGAATTTAATTGCAGACTGAAAATAAAAAAGCAATACAGGCCACCACCCACTTATCACTTTTTCCTCAAAGGTGACACAATTTTAAGAAATATATCTAAAAAGAAAAACTAATTTTCTTTGATTTCCTTTGATTATAAGGGCAACTACCAAAGATGAGGTGTGTTAGCAACAACCCAAAACGTTGAAACTTCTGATTTACAAAGATAGAAGAATGGAAAAAGCATCAAATATGCAGGTTTGATATTATTAATCATTAAAAATGTTAAAGGCTGTCTTAGAAAAGTACTCAAGTACTTCAAATTAGGCTGCATTCATTTTTCTAAAGGTTTTTTTTTTTTTCACCGGTTATTTCCCTTTTAAAACTTTTTTCTGTAATAAGTAGTCAAGGATGAGCCTCTTTTTTTCTTGAACTGAAGCTGATGCCTTCTAATCACCCATTTTCTCCTATTTATTCTCCAAATCCAATTATACTCAGTTAATTATAGAGCCACAATAAATGTTCCTTTCATGAGCCGATTGAACCAAATGAAAATTAATCTGCAACCATTGATAATCAGTTAATAATTGAAGTGATTTCACACGGAGATACTGGACACTGGCTTTACCCCATGCAGCATCTTAAAAGTCAGATTTCTAGGTTTTTTTATGTTGTGGCTATAAGTGAACTCAGTGCCGCTCAAGGTTTATGTGTGTGTAAAGTCAGGATGGAGCTTTGACAAATGTCAGTAAATTTTCTGTTAAAGTCACAAACACAGAGAGGCTGGAGTGATATGATTTTTGTCATAAATATGAAGTACTTCTTTCCGGCATGTCAACAAAAGCTGAAAGTGCAGAAACTTTGTGATAGTGGACTGTTGTAGAGCTGTTGTTGAGGATTGCATTGATACTTAGAGGCTTGTCGGTGTACTGCACACATATATACATATATATATATATGTGCTGTGTTCCAGTTACCTCGGAAGTAGGATGTCGGAGCTGGGAATGACGTTACACACGAGTTGACAGTGTTCCAGTAAACAAGTTGGAAAACCAAGATAGACTCCTACTGTTAGCCGTTGTTAGCTGTCATTACCACAGAAATGCTAAGAAATATGACATTACCAGAGCTTTCACTGTTACTCTTTGCTGTTGTGTTGGCCAAAGGCTTTAAATAACCAACAGCTAGGCTAGCAGCTAATTAGGTCTATTACAGCAAGTCCGCACCAACATTGATGCCACCCTCTATAATAAAGACTGTAGAGCATCCTTTTTGGATTTGGGTGCAACCTAAGGTTAGCAACATAGCTGTTAGAATAAGAACATAGAAATACAATATAAAAATGAAGTTTAACCAGTTGAACTCTGGGTTTTCAGATGTTTTTAGGCTAGCAGAAAACCATTAAGCAGAAAACCGGCCTGTGATAACATAACATACTAAATAAAGCCCAGCAGTAACATTCAGAAAAATCTGTGCTCAGTCTGTCCCTCTGCTTCACTAACACACACCAGATCCTCCTGCTTCCAGCCTGCTGTGCTGCAGATGATTCTTTTCTCCATACAGTTTTGATCTTTCTTTGTCATTAACATTAAGCCTCATCTACATGCTGATCAGGTTTTGTCATAATGAGTAGGAACTTCTAAACTGTGAGTTGTTGTTATCTGGACGACTTAAATGAACCTCTGATGAATCATGTCAACAGAGCAGACATAAGCTGGTAAGGAGAGGAGAGGTGGGGCGAGAGAGGAGGCTGTGAGAGCTGCAGACAGAGTGTGTATGTGTGTGTGTAATGTCACTGTGAACACATATGTGAATACCAGTTAATCCTGAAAGAGCAAAAGATTTAACTTCAAAAATCAAACTTATGCATTATATTATATAAGCAGTTACATTTTTTTCATTTTTTAAATAAATATTAACTGTCAATAATGTTCAGATTTGTCAATTCATGAAAGAAGCTAAATGCAAATATTGAAATTCAGAAATTCCACCTGATTGACCAGAAATCCGCAAAAAAAACATGTTAATTTTTAACAAACTAAAACAAGTAAACTGGGGGTCGGGGGGGGGTCTCTAAAAGTCACTTGGATGTCAAACTAAAGCAAGAGTAGCCTCAATTTCTTTTCTGGTATTTAACTTGTTTCATTGTAGTTTCGCCTGAAACGCAGTGATACGTGTGTCAGGATGGCAGTCACGTAACTCATCTCCACGGTTTTTAATGATACCTGAAATCATCCTCTCGCTCTGAACACCTCCCACTTTTTTCCTTCAAAAAAATCACACATTGATCAGCCTTACACACAGACAAACTTCAGACATGTTTAAGTAAATGAAAGATTCAGCATCATTTGGTTGTAATTTGAGGGTGTGAAGAGGGAGCCTTTCAGATCCACACTGTACCACTCGTGCTGTGAGTACGAGTTAAAATAAAAGCTCTGTTGACAGCTGATGAACCCCAGCACTTGTTCCGTGATTCATTAATATGTTAACTCAGGCTGTATGACCAGTCAGTAATAAAATTTTTATAATGTCAGAATTTATAATCTGATTGAACTAAACAGTCAGGAGGGTCAGTTGACAGCTGCTCCTGTGAGCTGTTTAATTTCCTGCCATAACAGTCACATCAAACAGAATACATACTCACCATGCACTGCTCTGACAAATACACGATCCTGCAGCGTTTAACGGGCGTGCAGCCAGCTCTTTTAAACACAGTTTTTCCTTTACTCCTTCTTCAGTCCGGCACAGTTCTGTCACTTTGTCGTTTCACAGCGCCTGCTTCACACTTTCCCCCCTGCTGCCTTGCTCGTCCCCTCCCCTGTTCCCTCTTGCTGACTTTTTTTCCTCCGCGCTCCGGTCTCCAACGAGGTGAAAAACACACTTGTCAAATACAGGTAGGTCATCACAGCATCTCTTATCCTCACCAGTTGCTAAGTAAGAGGGGATGCAAACAAGTTTTCGGCATGTTTTCGCTGTTTCACTCCCGAATGTGCTCCTTTACTGAGATGATGAATGCAACAGCTGTTCAGTGTCAGTGTCCATGTGACAGAGCTGCTAAGGTGCCTCGTTGGTCCTCATCAGACCTCTTTTACAGAAAGGTGGATTACTGGAAACTTGGTCCTCAGCAGAGTTTCAGCAGAGAGAGATAATCACAGCGAAAATTCATCATAGCTGCTTATATTTCTCAGAAGAAAGTCTACATCTTCAAGGACATCAGTCAAAGCAGCAACAGGTTGCAGTTTCTTACTGTTTCTGCAAAGTTACAGCGACTCCACTGGAAAGGAAAGCGGAAGGATCTCTTTTTGACTCCCCCAGTCTGCGCAGATTGAATCACTTCTCGTCTCCTATCATGCCTCTCTTGGATGGACGTCCTCAGCAACACGTGGATTCAACCATGAGTGACCGTTAGGAGAAATTCCCACATGGCCGGAAGCCTCATCCTGCATCCAAGCTCTGCACTGAGCAACATGTAAGAGGAAGAGAGAGAGAGGTGAGGAGGTGGAGGAGTAGGATGAAGCAGGGAGGCGGGGGGGTGGAGCCGGGAGAAGGAGGAGGAGTCGATGTGGGTGTCAGCAGCAGTCCAGAGAGGGTCGGTTGTTTGCCTTTGTATCAGCAGAGCTTCCAGCTGTAAGTCTTCATCAGAGAGGAAACACATTCACAGAACGGTTGCCTCACATGTCCCACTTCATGGTGACCTTCTTAAACCCTTAAGTGTTTGACCGCGCGCCCTCTTGAAAAGCAGAGTGAGGGGCTGCGGAAGTGGACAGGAGTTGTTGGCAAGAGTTTTGAGATTGCTTTTAGTTTGCAAAGTTGTCTCTATTGTGTGTTTGTGTTTGACCTTGCCTTTTCAGAAGAGAGAGAATATAAAAGGAGTGTTTTTTTTTCTGAGGAGGTGAACTGAGGTGAGAATTTTTCACATTGTTGAAAAGAAAAACTGTTTAGAGGAAAGCAAACAAGCAAGTGAGGTATTCACTGAAAAGATGTCTGTATTTCAGCCTGACAGATGTTTCATTTGTGAGGCTGTGAAGCAAAGGATATCACATACTTTGTGAAGAACTAATAGTGCACTCATAAGAGAGATTATGGAATGCAAGGCCATGTATCCTGTATTTCCACCTAAATATCCATATTTCTGACATCAGTGACATGAAGGTGCATGTGCAGTTTTTACTGATTGAATATGACCAATAGAGGTCAATCAATATTGGTTTTTCAGGGCTGGTAGGTGGTTAACGAGACTAATAACCCATTGCTGGAGCTGCTGTGCATTGACAGTAAACACCTCCGACACCTACATTGCTGCAACGCTACAACATCAAACCAGGTCTTTAAAGCCTTTAAGAGCCCGGTAATAAAACAGGTGGAAGTGCCCAAGAGACGCCTCTTTATGACCTGCAAAAGTAAACAAGACTGACATTTTCAATATTGTAATTTGTAAAGGCTGTAAACTCTGTGAAGGGACTAAGTGTCAGAAACGGTCATTCACAGCACAGTTGTGATTTTTCGGTCATAGAGATATTGTGAATCTAGAGAGGTAGAAAAACATCTGAAGAGGCATGAGCCATTGAGCATCAATGACGCCATCATTTCAGTATCATTATGAGCATGAATAGAAACATGAAAACAATCAATAACAACAGATTGATCTGTTATTGACAAAAGCCCTGTGAAGGATTGCATTGCTGCAGCATCCCCTGAAGAAACTTGACACACACTGAGCCAAAGCTGTTGACTCTCAGAGCACCCTTTAGTCCATGTTTTTTGCTCATTCAGGTTTTAATCATTTCATCTTTGCTTCCTCCAAGAGTAGCTGCTCATTTCACTGAAGCAGCATTCACTCTGCAGTGGAGGACAGCTCTGTGTCACAGCGCCATGTGTTGTGAGATATGTCATCAGCATTCACCTCGTTACCTTTTCCTGAAGTGACACCAAGCCTCATACAGGTGAGCGGCTCTGATGATGAAGGTGATGACATTTTGGCTCAAGTGTCAAGGTTAGTTAGAGGTTGTTTTCAAAGCAGCAAATTCATGTCAACCTCCAGCCCTGCTCCTTGTCCCTTTAATTTCTTTTTATGATCACATTTCTCACTTGCTCATTTTCCCTTGCTTTTGGTCACAGAAAAACACCAGCAAATCTGGTCCTGCTCAAGGTTTCTGCCTGTTAACAAGTATTTTTCCTTGCCTCTGTTACTAAGTAGTGCGATGATGCCAAACATCTCCAGATAACACCAGAAACAGTTCAGACTACACCTGATTTTTTTCTAGTCAAGAGGCAACTTTTGTTGTGATGTAGTGCAACAGAAGAAAGAAAATAAAGATTAACTGATAGCACTGCTTCTCTTGAACAAATCTACTTCTTGCTAAATGTTCTCATGGAGGAGCCTCAAATACATACATGTTCAAAGCATTTAAATAAGCAAGCCCTTCAATTTGTGCAGGTTTTACATGTGAAAAACTGAGCAAAATAGCAGAATTATTGCAGAAAATTGGTGTTTATTCAAATTGAGGCTGTTGTTCTTTACTAGCATTAGCAATTACTATCATCTGAAAAAACTAGAATATTGATATTGGCATACAGCAATAATGTGAGTTTATATTAGTGGTGCTTTGTGTTTATTGCCACACCTCTAAAACAGAAGAGGGGTGAAAAAGACGCAGCAGCTGCTAGTGAGCTAGTTGTAGCAGCCCTCTGAGGGATCATGAAACACTTTTAAAAACTGACGCTTAAAGATTTATTGTGAATCCAAACACAGCCATAGAGCTTGTGCATCTTAAGATTAATAATCAGCTGAACATTTACACTTTATAACCTGTTTTCATTCAGTTAGGTCGTAAGTTAATGATCTACCAGCATAAGTACACTTCAAAATAAAAGCATAGTTTAACAAAACAGAAAAAAAAAACAACCCGATCACAAAAATAAAAGCATGGCAGATAATCATTATATGAGGCAGTGTCTTCTACAAAGAGCTGCTGATGTGGATGAATCATAAATTTGAGCGTCATTAGCCATAAATGATGTCATTTATGTTAACCGGGTTTATTAGTCATGTTTGTGAAGTAATGTGTTGCCTCACTTCTGTCTTGCTTTTACTCATTTTGACTGGTTGTGTTCTATCATTTTCAAGTTTTCTATAAATAAATGAGGTGAAAATCTGACATCATGATGGCTCTGATTTGAGTAAACCGCAGTCTAGATTGAAAACTCTTTATTTCAAAGCATGGCGCTGCTGAGCTTGTGCCGTTCATCTAACTCTGTTAAATTATGTACTGAGTGTTGAATTTGTCAGCTCCAGCACATTGCTTCTGAAGGGAAACGTGCTTATTCGTAATTATTTTATTACCATCTGCATCAATTGCTCAAAATCATTGGCATAATCAATCTGTCGGCTTTTGGAATTTACATGTTTCCCCTCCCTAATTCATAGACACTTGTGCATTGTGATGCTCTGTGCTTGCATTTTGTTTTTTCACTTCCACACATGCATTAGCTCTGAGAAGTCTTACAGTATTATGCAGTTATTCAAAGGAGGATTTGGCGACAGGAGGGCCCATTCAATTCTCCTCCAGAAATCACACTGTGCCTGAAAGCACTGCAGCTGTTTCATCCTCACTCTGTGTGATCGTGCCCGTCGAGTGTGGACTGAGTGAGCTCTGTGCATTTTCTTTGAAACAGTTTCTCTTTCATGTGAATATATCATGGATGTTCTCGCGGATCACTGAGCCGCAGGCCTGCTATTGATTATCAGGAGAAAAGCAATAGAAAGGATATGAGACATGGAGACATGTATCCCCTGGGGAGCTAATGTAATGAGGCACACAGATAGGCGCTGATTGCTCCATTTTCCTAGATTGGGCACATCCACCTACACAGTTGACCTCAGTGACATCAGAACTGTGTCGTGGTGCTGTTAACCATCACAATTATTGGGAACGAAGGAGGCTGCAGACCCAAGAGACGGATGGTGGAACAGTACAGTAGCCATCAATTCACTATAGACTCATGAAGAAGAAACAAAGTTTCTCAGAGGAGTTAATAGATTTTGCAGTTGTGATGTCATTTGTTCTTTATCAGTTATTTTAGCCACTTCATCAAAAGAGGAAGGAAAATGAAGAAAGAAGCCTCTCTTTTTTTTTTTTTTTAACCATATGCTGTATATAGAATGGACGCTGTCTGCCTTCTAGCTGGGTGAAGCCACCGTGAGAACAGTGCCCTCTGGTGACTTTTTAAAAGTTATTAGGGGGTTAATGTTTACTATGACACTTGATAAAGCCTACGGGTGTACGAAGATTGCGCAGCTCATCCGGGGGATACGCTGTTTGAGCCTAGTGTCATCACAGTACTAGGCTCTCCCGCCGAATGCGTACTGCGCAAGTGGTGGGTCCAGGAAGTGGAGCAAATCCCATATATATCGAGAGCAATTCGGCTTCAAATTTGTATAATGGCGGAAAGTGGAGCCAAGTTGTCCATAGTATACAGTCCATGATTTTTACACACACTTTGAGACCTGAAGAAGGGGATCCAGCCCTCCCAATGTTAAATATCAGTTAGCAAATCAAAAGTTGTGGAAACTTCCTTTTAACCCTGTAGACTGATGTGTCAGTGAAGTCAAACTGAGGGTGGGCTCAAAATACAGGGCTGTTGGACCAATTTATCTTTGTTCAGCCATCTGAGGAGTGTCACAGTTCTTGTCAGGGACCTTGGTCAGCACTGATGTTAAAGCTGTCTGCAACAGCAATTGGTTTACAAATTGTGCATTCAACAAACCCCTTAAAAACCACAAAATTCACAAAGTTGTACTCAGGGTTTTTGCTTGGTTGTGTCAGGATTAAGGCAGACAATTATAGCCAGAGAGGGAGTCAAGACTCTTGAGTAGTAGGCCTGAACGATATATCGTTTGACTATCGTCATCGCGATGTACGTGTGTGCGATAGTCACATCGCAGAGCCTGCGATATTGGCGGTGAATGAACTCATTTAATTTCAAGGGTAACCGACTGCGATACACTCCATGTGACTCTGCATGTGCTGTGCAGCGATCCACCAATCGCCTTCGTCCTTAACTCAGTTGCCAATCAGACTCACTTCTCAGTTGCCAATCAGACTACCCTGCCAGCTGTCAATCAAAATCAGGGAGGAGAAAACCCACCCCTGCACATGTTCTGCACATGGAGGGAGACGTGTGTCCGCTGAAAATTACTTTCGGAACTTTACTCATGACTATGAAGCCCAACAAATAAGAACTGTATGGGTTTTAAATTGTACATTTCCGTGGACCACTCTACTATAAGCAGTGCGCGTTTTGCGAGGTGCATGCAATTCTCGGAGGACATGCGTTTCTCGGCACAACACCGCTAACAACAACAACAACGATTGCAAAATGAACAACGAACAAGCGAAAACCACCGAAAATGAAGATTTGTTGCCAAAAAGAAAAGGAAAGTCAATTATCTGGAATTATTTCGGTTAAAAGAAGGATGATGTCGACCAAAACACGTCTTCTGTGTTCATCAGTTGCCACAATAACGTCCCAGCACAATAAAAGCTAAAAATATCTCTGAGACAGACAGAAGCCGTTCTACTAACATTAACAAAAAGAGGTAAAATCAGTGCAGATTAACTGTCCTCAAGATTTCGGCAGTGAAGCACAACATTAAGTGCTATTCAGGTCATCTGGTGAAAATACTGTATTTTTAATATCGCAATATATATCGCAGGGTTGAAAAAAATCGCAATATTATTTTTTTCCAATATCGTGCAGCCTTATTGAGTAGGTTATGGCGAATCACGATTAATTCCATAGCTGCTCCATTTTTGTGACTACGTGTCCCTTATTGGCTTTTCAGACAGACACACCTGCCTCTGCTTGCTCCTCTCCCTTCTCTCCTCTCCACCTGCAGCTGCATGTAGTGCAACATGTTGAAGATACAGCAGCTAATGATTATATACACTAGTGTGACTTACAAGGATCTATCGTCAGTATCACAGTATGCTGAGACCAAAAGTGTTTTGACATCATTGTAGACTTCTGAATGTATGAAATGGTAGGCATAGCTATATTTCAGCTGTAGAAAACCAGAAAAAGGGAGAAATAAAACTGCAGAGACCACAGCCCCATATGAGCCATCAGTCTTTGCTCTCTGCTCGTTGCCTCAGATGAAATATATGTAAATGGAACTTATAGAGGCGAGTAACAAAGAGACAGTTTCGAAACTATGAATGCTCTAGCGGCTCTAAGATCTGACCTGTGGAAGCATTGTGGTTTTAACATGCCAAGAAATGAGAGAAGAGAAAACATAAACTATATGCATCCAGGGATGCAAACACCATTATCTTTGATTTTATGCAAAAAAATATGACGGCTGCTTTTTATCTTGAATGGGTCCTAGGGTTTAAAATCATCACATCATATATAAAACATAACACAATGTCAAAATCTGTCTGCTTTGTCCTGTTATTCATGCATATTCCTCTTAAATTATTGAAGGCCCTTGATTAAAGAGACCTGATTTTATATGTAATTGTGTCACAGCTGAGCTATGTTGTCAGCTAACCTTTATTCCACAAAAGCTAAGCCAATTATTGAAAAAGACTGCGGTTTGTAAAGACAAATCAAATTAGTCATTTAATGGTGTGATTCTCTGCCTCAATTAAAGATAATTGCTTTGTGTGCCTCACGCCTCCCACACCGCGTTGCTTGTCTTTCAATATATAACAATAGAGCTGCTGGTAAAAATGGCACATAAAGCTTTGCACTACATGCATGGATTCACAGAACCTCTGGTTGTCATCCTCTTGCTGCCTGAACAGTTTGCATTTAATATGAACTCAGGCTGCTCATTAGCTGCCATCAGCCACACATAGCAGTCACATGGTCGAGTAAACAGGTAGTAATATGCAGTAAGCAAACCAACCTTTCCCTCTGAGCTGCAGTTAAATGAGTTAATACCACTCTAGATCACAGATGTGGTATTTCTTTCAGGCAACTGTGTACAGTGGGCAGGTTTTTGTAATGTTTATTACATAGCTGTGTCAGACACTTGATTGAGCTCAGTTAGGTCTACTGCACTGTGAGGTCTTATATTTCTTGATAAAAGACTGCTACTATGAAGAACAGACTGTTGCCAAGGATACGGCATTAACAATGAACTCTGGCAGAGTACAGAAAAAGCACAAGAGGTTATAAAAGAAATAACCAACTTTAAGGGTAAGTGTTCAAATTTACAAAACAGTAGAAAATTGAAGATGACACATGAAGTTAACACTAAACAGAATACAAAATTAGATACCTTAGACTTTAAAGATAGTCATGGTACTGCGCTGACCCATGCCATCTGATTCATCATATTTTCCTTAAACATCAGCTTCATGCGAGTATGTCACAAATGTCACAAAGCCTGCATAGTTATAAAGTTCAGTGTATAGGATATGGTATTTATTTTTTTCATCTGAAAAGTAAGTATACACCGGTGCAACCACCAAATGCAAAGAAAGGTATTTGTATTTGTGATGCATCAAGAAGCAAGTGGCCACCCTGTCTCACAAAGCATGCTGGGTACATAGCAAGAAATTAACTTTTTTGACGCTCTTTTACCTCAATAGGTTACAATAATGTATTTAAAGATTTTACCATTATACTATCAATACTATCAAGTAAGAAGTCTTGCTTCCATGATGAAGTGGTTGTGGGCAGCGAGACTGCTCAGACCTCACAATTGCCAAGCGTCATTACACGATAAATGATTCAAGAAAGAGCTAGACGTCTTCATAAAGACTGCACATTGCTATACACAATCTAAGTTCAATGTATATACTGGTGTGACTCACTATTATAGGATTGAGTAATAATAATAATAAATCATAATGTATAGCTGGTTGTTAAGCAGCGTGCTGTAGCAGAGCTTATCTCCTCTTAGTTATAACCTCTTGCTTTTGTCTGCTTTCATCTTTTCTCTATCCTTTTTCTCAGCGCAAAACACATTTTTACGACAAAAAATTAGACCCCCAGAGTCTAAGAGAGAGAGTGGACCACTGGGAGTCAAACAGGAAACAGTTTTGTAATGAATGTAGAAAATTCAACCCGTCGTTATTTTTTTAAATAAAGGACTAGGACCACTAGATCGACGGATTGGCTTTCAGAGAATTACACTGTTACATTTCCTCTCTAAGAGCCTGCCTTTGGATATCGACGTGACCTCAGTCTAAAATCCGGGGGAGCCAAGATGAACGAGAGCCATTAGAGGCTCCACACCAAACACAAGCGGAGTTGACCATGGGGCATCTGTGCCTCAAAGCGTTTTCTCTGAGACAGACTGGGGGAGAAGACTCCTCTGATAGAAAGAGGGAGCCACTTAGATTTATTGATCTCCCTCTGTTTTTTGTCCTTTTTCATTTTTACTAAAGACAGTTTTACATTACAAAGAAAAGAGCAAACAGGTCATGAATAATAAAAAGTCTGAGACGGCAAGACACACATCTTTGATAATTGCTGTTTACAGGTGTATTATTCATTGGTCTGACCTATTATATATGTGTGTATATATATATATATATTTATATATATATATATATATACACACACACACACACACACACACACCACAGGCCAAAAGTTTGGAAGCAAGATCAGATTTGTACAAAAAAGATCATAGTTTTATACAATTTGCAACACAATAAGAAGACTATTGTGTAAAGAGTAACTTATCAGAAGACATTTTGACTTTAATTATTAGGTATTTGATTTAATGTTGCTTAGACTTTGCTTTCTTTAAAGTAACCTCCTCTGGCTTTAACAACAGCTTGGCATATACCAGGCATTCGTTCCACAAGTTTTTTAAGGTATGTTCCAGGGATTGCATTCCAAGCTTTCTTAAGTTCATCAAAAAGAGACTGCTGATTCGTGGGACACGTTTTTCTGGCCGATGGATCCAATTCCTCCCGCTCAAGCTCTATTGGAGAAAGGTCTGGAGACTGAGGGGGCCAAACCGTCTTTTGAAGAACACCTCCCTCTTCTTTTTTGTCTAGGTAACCCTGACAGAGCTTGGCAGAGTGCTTAGGGTCATTGTCTTGCTGCAAAACAAACTTATGAGCCACAAGTCTGAGTCCAGATGGAGCAGCATGGTGCTGGAGGATGGAGTGGTACTGTCCCTTCTTCATGATACCCTTTACTTCTAATCTCCTACTCCATCATCTGCAAAACATCCCCATACCATGGAACTACCACCTCCACGCTGAATTGTGGGTGTAACACATGGTGCTTTCAGACGTTCACCAGTTTTGTCTGCGGACATAGACTCTGCGTTTTGAACCAAACAGTACAAACTTGTTTCTAGTCATCATAAGTCCAATTTTTGTGAGCTTTTGCCCACTCATATCTCTTTTTCAAGTTCTGTGGACAAAGTAGTGTTTTTTGCAGCCTTTCTCAAACGTCATTTCACAATTGTCAGAGATATGGGTTTCTACCTTATCATGTTGAATAGTAACTCTCTTTCGTCCAGGTCTTTTTCTATCATCATAACTTCCAGGTTCCTCTAGTCTCTTCAGAGTGTAGTCGACTCCTTTGTTCCACACCTTTAGGCATTTTGCAATTTCTCTTTCTGTGTATCCTTCTTTCCTTAATGTACAAATCTGTACTTTTGTTTCTTTACTCAGTTGCTTCTTTCTAGCCATTTTTGCGGTAGTTTGAACGCAGTTGAGATTTATTAGGATTTTCATATGCAGACTCTCAAAAGCCAAAAAGTTGAAGTGAATAATCCAACTGTGATTTGTTTTTTTGCTTTTGCACTGAAGTTGTGACTCTTGCAAATGTTTTCAACCCTAAAACTAAGCCCTTATCTTTTGCTGACATATATTTAGCAACATCAATGTATATCTAAAGGTAAATGGAGTAAAAAGGTGCATTTCCATGAAAGCAACATCTGATCATGGAGTAAATACATCCCAAAATACATAAAACTCATGCTGGATTTTAAAAATGCTGGATTAAAAAAAAATATATATATATATATATATGTACAGTAAACTATACAATATGCATTTGGCATGTGTATGTTTCTGGCTAAGGTAACAATGTAGATTAGATTGTAATGTATGTGGAATAATGGGTGTTGTCACTGTGATATTGTTTTTTATCTAATGCAATGATGATGATGTCACATTGGCATCATGTATTGGCTATTGGATCACCTGCTGTTCAATCTTAAGCAAAGGCATGTTTAAAAAATGATATTACTTAACCACCAGTTTCTACCATCTGGAACTGCAGTCAGGTTCTGGCATGGACGCGTCTGGTACTCAGTAAGACATTGGGATTGGTATTTATAAGATTATTGACACCGATGCCATTATCGATTGATCATCAATTCCTCCTGTGAATTTTTGTGTAGGCTTTACAGATTTTCTGTGTCAACAACATTTTATTGAGTTGAAGTATGAAATTGGTCACTGGATCCTCGATCTCTGGACAGAAACAAATATCAGTACTATTTTATTAAAAATATAAGCATCTCTGCTTTCTCAGGAAGGATCCTGGATCTTTCAGGGCTAAATGTATCTCCAGCCATCAAAAAGACCCTCTCAGATGGGGTTGAAGATGCTTGGACACACAAATAGGTTACTGAAAGTGCCAAAAAGGATCTAATGACAGAATATTTGTATAGCATTTGTTTCATCTATGTCACGTTAATATTACAGAATGTGTCATTGAAAGCACTGTGCTAATATTAAGAGGACAGAAAAGGAACTAAACTTACCGTCCTCTGCTTTGCTCTGCAGGGAAGTTGCAGCGGCTGCACTTGTCCAAATTTTGTCAAACACATGACACTCTTGGTAACGCTGTGCGTCAACAAATGTTTTAACATGTTGATGGTGTTGGATGGAACGATTATTCAAACAATCCATCGATTGAACCATTTGTAATTGATTTTTAACAGGAACCGGTTATCAATTCCCATTCCTGGTTAGGCATTAGTCCTACAAGTGTGGCAGTATCCGCTTAAACATATAGATATCAGTTTGGCAAGCTGTTTCATCTACTTGAGGAGAAGTGAAACGTTAGCCAGAGATTGCACTTGCACAAAGAGAGTCACAGTAAGGTTAGAGGCATATTAGACCTAAGGAAAGGTTCTGAAACACTTGCCGTGTTTGGCTAGACAGTAAGCACTTTGTAGGATAATGATTTGATGCTGTCCTGCAAAACTCAAAAATTTGCTGATATTCCTTGTTTTACATTTTTCTAATTCACTGTTCTACGGAAGGGTATTGCATTCGCCAAAAAAAAAAAAAAAAACCTTGGTTTTTCAGAGTAATTTTTTTCTGTTCTGTTTTTCAGAGTAATTTCTTTCTGTTTTTTGGAATATAGTTTTTTCTTTTCTCTTCTTCAGGCTAATTTTTTCTGTTTGGGATCATGATCATGACCATGATCATTTAAAAACAGATGCTTTTATCCCCCTCTGCCCGATTTTTTATGGAAGCAGACATGGCCCACTTGTTTTGTTTAATCAAGTTTGACTTTCTTTTGGGTTTGGGGCGTTGAGAGAGGCTCCTTTCTTATAGTCAGGTGGATGGAATCGTCATAGGTTTGTCTACTTTGCAAAGGCACCTCAGGATGTGCATACCCTATGTTTAACTAATATTATGCTTTATTCTCATTGACCCCGTAGTCAAAGTTGTCTAGGAGCTGAAGAATCTGCTGATTTGGAGCAGCCATGGTGGTGAACTTCAAAAAAAAAAAAAAAAAAAAAAGTACAAAAAACAGAATGAAAATTTGTCTGAAAAACAAAAAAAGGGGAAAGAATATTAGTACAAAAAAACCAGAAAAAAATAGAACAACAGCAAAGAAAGAAAAATACTCAAAAAAAACAGTTTACTTTTTTTTGTTTTCGTAGGTGAAGCAATACGCTTCCGTAGATTTCAAACCAAACTATGGCTTGTAAGAAGTCACAGTGAGCTGTGGGAGAGCCAAGAAAAAAGTTCAGAAAACTGTTGTAGCCTGAGTGAAGACTACAGAACATCATCCTTGAATAGATTCCAGACCAAAGCCAACAGTTTTTCATTCACATTGAAGAAAATGGTGAAAAGGAGCTCTTATACGCTATCTCCTTGTGTGTGCATGAACTCAGTTACTGATCCTTCCAACACCATTCGTCTTGTACTAACTGCCTCTACAAAGCACAGGTGTCTGTGGGCTGTGTTTGTTTTGAGACTCTGGTATTATAATTCAGGCAGACTGAGACAGTTATGGGTGTCTTTTGATGAATTTACAGCAGGAAAAGAGGAACTCTGGATTTGAGGGTCAAATAAGTCACCTACCGTGGCAGCTCTTTATTTTTTTGTTCTGTTTTGATTTTTAGCGCTGTCGTATTTCATCCACCCCTGTCTTTAAAGGATGGGGTGGCTTTCGGGGAGTTTGGTGCTTTTTTAAGACGATGTGCATGTCTTTATTTAGCTTCCTGTGGGTGTACTCTTCTTGTCTTGATGTGGACTTCAAAGCGTTTTAAAAGGAGAGAAAAAACACTAGAAAGAAGGGATAGCCTGTGAGAAAAGCGAACACTTATTTCCTGTCAAATGGAAATATAAATTAACCGGGTTGTTTTCAAAGGACTTGTTTTCAGTTTTTTACATAACCTTTATTCATAGATCGACTAAATAAGGAGAAACAACCCCTATGTTCACAATTAACCTCCATGGATGGAAATAAGTCATTTGAGAGCTCTTTTTTCACTCTATTGATCCATTTTTAGCGCTGCCTTGATCAGTATAAGCTGCTTTCTCATCCACTTGGCTAACCTAAGCCAAAGCTCCTTGCATCTTTATAATGAGGGACCCAGATGTCCCAGCACCCTGCTTTCAGCCGCAGGGACCAGCTCAAGAAGCCCACACCCACTCTCACCTGAGTTCACCTCTGTGTAACCTCCTTATTACTCTACAGAGTTGGAAACCATAAAGAGGACAGTGGCCATTAAAAGAAGTGAGTTTCCTCTTTAGATAACAGGCTAACAAGCTATGACATTGATGTTTGTATTGATTCCGTTTAAATATGTGAATGTCACTCTAAAACACAGGGGAGTTGGGTTCAAACCACTCTGCCAATCAGCGCTGGTTATTATATGTCATGTCACACTGGTTAGCTGATATGTCAGGTTTGTTTTCACCCTGCAGCTAAATGATATGAGGCTGGACCTGCTTTTATGATTATTATCATTCAATAGGCAGAACTAGACAAAGCAAGAGTGTAGTTTGTTTTTTTCACAATATTTATCAGAATATGATTCTTATATCCATTTTGTGAAACAGGGTCACTGGCAGCAGAGCCAATAACACTGATTTTAATTGGTTTTGTGAAATAAAAGGCTGATAAGATATGAAAAGACTTTGAAAAGAGCTAAAATATGAATCTTTTCATCTCACAGATTAGCATTGTTGTTTGTGTGTCCAGCAGGGTACTATCACAGCCCTCATTACAAGTGCATTTGACCCCCTTATATCCATTCTGGGGAAATCTATTGCCCACTTTTTTCTTAACTAAAATAGTTTTGGTGCTGTGAATCTATGAAAATGAACCATGATGACTGTGGTGATTCTGTGCCTTTTCTTTCGTTCATTTCATTTTGTTTCTTTCTTTCTTTCGGCTGGTTTGAGGTGAAATATTTAAATCATATGTCAACATTCAGGGATGTCATTTTACTGACAGGGATGTCAGTAAAACATCATGAGTTTTACCTCATGATGTTAAAATTTGTTGACCCTCAGATTTTTGATGAAGCACAATCATCTGACCATAGAGTGATTTTTAAAGTTGCATTAGCCTGAGTTACAGCTGCACTTTGATGCTGGTGTGATCAGAAAATTTGGGACAATTTTCCCAGATTTGACCATTTTTCACCTAACTTTAGAATGCTGGCATTGTAAAGGCGTTTACTGTGGTGCGTTTTATAGTCAAAATGAAGCAGACCTACATGGAAAGGAGTTGCTGCATGATGAGTTATGGTCCTGATAGTAATCTAAGGCTATGTTCACACTGCAGGTCAATTCCGATTTTTTAACCATATATGACACGTATCCGATTTTTTCATGTAAGTGTGAACAGTGCAATTCCGATTTTTTCAAACCCGACCCAGGCCTCTTTTGTATGTGGATATAAATCGGATATGAATTCAAAGTGACTGCCGTGTGGATGCTCAGGTTGTGTCCATCCAACGTCATCAGTACGTCATCAATATGTGACAAACGTCACCATTGTTTGACAACACAAACAGGTGCAGAAAGCAATTTTTGCTTTGTGTGTGGGTCACTTCACAGAAGCATTCCGTTCACATTAGATGCTGCAATCGTTGTTGTAATGTGAACGACCGCACAAAAAGATCTGATTTAACAAAAAATCTGAATTGTGCATCATAACCTGCAGTGTGAGCGTAGCCTTAGACATTCACATCTGATTAGGACTGGGCAATTGGGCAAAAAAAATTATCACAATTTATTTTGTCATATCGTCCGATCAAGATTACCCCCCTTTTTTTTCTAAACTGCCAGTTTTAAAGCATCTGTACTGAAATCTAAAGAAACTACATATTAGTTCAACATTTTATTAACATACAAAGTAAATAACAAAGCAAATTGAATAAGATACTTAGAAAAATACCCCCCCAAAAAAACAAACTTTTGAACTCAACAGTACAACAAATGTAGATAAATATTTAATAATACGGTGAACTAGTTTACAGTCCTGAGTGTTTTTACAGGTATGCAAGACCCAAAATAAACAAATCACCCCCTCAGGGACAATGAAGACACCTTAAAATGTAAACATTAGATAATGAAAACATAGATGATACGATTGATTGCTTCTTTGGTTTGGTGGCTACACCACGAGTTGTGGCTAAACTGCTAATGCTACTTGTGCTGTCGGGTCATTCCATGAAATCAGTGCCTTTTCAGTTTAGAAAATTTAAAATTTAAACTATTTAATTTTAAATTTTTAAGTACCCGGGAAATCAAAGAATGTTTAAAATAGCAGGAAATTATATTGTGCCATCTCAGGCTGTGTTAGTTCATATTTTATAACTGTTTTTTTCCTGGCTGTTTTCATAATCTTGTCAACCCTGTTACCGACATAAACTCTACACAGTCCAGTTGCCTGATTTTGGAGTCTTCAAGAAAACCATGACCTGGATGAATGAGAATATACATGGAGACATAAACTTAACAAAATACAATATTTCTAATTAGAAATATGCAATATATGGTACATATATTAGCAGTACTTTAGTCTCTCTTTCCATTGAGATTATATTATTTTGTGGATTTTTTTTCTCCAATTAGATATTTGTCATTCAGATAATCAAATATACCCTAATTTTGCATGGCGATCACGTCTCAACATACATTAGAAATTTCTTAGAAGAGAAATGTTGAAAAATGGCCCAATCTAAAATATAATTTAATTTAAATTATAATTGTAAGTGTTGAAAACCTATTTGAGTTGTCTTTTTTTTTTAAACATTTTTATCAAATTAATGACAATAGGATTGACGTCACGGTAACAGGGCTGACAAGAGTAAAAGTAACTGGACACAAAGTAACTGGCTCTCCACCGGCGTATCAATCAATCAATAAATCAATAATTTTTAGCTCAACAATGTTCACTTGATGACCTAAAAATGTTTTAATTTTAAAAGGTTAACCTTTAAAGAGAGTACAATGAGGGTAAACACGATTCTATGTCATCCCTGTTACTCACATGTCAAATCCTGTTACTGTAGAAAGGTAACAGGGTTGACCATTTTAAACTCATCTGCCTGTGGCTAGCCTTAATAAGTGCTAGCTAAAGTGCAAGCTTTAAAAGGTAATTACTTGTAGATATTGATTATATTTTGAGAAATAGAAAATTGTTTAGGTTTATATGTTAAAAAGTGGTAACAGGGTTGACGTTGTATGCTTGTCCCCCCTGGTTAAACCTTGAAAAACATCAAAAATAGCACATCAGAGATGAGAGAAACTTAACTGTCACTGAGCTGTTAGCATCCTGGCACAGAGATGATGCAACCTCCAGTCAATACATGTCAAATCTAGAATTTACTATTATTTTTTTAGGGCTTTTTAGTTAGGGTAACAGGGTTGACATGACATCAGGGGACGCCGATAAATTGGTTAATATTTATAACGACTAATATATATTATTACCAAAAACACTGTTTAACAATAAGATCATACTTAAAACATTTTGCCAATATTTTACAAATTTAAAGTCCTGTACACATGCAGCACTAGTAGTGAGGGACAGGCTAAAAACCTCACCTTCGTTAGCATAAAAGTAATTTATATTATTTAAAATGATATTTTATTGACTTTAATTTGATGTTATATTAAGGAGAGAAGACATGGTAATGTTGTATTTTTAAATTACATATTAATTTGTTATCATAATTTTATGAATGATTACTTCTTGGGGACGCAAAAGGCACCGATTTCATGGAATGACTCTGTCAGCAGTGGCAGGCCGTGCAGGCTCCGCTCGCCTTACCCTGACTTCCTTCTCTTCCAGAAATTTTACCAGGGGCCTGCAGGAAAAGTTCAGGCAAAGTTAGGCGGAGTCTGTGCATGCTAACAGCCTTTAACAGCAATTTTGTGGTTTAGAGTTGGGCTGGGTCCAACAGTACAGAAGCATCACTTGTTTCACATCAAGGATCCATGGCAACCCTATAACACTATTGACTGTGGGATGCTGTTTTGCATAGTAACTTATAGCATTACAATCCTCTTTTGCCACGCCTTGTGTTTAGCGCTAGCGCCCTGTTGAATGTTAGCGTGCAGACCTGCTCAGCCATGATGGTAAACATGTTTGAATTGTGAGCCGGTTAGTATGTTGGAGATAGAATTAAGCTCAAAGCCTCATAAAGCCGCCGATATGGGTGCGACTCTCGGTCATATTTCACAACAGAATCCAGCAAATTTAAACAGCTTAGATAAATCTCTGTGCACATATGAATCATTATGTAAGCGGTTTCGGAAGCAGTCACCCTTTCTACTCTCTGCATCACATGCACAATAAGTCATCAGTGATGCTTTCAGCTGTTTGTAGAAGTTACATAAGAAGATGAGTGTGATCAGGATGAGATGGGTATGAGGTAAAAATTTAAATAAGAGTGGCTAAATCTACATACCATATATATATTGTTACGCCCCACCCGAATGCGGCCCTATGGGGCTAACAACTATCCTCATCTTTTGACCCATTAAATTAACAAAACACCTTCAAAAGTGTAACAAGTGATTTATTGTGACCAAATAACAAAATTACAAACTAAACACAAAGAACCCACAACACAAATGAGAGGCAGCAGGGCAGCTGTTCCCCACCAAATTGCCTCTCCAGACTGCAGGCAGCTCTCAGTCTTTAAAGGCCCAGTACCAGGTGAGTCTGATTAGCACTCAGTGATTTCACCTGTGCAGCTATGGAGAGACAAAAGGGGAAAAACACACACAAAACAAACACACAGCCGTAACAATATATATATGTATATATATATATATATTTTTTTTAAGAACAGACATGAATCCCACATGTTCTGCAGATGTAGACTTACAAAGACACTGTGTTTTCCCCCTTGACCATTTAACAAAAATAAGGATGTGTGTCATTACACAGACAATAATCACAGTCAAACAGCCCTGTGTCCTTCTCCAGCGGGATCATTAACATCTACTCATATTTCTTTTTGACAGTATTGATCCTAGCAACCTTAAATTAGTATAAAACTATCAAAACACCACCGTTTATTTCTCACTATCATCCATTTTGAAGCTTAATAGGCCAAAAACACCGGACAACTGTATTGCCTTTGCAGAAATGATGGATTGGATTACTCGCTACATCGAGTCGAGCTGCAGCCTCTTACCTCCAAACAAGCTGCTCACGAATAAAACACAAGCCTAATGAGAGCGAGGCCTCGGGTGGTTTGGAGCTGCTCTGATATGACTTTGACATAAACACAGCCGTGCACAATCACCATTAAAAGTAAATAGCTTCAGCCGTCTTTATTGTCTCGCCTGGTTTGCTCAAGATTTTAATTGCAATTAGAGCAGACAGTGATTTATCGACTCGTGGTGGGTCTCAGCACCGCACCGTGTTAGGCTAATTGGTTTGGGTAAAAAGGCGTGACAGGGAGCATGCCGGAGGAACTGGAGCTCTCGTAGAAAAGGATTGGTTAGATCACAAGAACACACTTCCCGAGCAGTCTTTCCTGCTCGTTTCTTACAGTCAGTGGAATTAAATGTGCATCTTTCATACTTAACCACTCCTCTAACACAAGTGCAACAATTACAGTTTTCAATTACAGTTGCAGTTAAACAATTTTTTTGTTAGCTTGTTAGCTAAACAAAATGTAATCAATTGTAAATTTTACATTTTATTCAGAATAAAGAATTTATATGCATGGGCACTTTTTACCTGAAATTTTATCATAAAAAAGATAACACAACGGCTTGTCATAAGTGTAACCAAAACATCTCCTGGCTGGCTGCAGTATAAGTCATAAAGGAATTAACTGTTCAATTAAATGAAGATGTCATGTATTTTGGAGCATTTCCTCATGGAAATGCAATCACATCGAGACGCTAAGGCAGAAGAACTACCGCATCTGTAGTGCAAAATGATTAATATGGTGATTATTACTTCGAGGAAATGATAAAGTAATGATCATTAATATTCTTCCTCGAGTTGCGTCCCCCCACTCCAGTCAATGGACTCGCCCAAGGTCTTGCTTCAAACAAGCGGCTGCTGAAAGAGAGTAGGTGAGTTGTGTTTGGTCTCTTTGCTAAAGAAATCAGGCAAAGCTAAAAAGATGTTTGATGGCTAGTACTATGGCTGGGACCCCGTATGTGCCGTTGATAAAGTTAGGTGCTGTTCTGAGCATTATTTGTGGCTATAGAGTGGCTTTTTGGCTGAGCACGTGGCTCTCTGTATTGCTATTGTGCAGTCGTTACTAAAGTTGGTATAACTAGAGGAGCAAGTGGTCTGCAACATTCATCTCTCGAGGGGGTGTCTAACTCGGTGTTACAGTGTGTTTGACCATAACTTAATTTTACACTGGAATTTTTCACATGTTGCACAGGTTGATAAAAATATATAAAACATGCAGGACAGCAGAAACTATTAAAAATGTGAATAATTGCCCAAATGTCCTTGTGAAGCTCCTAGGAGGATTTTTTGGTTTGTATTGATTTGGTGACCCATATGGACTAAAGTGTGTTACTCATGTCTTTGCTATTGTTTGTTCTGTTTTATAAAAGACAAGTGTTTCCAGACATGAAAATCTAAAAAAAACTTCCTCTTTACAGTCTAGTGTAACAGTTACTGTAGATTATAAAAATGGCTGTTTCCTGTAATCACAGCCCAGTTGGCAAGGTTTACAAAAAATTGCTACAAAGAAAAAGCTAAACAAGTCACTGCGGATCAACACCTCATTATTATATTTTTTAAAGGTTCTTACAGATTAAGAGATGGAGCTGAGGTGCCCAACTCAAAAAGTTCTTAGTCTCCCTGTGCTGACTCGAGGTGCAAATTTCACTGAAAAAGTTCAAACCTTAAAGATTAAAAGCAGCATGACAAACTAAATGGATTTAAGCTAGGCTTCCCCTTTTAAAGCACAGATAAAAACATAGGGTTGCAACATGTAAATGAAGCTGCCAACAGTTAAGACAGTACAAAAAGTTCAAAAAGTGGTATTAATTTCAGTCTGTTTCATTACCAGCTGAAAACTCCTCACAGGAGCTTCAACAATGCAATCACAGATCACATTTATTCTCATGTCGTGCAGACAAACTCCTGATTGCTCTCAGGTTCTCCATGATCTATCTCGCTCCATCTCCTCTCTTTTGTAATGGAGGATCTGCTGTGACAGCCTCTCTAAAAGAGAAGTAATCAATCAGTAATCACATGCCGCTACTCTGCCAGGTAATGAAGGAGGAAAAGCAGTTGGAGAGTGTGTGCTTTACTTTTCACACAGTTCAAATGTCAACAGTTCATTGCGTGTGTTAGTGGAGGATGGAGACCGGCTCTGTTGCTCTTTGCATGTCTGTCCTGTTTCTGTTCAGCCAGTCACCACAGTGCAAGGTAAGCTTAGCAGTAAGCTGCCCCCTTATACATCAAGTGTGTCAGGTGTGTGCTTAAGGTGTGGCCCGGTCAACACGGGTGTGTTTCTGTGATGTTTGGGGTCCTGTCTGCAGGTTTACCAAAACATGCAAGCAGGACGAGTTTCTGCGGGGACACGCATCCCTGATATTTAAGGATAATGTAGAAAGTAAAGGAGCTGCATCTTGATGAGGTACAACAACCACAAATGAACAGAATAAAAGCTTTCATACTTCTTTTATGACAGAGGCTCTATTTTTGTGAGGGATCATTGAGAGAAGTAAAGTCAGATGATGCATTTTAATTAGTTATCTGGAATGAACTTTACTGATTAGTCATAGGGGCTGTGTGTTGTTTGTGCAGCAAGGATTCTGTGGAGTATTTATGTGAATTACCTCCAAAAGAGGAGCAAAAAAGGAGATTTTTCCTCTAAAATTTTGACAGCCACTTAAAAAATTGTATATATTCGAACCCTAATCATCCCTGAATTTAAATGGTCTGCTGGTTCGTTTTGGGTTAAATCAACTGGTCTATAATAAATCTGATCCTGAAACAACTCAAATAATAACCATAATCAAAGGACTAAAGCAACTCATGTTTGATGGCCTTTTTTCTCCTTATATTGACTAATCACAAGCATTTTATATGGAGAGTTAAATTAGCCAGATCACACAATGACATCCTGGTAACCATCAGAGGTAATCTGATGTCTTTTTATTCACTTCTCTACAAACTTTATTGTTTGTCAGTTTTGGTGCCACCTGTACACAAAGAGAAACCGTTTACATATTCACTATTGTATCCAGCACATGTATTTGGAGTGTTCTCAGATGAAATGTGTTAAATTTCCTCTGGAAAAGGTAAAACACAGCCTTATCTGAAGAGTGCTGCAAAACATGTCACCGTATACCCCCCCACCCACCCCCTTCAACAGGTATTAAACATGACTTTATAATGATTATCCTTCCTATCATTAATGGTCTTGTTTGCCCAGGGATTAAAGTTCTCCGTCTCTAGACGGATTTCCGTCAGTTGGGAAAAGAGGGGGAAAAAAAAGTTGCCGTACATTTGTTGTGATTCAGTTTTGACTATCAAATTAAATCGTGATGCTGTTGTAAAACCAATAAAGCCAGCCAGAGTTTTGGTACTTGTCAGACCTCCGTTGGCAGCATCATTGCCACCCCCACCCTCCAGCATCAGATCAGTAGCCTGCTAGAGGTTCTCTTAGCCATTCTGCTCCGGTGGAAAAAAAAAAGGAAAAAGGATGAAAGGGTCCATTGGTATGACCACTGGTATGGACAATGTAACCAGAAAATAAAAAATAAAGAAATATTGAATGGATATCTAAATACAATAAATAAATAATGAATGAATGAATAAATAAATAGTGGAAATGATTGCACAGCAAAGTGTGGTGCAGCCTATTGCAGGGGAATATGAACTGGACTGAAAAATAAAAAAATTAAAATATATTTTTTTGCTTTAATCCCTGTGTTTGCCCCTGTGGGCCATAGGGAACAATTACTGTTATTTACAGCCTGTTGCATAACCTTAAAAAACTCCTCACAGTAGCTTTAAAATGTCTCTGAATAAGAAATCCATTTGATACTCTGTCACTTAAACCAATCAGCATTTAGATTTCCCGACGACCTGGAAAGCATCAGAAATGATGGAGCCAACCGCAATTCATCAAATCAGTAAACACATTTTTTTTCCTCCCCTTTTAAAGTAAAACTTGATAAACTTTTCACACATCTGCATGATACTGCTCTTTTTTGGGCAAACTTTAGGTCTGTAAATAGTTCATTAATCAGAGGAAAATCTGTTTCTCTTATGAGGCTTAAGTCACAGTGAAGTCTGTGTGTGATTTACAGAACAGTCTCAAACAGTCTCTAGATAAAACACCTTATACTTAAAATCCAGCCCTAAAGTGTTGCATTTCCTCTAAAATATTTCCTTCTTTTGCAGAATTTTAAACATACCCAAAGCATTTGAAACTAATTTATCTTTTCTATTTTCAAAATTTCAAAAGAACCACAGGTTTGTGTGTCTCAATTTGCAGATTTAGTTGATAAGTGCCCATTTATCATTGTCACTCAATTGTCAAATTGGGTTTTTTTTCTACAAAATGGAAAATACTGCAAAATTTTGGTTAACACGGCTCTGATGCCAAGAAAAACGTTACCAAGCAACAGTCCAAATTTCAAGGACATTCAGTGAAAAGTGCTGCAAAACAGAGAGGAAAGTGAAGTCTTACACCAGAGACAATGACGCAGAAAAATTGATCTTATGCTTCATATGAGCTTTAAAATGAATGAAAGTTTTTATTCTTGGTTACAGATACATTTAGTGATATGAAATGAAACTTTTCGGCACAGTAAAGCAGGACTTTTACTGAGGATATGATTTCATATTATAAGTTCTGCTGCCTTTTTTGCAGGTTATGTGTATTTCCTTATTGCTTCAGTATATTCTCAGCCAAGTCAAACAGATTCAGCATTTCTTTTCTTCATCCTGACTCTCAATAAGTACTCCACTATCTCACAAAGCCGAGCGAGGGAAGAGAGAAAGGTGCAGATGAAAAGCATGAAGGTGAGCGTTGAGTGGAGTTGAGTCAAGTAGGAAAAGAGAGGTGCAGAAGAGAAAGGCAGAAGTGAGACCACAACCCATCCAGAGTATAAAAGCTGAGAGCTGGACTCATCATTAGAGGGACAAAGATAGCTCAGCAAAGCCTGGGTCACAGACACAAAAGACACCTTTTATTAATGTGGGCTTCAACCAATAGGAAGTCAAGAGACAGGACACCATGTTATCCAGAAGTTACACAATTCTAGCAGAGCCACTCATCGAGTTGTGTGAGTAATACTGTGGTTTTATTCACTGTGGAGTAACCGAGGTTTACTGACCCAACTGTCATTGACGCACTCAGACTCGGAGCGTTTGAACTTTGAGTTATTCTATTACTAGTTTGTGAAGAGGTCAGGGGCTCCACTGATAGGAGGAATAAGTTAGCAGAGCAATGTTTAACATGATTATGAAAGTTTACAAAGTGATGTTTGCCGGAGAACTTCAGGGAGCATGAGATGGATGTACCCAGGCTAAACGCTGCACCACCTCCACACACTCATTTATCCAAATGCTCATACAGTTGCAGTCAGCAGCCAACATGAAACAACAGATACAAAGATACTTATTTATCAGTTACAGTTTAAGCCACCCATGCAGCCTGTTGAGCTTTAAGAAATGGTGTTCATATCAAGCGCCTACCACCTGTCCAAATATGGTCACTTCAGGCTCTGGCAGCCAAATGAAGAATTGAAGGCTTGAAACAGATTTATTGTTGGTTTTGTTGCAGTGCAGGTGTGTTGAAATGACTCTTTGAACTTGTATTTATGCTTTTTGTCATACATCTTCAACAGCAGGTTTAACTTTAGACCTGAATCAGGAGCAGAGAGCAGGTCTGAGTCTGTTCGGATGAGCATGAATGAAGCATCTGCGTCATTCTTCATTCTCTTCACACTTGTTCACTTCTCTTTCTTCTTCTCTGCACAAACTCCCCTCCCCCTCCTCCTCCTCCTCTCCCTTCTTCTCCTTGTCCTTCAATCCCCTTTCTCTCTGTTTTTCTCTGTGTCTCTTCTGGACGTTTGACAGAAGTTTGTCTCATCCTCTTTGGCAGCTGTTGCCATGGTTGTGTCAGTGCCTCTGAACTACCTGCGCTGGTATTTCCATGGACACAGATCAGGATGGCACCAGGCTCTAAGGTGTAGGAGGGAGGCAGTTCACCCGTGTCAGCAGTTCTGTGTGTTTGAAGACATACTGACAGAGACAGAATGAGAGGAGGAGGAGGAGGAGGCAGAAGAAGAAGAAAAAGAGGAGGAGGATGAGGGTCTGGGAAGATGTTAAACATGAAGGAAGAGCTGGGAAAAACAGCAAATGTAGAAGCGAACAGGAGAGTGAACGACTTCATGCAGGGGATGTTCAAGAAAAATGCTGTGAAAATGCAGATTTCCCATTTTTACCTATCAGCACAGGCTGAGGCTGTTTCATCCAGCTGTCTCCAGGGGGGTCTAAAGCTAATCTTGAAGCTGTCCCATTAAAAATTAAGACAGAGACATTAAACTTGATTCTGCATCACAGACTACCTAAATGAGAAAATGACGTCTTAATCACTTATTCTGCTCTCACGAGGGACACTGACAGGATGGAATTATCGAGTGTGATCGGCCAATGCACACTTACTTATGATGCATTGTTATGATAGAATTATACACAGCAATAAAATAGCCCTACAGAAGACGTTGGATATAAACGCTTTCTGCCGACTTTGCAAAGTCAACTGCAGAATTAACGGCGTTCTGAATGAACGGCGCTTTGAAAAGTCCCACAGCATGTGTTAGACGTCACCATCTACACATGGACCAATCAGGGGCTGCCTTTCCCTGTTGTCCGGGTAACAGTGGAAACACGGTCTCTGATTGGCCCGGTTATTTTCTGTTCGTGAATACACGCTCCCAATGGGCCGAAGTCCAGACTGTCGTGGGCAAGTGATTCCCGCAACAGGATGGCCCAGCCAGGCTAGGAGGACTCTGCTCTTGTTTGTCTTTAATTTCCTAGTTGTTTAAATGGGTATGTAAATTTTAACCACCCTGATTGTCTCAGAGTAAGAAAAAACTCAGAAAACAGTCTATATTGTGCACAGTTTTTTGAAAACCGCTATATGGGATCAGAGATTCTGCAGGTAAACCGTGTTGGGGGTTTTTGCAGAGTGAGTCAAACATTATGTGTAGTCTCTGGTTTATGCAGACATGACTATGCCTGTGTACAACTCTGTTTCTGTTGCATGTTGTGCTTTGACATCTGACATCTGTGCTTTTTTGTTTCTAGGTAGTTAAATATTTTGGTGAGTCAGCAAAAATCATGTTCAAAACTTGCTTTACTGATGAGCTATTATGGTGAGGACTTGGGTGAGCAAGATGGCATTCAAGTTCCCTGATCTTGCACATCCTCAGTTAATGTTTTCTTAGATTAAACTGAGCGTCTTTATATTCACCTGCTTGGATTTTTTTTGTGAATGTTTTGGTTGTGGTTCCCTCCTGTTTGCTCTTGGTTATATTTTATCTGATTAAAAACAGGCGCAGCCTTCAAGATTTCCAATTTATATCCACCAAATTCAGCTTTCTAATCCTATATTTTTTACCTGTGAGGGTGAAATTCAATCATCTCTCTGATCACAGATACTCAACATAAAGCCTCTCTCCCAGCCGTCACATAAAGCTGGCATCCTCATTCCCTCCTTTTATCCATCATTGTTACCCCTCTAATGCTCCCATTCATCAATCATCTCTCCTCTGCCTGTTTGACAGCAGGGGGTTCGACCCGCAGCCAAAAAAAGCCCTCCTGCAGCCTCTCCATCTTGACCCTCTTCACTTTCCAAACAGCCAAGCAATCAAGGACATCTGCAGATGGTGCGGAGCATCCTGCCTGTCTGTAATAAAAAGCTCAGACAGAAGAGAGAAAGAGGGGGAACAAAACGAGAGGCTGCGACTGACTGCAGCTCCTCTGTCAGGTCCCCTGCTGATCAGACATCTGTGTGTGGCACACTCACCCCGGCTGCTGTTTGGGTCTGTGCTGCTACACCTGTAGAGCAAGTCAAACTGACATTTTTGTCCTTAAACCCCGTCACTTTGATATCTTTGAACAGTAGCACAGAACAGGAGCAGTTCTTTATGCCTTAACTAAAGGTGCTGTTGTTACACAGCTTTAAGCTTTAACAGGTAAGCAAACAGCAACTTTTTTTCGGAGTCTTTCAGCTGTCTCATAAAAAAAAGACTTGTCTGAGTGTTGCGTCTTTAAGTCTGCAGAGGTTGTTGGGAAAATTCTGCATCAGCGGTTGTAAAGTTGAAATATTTGGTTCTGGTCTACGACCAGCTTCAAGGTAGACTCTGTATTTCGGCAAAATTTGTCTTTTTTTTATACAACAGAGTATTGGGACAACATTAAGAAAACTAGAAAAGCCCTCTGAGAGCTCAGACCTCCGCCAAGCAGCTCATGTCCCCCCTTATAATGTTCCTAAAACAAGAAATGCCCTGACCCGGATTTGAACCCAGGACCTTCTGGCTGTGAGGCGCCAGTGCTAACCACTATACCACTGTACCGCCCATCTACACCACTGTGCTGCTCATTGGTTATTTTGTGTTCTGGATCACAGTATCCAGAATTTTGTCTGGATCAGGATCAACCTTTGAGACCTCATAAAACTCATTGAGATCCTTTTGTGTATTTTTTTTACTTAAGACTCTGGCCATTTTTTATAGAGTTAAATGCAAAAATTCCAAAATTTGCCCTATCTCACAATAATAAAGAATCCTTCAGAAAATGGGATCCTCCTAGGGCATGTTGAAAAGTACAGTGAGATAATTTCTAACTCCAAAATTTTGTTTTATGTATTTTATTTCCATTTATATTGGCATGAGATTGCAAAAGAAATAAGAAGTATTTTGAACTTAGTTGGAGCCACAAAAGGCTACAACACTAAAGTGACTGCAGGCAACTTTACCAATGAAGAGTGACTGAGATTTAAACATGAACACAATAGAAAGGTTCTGAATAAATGGACTTTAAGCTCTTCTTTGTAGAACCTGTTCAGGAAACATAGATGACCATCTTCTGTTCAAGGTAGACTTTGTATTTCGGCACTATTTTGAGCATTTTTGATGCATTTTCTGAGCTCTGTGTGCTGAACAAAAGATAACCTCTCTACTTCATCTAAAATTATTCAAACCCCTCTGTTATTCCTCCCATCATGACACACTCCTGCTTGGCTGTGATGAAAACACATCCACATGATGAGTACTTCTAATAGAGGTACTTCACTTCTGACCCTGAGCGTCCTCGCTGGGCTGGCGTGCTGGATGTCGTGTTTTGACTCAGCGTTCATCATACTCCGTTTCCTATCTCTGTATCCCTCTAACACAACACAAGCTTCATCTGGAGATTTTCCACTTCAGTTCAACAATTTTCTTCATTTAAACACAGAGTCAGTGTTAGGATGGAGTTAGATTTTTGGTACACCTGCTGCTGTTCGTAATTTAGCTTTACTGCCTTTGTGGAGACAAGAGCCCTCAGCTCATGGATGTTTGCGAGGCAAAGCTGCGTCACATGTCCCTCTGCTATTGTTCCTCTGCACATCAACACTTTTTACAAAGCTAGTGGCTGTTGTCCAGGGAAACACTCCTTAAGGTTTGTGTTGGGCCTCTCTCAGCTGCTGCTTCCATCACACACAGCTTGCAGTTGAAGAGGAAAAATGTGATTTTGGGCAGATATTTAAACAGATGGTTGTGGTTTAGAGCAGTCCTGTGGGAGAGATGGCTATACTGTCCATGTCAAACTCTGTCTCTGTTTTCTCCTCAGGGGATTCTTTCACTCAGTTCCGGTTTTCTGAAGAGAGGGACTGGGAGATGGACTCATTTGCAGCCAATCAGGTAATCTATACTCCACCTAATTAGCGGTATCTTACAGATTCAACCTGCTGTGTGACGAATGGATCCAACATCGTCCCCACTGTTAAATGCAAACTGCTCTCTGTACTGTATATGTTTTTGTAAACTTGTGGAAAGATGAGTGGGATTGTCTGGTCTGGTTTTTTAACTGATTCAGATCATACCTACAAAGCAGTCCGTACTTGGTGTCCATCAGAGACTGTTTTAAGTCAACTGGATGTTGTGCGGGGTTCCCCAAGGCTCAATCCTTGGACCTCTACTGTTTGGTCAGAACATGCTTCCACTTTCACACAGTATTTACAAGAATAAAACACATTATTACACACTTTGTGATTAAAATGTGTGTTATGAATCAAATTTGGACTTGAATTTTTCAACTCTGCGATATTTAATTAGCTTATGGCGCCCCCGTGTGAGTAAAGGGATCTCTGTTCCAGACATTTTCTAGTAATGCTGACAAAAAAAATAAAATCCTGCTTTCTGTAGGTGAAATCTGTCACTTGCTGTCTCTAGTTTAAAAAGTATTTTCCGCGGCAGTGCTGTGAACAGACTTTCCTGACACCTACCCCTTCACAGCAGCTTCAGGCAAACAAAGAAACTGTTTTATTTTTTCACTTTGTAAGTTAGGAAAAAGCATCACATGCAATGTCAGCCTCTTTTATTATTGGTAAAAAATATCTTCAGGTGAGTTTTAATTGAAAATTTGGTCAAAGAATATTTTGTAAATGTTGAAAATTGTGCGCCTGTATTGTTTAAAGCATGTGACGTCATTCTGAAAATGTCTTCTCAATTTGTTGATTTCATTCATTGCAGAGGACTAAGAGACAGGAAATAAACTTGTTCGTCACACACATAGAGTGTTTATAGAATGGACGTCATCTGCCTCCTCGCTGGGTGAAGCCACCGTGAGAACAGCACCATCTGGTGATGGGCTGCTGCATAGGTCATAAATCCCGCCTCCTCCAGTCATCCCTATGGCATTGTGGACAAACTTTAGAAATTAATTACACAGAATATACATTTTTCTCCCCCCTGGTTGCGATGTTGACATGTAGTTATCGTAAGACTAGTTTGTGGACTGTGCTCAAGTCCTCTTTTTTCTGTACAGCTCCATTATTAAAGTTATTAGGGGGTTCATGTTTTCTATGATTGACACTTAATACAGCCTATGGGCATATGAAGATTACGTAGCTCACCTGGGGGATACGCTGTTTGAGCAGAGCATCATCACAGCGACTCTTGGCGACTCTCTCGCCAAATGCTGCTCAAGTGGTGGTGAGCTTACAAGGTTATTGTGCAAGTGGTGGTTCCAGGAAGTGAAGAAAATCCTGGAAAGGAAGGAGGGACCAAGTTGTCCATAGTATATACAGTCTATGAATAGACTTATAGTGAGTAAAAAAAAAAAGTCTTAATTAAAAATGTCTTAATTTAGCTGATTTAAACATGACTTTTTTGTGTGTATGTCATTGACAGATTTTAACTCATGACGGGTTAGATTTGATTTATGGTTGCTAATATCCTTAAATGAGACATCTGTCAGCACTTTCAAGGTGAATGTGTCTAATGAGATATATTATACAAAAAATACGGCAAAGCACTGTGAAAATGGTAAATAGGCTTAATGAGGGATAATTCTTTATTTTAGATTTACAAGTGAAAAATCACTCATAAATGAAAACATGCTCTTATTCCAACATCTTGTAATCTGTGTAGTCTACCGTCATCCGTGTGTTTGCAGATCCAGCGCAGTGCATCAAACAAACACACAGGATTATGTAATGCTTCCTGAACTCTTCCTGCTTCTTGAGATGTAATGTTTGGTTCTCCTTTTGTGCAAGAACAAAAGAGTGCTGACCCACACCGGCAGGATACTTATATGGATTACAAAATGTTTGGAGACGTTGAGACGAGAAACTGTTTTCACATCTTTGTACACTGAGTAGATCTATTGATGTTTTAATGTTGATTTTAATGCCTTTTTTTTCTTACATTATCTTTATGCGTTTGAAGCATTCAGGGTTGATTTCTGCTCTTAAATGTTGTGCCTGCTCCTCCTTCAGATGTCTGCAGTGTTTGTAGATCTTCCAGCACTCGCTCAGAGTCTCCAACAGCTGCCTCTGCACCAAAGACTAAACCTGGAGGCCGAACTGCTTCAGGTACATTCATCACCGCACTGAAGAGAAAACTCTCATAACTGGTTTTGGTTGCAGATTAAAGATCTGTCCCACTGATCTTTTACCAGGTGTCCACACCAGTAGAGCTGCCCTCTGTGACCCTCCCACAGAAACAGGAGATGCCAAAAGTGTCCACATTCTCTCCTCCAGCTGAAGCTTTGAACGTCCCCAGCACCAACCAGAAAGTGACTGTTGCCACAAACTCAGCACTAGACCCAAGATCCAAAGTTTCCTCCAGCACCACAGAGTCCCTGCCAGAGGAGGATGTTGATGAAGAGCTGGACCAGCTGCTCAGTTTACAGAAACCAGTCCAGGCTGTTTCAGGAAACCAGACTGTCAGTGTGTCAGAGGAGGAGAGAACAGCTCCAGAGAGGGGTGAGAATATTCAGCAGGAGTTATTCAAGCTCTCAGCTAAAACACTACAGTTTAAAACTTGGAGGAAGTTTGATGGTTTGAGAAATGCATTCATTGACTTTCATATCTGAACTTGCATAAATTTGAGGCTAGAGTAAAGCATAGTTTAAGTTAGATTAGCAGCCTTGAGGCAAGAGGGAACAGCAATCCTGTCTCTGAGGAAAGAATGTTAAAAAAGAAAGAGATAAATAACACCTATACAGAAACTTAAGGGTATGACTGGTATTTGGCTTTAACTGCAGTTGCCAGGTAACCAGAGAAGACACCAAGCAGCTCAGAGTTTGCTAAATAATAGTTATTGAGCTTTTTTGTTTAATAGGAAAAGAGATAACTCACAATCAAGAGAAGTTTAGAGGTGATGGAGGGCAGTTTTTCATAACAGGTGAGTGTAGCGATGTTGTGATGGTTCAGATTTTGCAGCTTTAAGGAAACCTCTTATTTACAGAAAAGCTGTCAGTAGCCACGTTTACATGCAGACTTTTTTCTCATTCGGATTATAATCATTCCTATTGAAGCTCCCAGGCGAACTGTTTACATGGAAGCGATCTATTCTGATCTGGTGTTTACATGTGCCACGGCATTCAATCGGAACAGCTATTTACAGACACGTGATACCTTCAAACATCACGTGATTGATTGATCACGTGATCTCCGACGCAGACCAGTGCATCGTGCTCTGCTTGGAAGCCGCCATCATGTTTCCATGTGAGTCATACGTCACTACTTGTTTACATCAGGACAGAGCATGCGCAGACAGAACCCAGCCTGACAACTTTCCGATTCACCGTTTACATGACAGGATTTTGCTTTTAATCGGAATGGGAAAAGGAAAATTCTACCCCTGTGAATCGGAATGAAATTCCATTCGGAATGGGCCTGTTTATTCCGAATGAGGTGTTTATATGGAGCATTTTCATTCCGATTGGGCTTCTAATCCGATTATATTCGGAATATTTGGCTCCATGTAAACGTAGCTAGTGTTATTGGTGTTTTTGTCTGGTTCCCCAATTGAGAAACATAAGAAGGAAACGACCTTTACAGGATAAAAGCAGGTCTTTAATTGACAGTCTTCAAGGAGAGTCTAAGTGCCTCAAGCACATTTCTCATTACAGCTTTATACCAAAAACACTGCAACATTTTCACCTTTTTTCCCCATTTCTACTTATGTCTTGCTGTGCTTTGACTTTATTGTCACCATATTTGTTTTTGTCATATCAGAAGTCTAATTATGCAGTATTATTCGTCACACACATAGACTGTATATAGAATGGATGCCGTCTGCCTCCTCGCTGGGTGAAGCTATCATGAGAACAGCACCCTCTGGTGATGGGCTGCAGTATAGGTCATAAAGCCTGCCTCCTCCAGTAATCTCTATGGAGCTGTGGACAAACTTTAGAAATTTATTACACAGAATATACATTTTTCTCCCCCCTGGTTGCGATGTTGACATCTAGTTATTGTAAGTCTAGTTTGAGTTTAAGTCCTCTTTTTTCTGTGCAGCTCAATTTTTAATAGTTATAAGGGGGTTCATGTTTTCTATGATATGCACTTGTTACAGCCTATGGGTATACGAAGGTTGTGTAGATCGCCCGGGGATAGACTGTTTGAGCAGAGCGTCATTACAGCGACTCTCCCGCTGAATGTGACAATGCTACTGCACAAGTGGTGGTTTCAGGAAGTGGAGAAAATCCCAGAAATACAGAGAGCTTTTTTGCTTCAAATTCATATAATGATGGAAAGCAGAGCCAAGTTGTCCATAGGCTTTCCAGTTAACGGTTACAACCTTGTTTGCTATTTATTTTCTGAAGGATTAATTTAGAGGGCTTAGGCTTTGTGTAAGGGGACAGGACTGTGGACAGAGCAGCGACTGACATACAGTCAAGGGGCTGCAGGAGGGAAACACACCTCTATATACGATACAGCAGACTGCTTGGCTGGTTATAATATCACAACTTAATTTTTATCTAATTTTTGTCTCAATACAGGGACTTTGTTCTCTTTTTTCTTTTTTGTTACATCTAAACCATATTCTTGCAGTTTTCTCTTCTTTCTCCCAATACTCAAACTTTTTCTTCCTATCATTATGAGGTTTGATTAAAACCTGATTCTCATTAGGGCTGCCAGAAACGATTAATCTGATAATTGACATGACTATGATTATTTTTTGCGATTTATCGAATAATCGTGGCAGCCGTGTACAAAGCCGTAATTCTCATAACTCCATTTGTTCCCAAGAAAATCTAAGAGGTTATTTTTCTCTTAATGTGGCCTTCATACTTCATTACAGCAACATCCGCATTAAAGACTCAAACAGCTTTATATCAAAGATTATTAAAGCTCTACTGAACTCCTTATGGATTTCTCTCCATTTTCTTTTCTTTTCATCTGCAGAGTGCAATGAAGTGAAGGAGGAGGCACCAGAGGAGAAAAAAGAGAAGATGAAAAACAAAGATGTCACACCTCCTAAGTCTACTCCTCCTGCTCGGCAGACAGTGACGGAGGAGGATCTGGAGGACTGGCTGGACAGTATGATCTCCTGACCATCAGAAAGACTTCATCAGACATGATTTCAAGCTATTCTCTAACTTTCAGACAGTGTAAAAATTTACGTGTTGAAGGAACATTATTATGTCTTTTCGGTCAGGTAATTCGTTAATCTAGTTTTTGGGTGTCAAAGATGAGAAGGACAAGGTGTGATGATGTTCCCTCTTCAACTCGTGAGGCTGTGAAAGTTACAGACTGTGAGAGCGTTGCCTTCTTGTTGGTGAGATCTCAGCCGCGGAAGAGACAGACGACACCTTTGGATTTATTGCGTCAATAACTTTATTCATTTCCTCCCCCTCGTCAAAGGAAATGCAGGTTTTACCAAAGCTACTACATACATACAAATGGCCATACAGTAGCAGTTTAACCATTTTGTCATCAATAAATCAGTGAACCTACTCCGGTTCTTGTTGTCTTCCTATGTTGTCGGACTTTTCTTCCATGGAGAGAAGTGCAGGCAGGCAGGACACCACAGCTCAGGAACAAAACCAAACTAAGCAACATTTACACAAAGATCACCTAGATTTTATACAACAAATGTTTTTGCGCTCTCTTTTTTAAAATTTGTCGAAAGCCACAAAACTAGCTGGAGCTAAATCTGCTTGTAACTAATCCAGAACTAGAGCACTGCTTGTGTCAGGAGGAACAAAAATGATCAATTCTTTTTTTTTTTTTTTTTTTTGCATAGTTTAACATAAGGCACGTCGGCACTTTATAACACCTAAAGTGAGTCATCAGCGGTCCTGGAAGAACCATCTTCTGTAACTCTTCATATCATTAGACAGCTTTGAAAGGCAGATCAGGTCTCACTCATGTCGTTTTGATGATAATTGGATCAATAGTGATCAAAACCAGTAGCACACACATCCACTCGGTTGGTTTGGTAAGTTGGCATTAATTCTACAAATTGTGCATATTCAGACATTCAATCGTCACGCTGTAACCCTTCACGTGTATCAAATGTCTACACACAGCAAATTGTGCAACAGGTTGGGGTTAAGCATGTGAGAAAGGCAATGTGAATCAGAATCAAAAGAAGAACTTGCATAAAAGGAGCCGTCATGGCAAGTGGCTTTTATCGGCGGACTTGGATGCGCAAACCCAAAAACGTCCCGTTGTCAGTCAAATCTTTTCCTCAGAATGTTTTTGAATCAAAAATGAATGATTTTGTTGTTTTTCGTCACTTTTTTCAACACCATGGCAGCAGAGAAAGTCCAGCGAATGTCCAGGTTGCGGTAACAGGTAAAGTCAAGTGTCTCATTTGGATAGAAGGAAAAGGAAAGAGAGAGAGAGAGAGGAGGGGCGCAGAGTCAAGCCAACCTCTCTAACCCAGCTGGTCCTCATATTGCTTGCGGAAGCAGTCTCCAGTGGGGAAGAAGTCCCAGCATCTCTCTTGGTACATCTTCCACACATACGACTCCTGGAGAAGGAAGAGAGGGAAACAGCTGATGAAGAACGAACGAAACATTAAAATCAATTAACCAGGAATAGAAAAGACCCCAGAGTGTTTTTTCAAGACTACAGCTCGGCGAGGAGTCCAGTTAGAGAGAGGTGCAAGGAGACAACAAAGCACTCTAGTCACTGGTGAGTATGATCGACTCGAGCATTACTTAAACAAAGAGGCTGTAATAAAAAGATTAATCTGGTTCCACTTTAATAAATAGATCAACTAAAGCTAAAACAAAGTCTCCACTAATACATTATTAATACCTTCATGGTCTCTTGATTCTTATAACATATATCAAATGAATAAACATTCAGTATCACACTCCTTTAACGCTCCCTAAATAGCAATAAATGACTATTTCCAGAACAGAATGTTTCTTTGGAGCCTACATTACCAACAATGCATGAATGTTTAAAGTTGTGGAGCCAATTTCCTACTGAGACCTAATCATACAAATCCTGCTTTATATTGAATCGATGTTATGAGTTTGACTGACACGCAATCCGCCTACCGAATACAAAGAATTTGCCCAAAAAGGGCCTGTGTCCACTTAGTATCATATACTTCTTGCATCCAAACAAAAACACTTTGCCCAAAAAGGGCCTGTGTCCACCTAGTATCTTATACACCGTCAGCATTAAAGTTCTATTTTTTGTCCAGTAAGAGCCTGTGTCCAATTCTTTTACACTGTCTGCATCCAAACTAAAACGCTTTTGCCCATTAAGGGCCTGTGTCCATTTGCAATGTCTTTCACTATCTGCATCAAAGTACACTTTTTTTTTCATCCAATAAGGGCCTGTGTCCTTTTACAGTGTCATTTTCACTGATGTTTTTGACAAATGAGGGCCTGTGTCAATTTGCGCTGCCACTTCACATTGGTGGCAAGCCTTCAAGCAAACTCACAAGTTTGTTGGTTTTTGGATTGGCGTAATCCCAAGACCTAAATTGGTCATTTCTGTTGCTTCCAAACCAACATTGTTGTATGGCAGTTCTGCTTTCCTTAGTAGTGACTGAATCTATTTGGATATGCTCTGTATTATTTATCATTCTTTTTATTCAAGATTTTTAACAAAGATCAAAATTATTTCATGCTATCAGCAGCAGCACTAGATCTAGAAAGTACATGTTGACCAATGCCATTTTTTATTATAAAACTGAAAAAACAAGTCCAGCCCCATTTTGGTTATGATTGGTTGCCAACAAAGTGGCTTTGACAAGCTCTGGGGTGTTTCAAGTGTTGAGCGATTACCATAGGAGAGTGGTGCAGCAAACAAGGGTGTACAGAAAACAGCACTACCAACATACAAAAAAGCTATCAGTGGACACAGGTCGTTATTGCTTTGAGCTGGTGTCAGAATCCATACAATAAATCTTGTGGAATTTTTGGGGGATTTATTCTGCGGTGACAAATGTTGCAAACGCGTTGTTAGATTGAAATCACAGCCAGTGCATTTGTCAAATCAGCCTTTGAATTATCATTTATCTCCAAGCAGCTAAGTTTGGTTCTTGTAGCAGCCAGGTGAAACAGCAGCAAAGGTTTTTTTTCTTCTACTACCATGTTTTTTTAATATAAGAACAGTGCATGCACATCAAATGAAAAAAAAGACAACTTGCATCTCAGCTGTGGGACAATCACAACTTAATATCCAGAAAGTCAGAGAGCCCACGCATTGTTTCTTCTCCTGCTTGGCTCCACTTATGCAACAAAACAAGTGGGTTGAAATGTTGCACAAGTAAAAGCCTACTGAAGTTTCTGTAACATCCTTTGCTGTCTTGAGATCGATCAGACGCGAGAGAGGATGAAACATCTTAAAAGACAAATGTTGGAAAGAACTGGACTGAGGATGAAACAAGTCTTTAACCCCGTACATACCTGGCCTGTGTGTTCAGTCTCGTCCTTGTTGATCAGGTACATCAGGAAGAACCTGCAGACGAGACGACAAGAGGGATGAGAAAAATGGAAATTCTTAGAAATGAATCACTCTTTGACATTTTGATGAGATTTCAGCTGCACTCACAGGTAGTTTGCAAGGTTGTGCTCTTGTAAGGTGTGGGTTTCAAACCCGTGAGGCGTCCGGTCAAAGTAGTCATTCCCAATGCCACAGATGAAGCATTTGGTCTGAAACAAGAACAAAAACATATATAAATATATATATACTGTATATATATATATTTTTTCAAACAGATGGAATCTCATTTAGCTTCTTATATTTACTGCAGCCAAGCTCCTGTGAAGAACTTAAAGTTTGTGTCGGTTTTGGCGCACCCTGTGGCCAAAGTGTTGCTGATTCTGTCATTTTGACCATCAAATGTTATGTTTTTCTGTTTCCCTTTCAAAAGTCAAAAGTCATTGTATTATTTGAAAATGAACACATATCCAGACTTTTCATCACTTCATATCATGGCCAGTTTAGAAAAACCATCAACCTCACAGTGATTTTAAGACTCGCTCCTAAGCTGTGTCCACTCCAAAGCCCACACACTGAACCCTCACCGACTCTAACGCTCACACAGATAGGTCGTTAAATAAGGAGTAAAAACGCTGATCTCCAGAGTGAGTTCATGCATCTTACAGAGCAGTGTTTCTATATTCAGGCAAACTAACAGTCAGAACAGGAAAGTAATGTTAATATTAATCTTTTAAGAGTTTTGAACTGAAAAACAAGCCGGATTAATAACTTTACATACCCTTTTTATTATATATGTAACCTTTGTTTACATATTTTGAGGGGCTGGACAATTACATCCTATGAAGTCCGCATTGACTTTTTTGTTCAGACGGTCCACTTTAAAAATGTTCCAAGTTACTTCACCCTCAAGTTTTGTTGTAACAGTCAAATATTAGATTGTATCTAAATTCACCCTGGCTTGTTTTCTTTTCAAACAGATGATAACTAAACAAAGCGTCTTACCTCCATGTCCTCCTTCACTTGCTCCTGCTGGTCTCTCAGCTCTCCAAAGGCATCAATGATCAAACCTGTGGGGGTCACAGCACCGCTGAGCATGACTAAACTAACAACACTTCTATCAAGCAGGTACAGAAACATGACAAAGCTGCAGCCCATGACGATAAATGGAGAATCATATGCCGCTATATTCCTGCTTCAGGATGCAGAGCATGGGCACATGTGCTATTAAGAGATGACATAAAAAATGGAAGATTTTGTACCCTGGATGATGGCCAGCAGGATGACAATGACAAAGAAGAAGAAGGTGATGTCAAAGAGGATGCGGTAGAGCTCATAGGGGTCACCGGCTGGGTCCTCTAACTCGTCTCCGATACCTCCTCCAGCTCTCACACCCACGTACATGTGGAACAAATAGCACTGCAGAGAGATAGAAAGGCACCTCAGTCATTTCACAGGCATTTTGAGCTTGAGTCTAAAGGCAGCTGGCTCTTTTTCAGCAGAAGCTCAAAGCTGAAATAAACATTTTTGTTTTCAGGTTTCACTTCAGGAAAAATAAGTCAAACCATAAATCTGTTGCAGAACACAAAACAAAACAGATACCGCTGAGGCAAGTTAGAGAAAAACTACTTCTTTACCTTGAAAAGTGATTTAAAAATCAAAACTAAGCACAACTTTTTCAGTGAAAGCCTCACAAAGCTGATGAATTAATCATACTTTCTGCTTTATCCAGCATTAACAGCCTGCTTTCAGCACCCTGATGAAGGTCAACAGGCTCAAACCATTCAGAGTCTCAGAAATGTTTTTCAACTGCAGCATGTCCTTGCTGAAGCTGCAGGCTTTTCTCATCTCGATAAAGAAAGCAATTTTCACCTAAATTAATCGATTCTGGAGTCTGTTAAGAGTGGTGCCCGCAGAGATTAAAAGCTTTTTTGAAAAGTAAAATGGCAAAAATGTGGTGAGCAAAGCATAAAACTGAATATCAACAGAGTAAGAAGAAGCTTTGAGGAGAAGCAGAGGGGGCATGTCTCACTCTGAAGGGATTTCATTTGGCAGAATTGTCGAGTAGATTAATGCAACCAAGGTGACACTAATAATTGATTGCATGATGATTTTAATGACTTGATAATGATAGATTCAACATTAAACTGCCTGTTTTCATCCACTGTGTAATCTAAACATTGTCCTCCTCTATAGTCATAAATCACAGTCATTCACATCTTCATT